GAGAACACACCCCCGTTCTATGCCATGCCCGCGGGTGCCTCGCTCACATGCAACGGGGGCCCGTGTGCCTCTCCGCGCCCGTAGTTGGCTACCTGCATGCCGTTACTGGATTAGACCATTTTTGTCCGAGAGTCCTTTTCTTCGGTTGACCTTCTACAAGAAACTGGTTCAAGGATACACGGGAGGCTGGACCCTTCCTGCATTTCAGTTTTTCGGGGAGAAATTGTAGGTTAAGCTGGGCGGAAAAGAGCCTTTTCAGCCCGGGCCAACAATAGCGGGAACGGTCCCCTAACGCTTGCCGGCCCGGAGCTATTACAAAGCCCCCCGGGTGAAGCCTCCGTTCTCGCTGCTGAAAAGGACCGGTACGGGACCCGCGTTACAGCTCGATTTCCAACAAGATGGTTATAAACACCAATCTCTAGTTTCTTTTTTTCATTAAAAGGGAAAAAAAGGAAAATAGAGACAAAGTAGGAGTTTCCCTGCGGCCACCCGGAGGCATGCAGCTAATTTTGCCCGCGCTCACGTCCGGTTCGAAACCCTAAAAGCCAGCCATATTAACAGCTGGATATTCTCTATTGTCTTGACACCTTACCGTAAGTTTTCGTTCGGTATCTCGCTGAAAAAGTGCAAAACTGTTGTGTTGCTGAAAATTCGCGAATAGCACGAAGAGTACATCTCTAAACAAAAGCTAGTTGTGTCTGTTTCCTCTACAGGGTGAGTAAAAAGACAAACGAAAACCAAATGGCAGGACCAACTTTTGAATGAACTTTTGCCTGTAGCACTTTCAAAATCTAGGATATGAAAGTCCAATTAATGAGCTTTCTTTTAGTACAGGAATCATTCAAATCACTCATGTACTTTTTCAGTTACGGACTTTTGAACGCAAACACCGTTTTAAAGTTCTGTCCGCGGATCACAAAAAAGGTAAGTGTTCTTTCAGCAAAACGAAAACAATTCACATGCATCCCTATGAGAATTGTGTTCGTTCTGCTGAAAGAACACTTACTTTTTTTGTGATCCGTGAACAGAACTTTAAAACGGTGTTTGTGTTCAAAATTCCGTAACTTGAAAAGTGCATAAGTGATTTGAATGATTCTTGTACTAAAAGAAAGCTTAGCCACTGGGCTTTCATATCCTAGATTTCGAAAGGGCTACATGCAAATTGTTATTCAAAATTTGGTCCTGCCGTTTGGGATTTTTTTTTTCTCTTAAACTCACCCTGTTACATAGCCTGTTGCATAAGCGATAATTTGGCAAAATGGGCTTGATTTTGCTTAGAAAAAATGTGTGGAATAATGACAAATAAACACTGTAACTGAAATGGCGAACATACATCAATGTCTACTTTGGCATCATTACTGCATTCTCCTGACATGCAGTTGTACCCATGCAGTGAAAAAAAAACACCCGTTAAATTCGTATCGATACTTGATCTAGTTTCCACACATGGGTAGTTTTCAGGATTTTTCTTATGAAAAGGAATATGTGGGTCACGTCAGTAGAATTAAGCGGGAGCCTTTTGACTGTGTCCTCTAGTTGACACGGTAGAACACACAGCGCCAAGGTCTGTCCCTCATTGTCCTCCATCAGCCATTGTCAAGCCTGTACATTCAAAGCCAGGGGAATTTTTTTTTGGGGGGGGGAGGTTCTAGATGTAAGGCAAAAAAAATGTCTTCGGTTTCTGGTATGGAGCTTGCCCCAAAAGTGGTGCGGCGACGGGGCTTTTTTGTTTTTGTTTTTTTATTTTGTTTTCCTTCAAATGTCGGCTGATGACTGCAAGTGGTGCCAGACTAAATTTGGTGCAAAATATACGGGATTCCAGAGAGGCCACATAAAGCTTATACTCGATCGTAACCCCATCTAAAAACACGTTAAAATTGTGCAGCGGCAGGATTCCAATCAAACCAGTGAGTTTGGCGGTTTTGAGACATCATCTAACATTGAAAAAAAAAAGTTTCATTTTGCCGATGCGCATGGCTACGGCGACGCGCGCGCATACCAGAAACCGGAGACTTTTTTGTTTGGGCCTTAACTATTTTTGCTGCTGCGCCCGTGTGGTAGTCGCTACAGAAACAGCAACCACGTAGGCCTGCTCCATCTTCCCCTGGACTTTTATCAACCTTTTCTTCCATTCAAAAAATGTCCCTCTATTTCCGGCGGAGGACAAACAAAAGAAGGAATTTGAAATATGATTCAAACATAGATTCCGGTTTTGCATACTTCACCTGCCACTGACTGGCTGCACACCTGTGCGCTTGACGTGACGTGTTTATCCAAAACCAATTAAAACTGTGAATGGCCGGCTAAGCTGGTCTCATTGTTGTCTATCGAGTGGGATAAACCGCTGAAAATTGTTATTGACAGACCCGCTGATCGACGTAGTCTTCTTTCTCAGTCGCATTGTAGGGCGAAACGGGGTGCATTTTTCAAACCTGGTGTTTTGACTGGAAATATACGAAAACCGCTTTCCAACGCACTGAACCCAAAATGGGCAAATAGTAGGGCAGATAGGGAAATATTTCGGAAAATTGTGCCTTTGATGATAGAAGTATGGCATTTGGCACACAGTCAGAGTTTGTCTTAAGAAATATTTGGCTATCAGGCCATCGCAGATTTGTTCTTTGAAAAAAATACAGGTAGAATAACAGTCAATTTTCAAAATTTCCAAAATGACTGTCACTGCTTGTTGTTCTACCTATATCTTTTCAAAGGACAAACCTGCGATGGCCCTATATACTCTGACTGTCTGCCAAAAATGCCATTCTTGTATCAAAGGTCCAATCCTAGTAAAAGGCAATGTGAAAAAAGTCAGATATCTGGCAAGAAAATGGCGTTTAATATGCGAATCATTTTCTTCAAAATTGTTTTCTTTTCTTTCTGGGAGCGACTAAATGTATCACAAATCTCTTGCTTTCACTCCCACCCTTTATAAGGGAGAGGTGTACCTTGGAGAGATGCCGGGGCAGAGACCACACCAGAGTTGGCTGCCTGCATAAAGGATAGGTAAGCTTGGAGACGCCGAAGGGGATCCCGCCTGCGGGCGACATGATGATTCTCTTTGGAGGAGGCAGACGAACGTTAACTGCTCCAAGAACAGGTGTACTGTAAAATAAGACTTAAGGTTTGCATTGTGGACATGATCAAATGAATGGGAGGTTTGCGGTAACACCACGTGAATGATATCTCTGAGTGAGCTGTGTGGTTCTGAGAAGAACCAGTTGGTTTAACTCGACGCTTCGAACATTATGCTCTTCTCGTTATAATGGCTGAAGATGAGACTTGTTTTGAGACTATACGATGAGCTGCGTGGTTTCAAAAGACATTGGCGGTACTGGGAGTGGCAGCTGTGAGTGGAAGCATAATAGACGCGCGCACGTGCGCCCACCTGACTGATGAGTTACTAGACAACAAATAATAGCCAGACAGTAGAAGAAAGGGACCAAGAAAAGCAATTTGCCGGCCGGCCTGAGCCCCGACATTGATCCCACAACAACCAAAGCGGAGCGGTGTGTAATCTTCGGCCGCCTTTGTCCGCCGGTAACGAGGAGGCTGCGCGGTGCGAGGGGGAGAACAAATGACTGAAAGACCGAGGAATTCTTATTGAGTGTCTGTCTTCACACCTCGGGACAAAAGATGTAATGGTATCCCTGGGCGGACTGTCCGTCAAACCTGTCAGGTCGGACGGTGCGTCAGGAAAGTCACCAATTCCAACGGTGACTGCTCTCAACACCTTCCAAAAATTATACTGGTATTATGTCCGCCTGTGCAAAAATACGGAGAGAGCCAGCTTAGTTAGGGGGTATCTGTACACCATTCTGTAATCTAGTGTTAATAATCGTCGAATTTGACCATCACCCCCTATTGAAATATTGTACCAGCCCCCGCCCCCCCCCCCCCCCCCCCCCCCCCCCCCCAGTTTTTGATTTTACGGAGGTCAAGTGTCGTGAGAAAAAAAAAACTATCTTCATTTCAGAATTGTTTTGCTGATGAAACGGTTGATAAAAAAAAAATGTAAAAATTCCTGGATCCGCCCCTGGACGGGCATTTACATTTCTTTGGTTTGCTTTTCGCTGATCGGACAGTTAACATTCAATAACTGCCCCAACATAACAGCAAGGTTGGGCATTTTTACCACTTGAGGGTAAAGATGCGCATAGGTCCTTTCCTGCATGTCTTAGATTTTTTCCTCTCGACCCTTTTAAGCTTCCTGATCTCATTTTTGGTTAAACTTTGCGTAAAAGAGGGTGCTGCCGCCAGCATCCAGGTATGTTTGTATCGTCCATGTAGCTCGTCACACGAGGGCGCCCTTGCAACATTCCCATCCAACTTTGTACTTTGAATTTGGTGCCGGTGCCTGGGGCGGAATAGGGCCTACGGAACACTTAATCCAAGCCGGGGGGGGGGGGGGGGGGGACGGTGGACACGAGGGACTTGTGCAACATGACGAGAAGTTCATATGAGGGCGCCCTTCTCTGTGGTCAACTATCTGACCGTGCTCCGGTAAGGATCATCTTACAACCATGACAATAATTATGTGAAATGTCAAAAGTTGGGGAGGAGTGAAATTGGCCGGACAACTGGGTGTAGAGAAAGGTTCTGCGTAACATATAAAAGTAACACTTTATAACACTATACACCCAGTTCGAATTCAAACAAGGATTTTGCTATCTTCCACAACTAAACTAAGGCGCTTACAGTTTTTTTTACAGCTTTTTTTTTTAGCCTTTTTGCACACTCGCCAGTTAAGTTAAAATTACGACAAAGCGAACCACTCATTTATTTGAGCGATTTCGTCAGCATAGTCCGCTCCACCTATTTGACCTTTGGCACATCTTAACATCTGAAAATAGAACACTGATTATCGGCCTCTCCCTGATAAGAAACCGGTCTGCACGTTTTTGCAACACGCGTCTGGAACTGCTGTTACGTAAGCTGGCCCACACTGAAGGAACATGTCAATAATTGTATCATCTGATAATAAATATTATCTGATAAGACATTGTGACTCAGCTCATCAGGTTTCATCAGCATTATTGTCACATTACTGGATCATTGAGACAAACGGAAACTGCGAGGAGAAGACGACTGAACTGCTCCTGGACGAGTTGGAAAGGTACATCAGGTTAGTTGCTTTAAGAGTTCAGAGTGTCCTATAATGTACGATATTCCATGATTTCTGTCTCACATGCGATTACCACGCGTAGTTGAAGTGGTTAACTGCTTCTAAGGTATTACAAATACTATTTATTTGTAATACATGTATTTCAGTTGAAAATATTCATAAGAGTCGGGAGCGCTCAGGGGCGTTGCAAGGTAATAGTGGGGGGGGGGGTAAACATTTCTTGAAAAGGGCACTTGCACATCCGTGCTGAAATGTAGACATGTTTTTTTCCTCCGGACACTTGGCATCCGTAAAATTAAATAGTGGGGAACCATCTGTCGAGGGGGGCGCTGTTCAAAATCGATGATGCCAACTAACGGACAATAAAGGCGCTTTTCAGGGCGACAAAGGGCACTTGTTTAGAAAAAAGGCACTTGTAAATAAAGAAATTACCTCAGATTGCACCATTGCAGAGCGTCAAGAATCCCATGCCGTTAGGGCTTTGCGCTTCGCGCTCGCACTTGTTCTGATCAACGTATGTCCCCCCACCCACTTTTGAAAAGCGATTAACGCCCTTGGATTCTAGATCACCGAAATACTCCCTAGCTAATGCCGGTACCCATTCATACTCCTGGATGGAGCAGACGGTGGAGACAGGCATTCGGGGATCATACAACAGCAGCAAAAGCTGAGAAAATGGTCGATAAAAAAGGCATTTAACAGCCAATTATTCAATTACCCATTTCCCATCTACCCCACCTCAAATTCAATCCCAAGCTTTGAGATAACTTTTGTAACACTCAAAACGTGCTACTATCATGAACATAACAGATGGAGATCGGAAATGATTTTGCATAGTTGATGGTAAGCCATACTTCAGTACCACTCTCAGTTGTGTTTTGTTTGCTATTATGATCGGATACCTATCGTACTGTTCAATGCGATTTTACGAATACAAATCAACACGATAGCGAAAGACCCGTTTGTTTAAACATTGGCTTATATTTTGATGCACGTATATGGTTGCTGATGCACAGTCACTGTGCGTAGTCCATGGTTTATGGCATTTGCGCTATCTGAAACACGAACACTGGCGATGTAGCACCACCGCAACCGCATGAAATCATCATTTGGCCAACAATCATGACACACATAAAATATGGAATATTACCGTCAAGTGTGTCAGAAGTGTGGACGGCACTGGTGGCAAAACTATAAAAGAAGTTATATGCGTTAAATTGTTGAAGAGGCTGTTCGTGGTTTACAAAGTATATGTGACGCAAGTTCATGTTTTTACTGATAAACGTATGAATCATGATCATCCACACTAAAACATGTGTCCACGGCTCTGCTAGACAGTGTCACTTTAAAGCTGAACTAACAATTTCCATTTCTACCCAAATACATACCAAGTGAGGAGAAGTAAAAGCACAACACTTTTCAAGTTTGCACACAAAGACAACAAGTTTGTTACTAATTGCAACGGTAACTACGGTGGAAAACCGATCAGCATTCAACATTAACCAGCGTTTTTCTCCCATTTTCAACAGGTAGCTTGAAGTACCCATGGGCGAGATGGCGATGTTGGATCCGCAGTGGGAATGGTTCTGCGGTCGGAATTCTTCCGACCTGAGCAGATCATCAGGGGACTGGCTGGGCAACACCTGCTTCGTGGACGGTCTCTCGGTGCTGCCACACGCTGCATTCCTCGTACTCTCATCTCTACTCCTCCTAGTGCTAGGATGCTGCTCAGGCTACAGGAAGATCCACACCAGGTACCTGATTATGCATCCAGGACACGAGCTGAGATGGCTACTTGGGGCAGTGACCATCTTAGTCTTCGGTGCTTCTATCGGCGAAGGCATCCTGACGGATGAGACCTACCGGGCCTTCGGGCAGGCCACCCAGCCGCATCTGTACATCTACGGCAGCACGGCCTTCCTGGCTAGCATCCTGGCACTCATCTACTACCATCACATGGAGTTGTGGCAATCCCCGGCCATGTCCCTCCTGCTGTTGGTCTACTGGTTGGCAGCAGCGGGCGGCGAAGGCATCCGCATGGCAAGCCTGGAGTACCAGAAGCAGATTGACTTCAACGTGGTGCGATTTGACATCACCGTGTTGTTGCTCGTCTGCTTCGGTCTGCTCTTTCTAATAGAGGTTTACGGCATCATAGTCAAGGTAGGTATACTTTTTTTTTACAGTTTTCTTGCGGATGAAAGTATCATCGTCAGCATCTGTTTGACGGTCATGACAAGATGGCTACGTACAGTAAGACACCACTGATGACGTTCTAGTTACCATAACGCCTCGGTGACAATGAGACCCGCATTGCCTCCAGGTCCTAACCCCATGTGTTTTTTCCCAGTAAAGATCCGTGTTAAATCATATGACAATATTCCAGATTACCGGAGAAGCAATGCGTAAGTGCCTGTAGCTTCTGCTTGTTCAGCTTCCAATCATAAGCCAACTTAATCGACAGATACCAATGTCTTTTCGAAATGTTATTGGTATTAACTAGGCATCCTTTCCTCAAACTTTTGCCTCGTACCTCAGCTCTTCAAGTGCTTCGGCAGCGCCTCCGATGAAGATCTTCACGAGGATCTGAAGAACTCCAACATGCGCTACATGAACTACAACGTAAACCTGGCGTCCTACTTGAGCTACTGGTGGGTCAATTGGCTCTTAGCCGTCGGCTATAAGAAGCCTATTCAGATCGAGGACCTGGGAGACATTCCAACCAGGCACCGGGCTCGGCTGAATCACCAGATTTTCAGACGGGCCTTCCTCGAGGAAAAGGTTGGTGTGTTAAGATCATGAAGAGTTCGCAAGTATCTCTATAGTTGTAGTTTGGTCAGGTAGTTCAGTTTGCGTGGAAGCCACAGGTCTCCAGATGAGGTGCGTGGATTACGTAATTGACTCTGCATACTCTAAATCGGTTCTTTGCCGATTTTGTCAAGGTTAGAGTGTGCCAGGCCCGACTTAACCATGAGCAACGTGATTACTAACGTTCGGGGGGAAAACATTAAGACAAAGTGGAAACGTTTACTAGCTCGTTAAGACATTTACTGACCATGCCTTTTTTCAGAGATCTACAAACGGCCACGTTCGTTAAGCCATGACTTGAAAGAAACATAATCGATTCTTCTTCTTCCAGGCAAAAGCACAGCGGAAAGGCAAGTCGCCTTCTCTTCTGAAAGTGTACGTCAAGGTGTACGGATGGCGTATTCTGGGGGCTGCAGTCCTGAAATTTATTGCGGACGTGTTAGCGCTTATCGGCCCACTGTGCGTGGGAGGTATTACATCCTATGTTATCAGCATCGTCTACCCAACAGGCGAACCACAGGTAATTGCGTATATTTGTTATTTGTCCGCCGAAATTCACTACGGACGTAAAAGGGCTTATGAGGGGTTACGTCCGTTAAACAACATAGTATACTTACAAGGCCAGCCACAGGTATTGCCACATTAATTATCAATAATAAACACCTATCGATGTTCACTGCGGACGCAACAGGGCTCGATGGCCACCTATGCGTGTACATCCTCTATTATAAAGTTCATTTACCCATCTGCACTCTTAAAACCCATACATTGCATGAGGTGTGCCTGCACGATTTACCATAATCGACACCTGTATGCCAAAACTTGTATAGTGCACTCGGCAAATAATTTTGTGAATGAGCCAGCTTATTGATGATAAAGCTTCCAAGTCCTTTCGTGTTCCCGTGGTAAAGCTATTTCGCCAGGCAGGACAAAGTAAACAAACAATGCCGACTACACTGTATTTCAATTGGTTATATGACGGTGATAATGAGTCTGATTTAACCCAATGTCGACATGGTTTTGTTGCTTTCCAGCCTCAACCTCACAGTGTCACCATCACTGAATACTTTGCGAACGGCTTCGTTTTGGTGGCTGTGCTGTTCCTGACGTCAGTCTCCAGACTCACGTGTCTCCAGACGAATTTCCACTGGACAATCCTGGAGAGCGTCAACGTTAGGACAGCATTGCAGGTGCCGATAAGTCACATTCTGCATGCTGTGTTCACATTTTTATCGCATTGTGACAACCAATGACATTAGAATATAACTGCCATGATATGACGATGACAGTTATGACGCATTAAATTAAAGGTCACCTTTTAGGGTAATCTTTCATCCAAGGACGTATATCTTTGCAATTACCTTTCATCCAAGGACGTATATCTTTGTCATGAACATTATGACAAACGATAACATAAAGTCAGTGCCGTGATATGACGATGACAACTCGTGTCACGCTTAAGGTCACCTAAATCTTTCTGATGAGCAACACGACAATCAACGACGGTATAACAGAGCTAGTACTCATGTCACACAAAGGTCACGTTTTTGGCTTACCTGTCATCCACAGACGATGGTGTACGAGAAAGCTCTGCGACTGTCGACCTACGCGACAACTGGAGGCAAGATGACAATGGGCCAGATCACCAATCACATGTCGACCGACGCTATGGCCGTCCTGTACATGTTTCAGACTTTTCACTACCTGTGGGCCATCCCTATTCAGGTAAAAAATAACACATATTATAGAATTAGGGGAGTCAGGTCGGCGCAGTGGTACTTGCTTCACCTTCCACCTCTGTGAGCCGGGTTGAAATTCAACCAGGTCGATATGTGGAATGGGTTATCAGGCCTTTCTTGAATCCATTGACCTATCCTGGACTATCGTTCCAAAGACTGTCTACCACATCTTTAATTGAACATTTCTTTATCATTATTTGTTCTCTAAAGAGGTTTCTTTGCTTTGAGTTATTTTCACTACCAAAACAAGACTACTTACCCTATAGTAAACATGGTCCTAGAGCGCACAAAATGTAGTCAATTGATTCAGAATGACTATTCATTGGCGTTACGGGTTAATCCTATACGATAGCACCGCCCAGCTCAATATATTACAGTCTGTTAATGAGTCAGTCTAGGCTGACCCTCTGGTACCAATAAATTAGAAGATTTTTGTTTAAGTTTCACTTTTGCGAACTGCTCATATACCGCCCAAGTTTGACTTTTGTGAACTAATCATATACCGCCCAAATTTCACTTTTGACACCTGATACACAGGGTGAGGTACAAGGAAAAAAAATCCAAATGGCAGGACAAATTTTTTGAATGAGATTTTGCCTGTAGCACTTTCAAAATCTGGGATACAAAATCTGGGATATAAAAGCCCAATCAATGAGCTGGCTTTTAGTACAAGAATCATTCAAATCACTCATGTTCTTTTCAAGTTACGGACTTTTGTTTTCGTTTTGCTGAAAGAACACTTACCCTTTTTTTGTGATCTATGGACAGAACTTTAAAGCGGTGTTTGTGTCCAAAATTCCGTAAATTGAAAAGCACATAAGTGACTTGAATTATTCTTGTACTAAAAGAAAGCCTAATGTCTGGGCTTTTATATCCTAGATTTTGAAAGTGCTACAGGGAGAACTTCATTCACAAATTGATCTTGCCATTTGGGTTTCGTTCTTTTCGACTCACCCTGTACAGCGCGATTTTGCAACGATTCTTTGATCAGTTTTTTGGCTTTTGTTTACAGATTACAATGACTTTGGTGCTGCTGTACTTCCAGATGGGTTTTGCGGCGCTGCTGGGCTTTGCAGTGTTTATTCTCGTCGTACCAATTCAACTTAAGGTTACCCAGGTGCTAACCCAGCGACAGAAAGATATTCTTGTAAGTCCAAGTCACACTGACACTAATGTGGCCAGACTTTTAGAAAACGAGGCTATTCACGTAACGATGCCATTTTCCGGAAAAAAAGTAGAGGCAATTATAACTTTTCTCAATCGAAAATTAAAGATTTAAAAAAAAAAGTTATATTTTGAGCTGTAGCCACGTCCATTTTAACAGTTTACAATTTATAAAATAGATTCAGGGAACACGTTCGAAAATCACGAATAAGGTCTATAACCTTAGATTCATGTCTACTCGTGTCCCTATACGCCCTCATTCGTTTAAAATTAAGCCAGTTTCAAAGTCCTTGTACAGCCCAGGCTTCAGAAACTCTAACCCTATTCGATGGGCCTACGTGTACATGTGACTTTGTCATGAGATATTCAAAAGATGAAAATCTTTTTCACGTCATGGAGTGTTGAAATTCTTGAATGAAACGAACTGAAAAATCTCTCATAATTTTGTGATGGTTTGAAAGCATGTCCGAAGGATCCTCAAGAAAGCCTCTTTTAATACCAATTTCACATAGACCAAAGTTGGTGCACTAGGCACTAGCTCTACCTAAGTGATGGAGAAAGACAAATGTTTCTGAAAGTACATTAATCAAGACTAACGCTACACCACCTCAAATTTTAGCAGCATGTCCCTCGCACGACAAAATATTTTCTGAATTGCTCACGTAAAACACGAGCCTTCTGTAAACCCCTTTAAAACACGCCAACCTAAAAACTATACAAACATAACGTTTTGGTACCTTGTCATGTTTGGTTCAATATCAGGGCTGTTCTGACAAGCGTCTCAAGCAGTCCAACGAGTTACTGCAGGGCATCAAACTGCTGAAGTTGTACGCCTGGGAGCATATCTACGGCAGAGCCATCGAAGTCGTCCGCAAGCAGGAGCTCGGCTTTCTGAGGAAGATCAACTTTGCTCTCATTGTCACGAGTACGTTGGTATTGCATCTGGATAGCAAGGGATGAAATTCAAGAAAGTTGGCAGATGCTCTTCAATTTTTGAGGGGGATAAATAGAAGATCAAAATAGTTGTAATGTCTTGTGACTTTGTGAGCAAGTGATAAGGCCTCTTTTATTCTGACAAGTACAATGAAGTAGAAAATGATATAATTTGTGTGTACGTTTTCCTTCTTTCAGTGTTACTGACATCTGCCACGCCAATTTTGGTCACATTAGTGGTAAGTCTACAAAATATCTCCCTTGTACTTCTCTTTCAAGATATTTGCACTAAAATGAGAAGTTGCTTAACACTCGGGAAGCTTTTTTTTTCAACTTTGTTTGTTTATTTAACTAATATCTACCGAACTTTTTTATTTTCAACGATCAGTCAATTGACTGATTGTTTGGTAATCACCTATTTCTTGAATTCTTCTAAATGACAGCAAGCCAGATGGAATAATTTTAAGGGGGTGTTTAGTACCAGTACGATCTGTAATCAAAGTAAGCTTTTTGATAATAATTCGGTGGGTACTCTTGGAATAAATTAATGCAAATGATTCTGCTTGGAACCACAGTTCCTGATCGCACTTGTGTTCATGTTATCCGTATATCTTTCCAGGCGTTCGGAACCTACACCGCCCTCACCGGCCTACCGTTGACCCCTGACGTCACCTTCTCCTCTCTGGCTCTCTTCAACCAACTCGGGATACCGCTCTTCCTCCTTCCCATATCCCTGGCCATGACCGTCAATGCAGTCGTCAGCACCAACCGCTTGCGGAAGTTCCTCCTGGCCCCTGAGGTCGAGGGAAACGAGTCCGCATTGATCGACGGAGAAAAACTACCGGTGATCAAATCGGTAAGCGGCTTAGCCAGGGTTCGACTTTCAATTCAATTTTATTCAAGAAGACATGTATTCGATACTCCTTTTAAAAAAATACATCGATAATTCAGTAGAGAAAATTAGAACAGAGGCAAATAACAAAATCAATATAATTTTATATCGAATATAATAAACAAAAATAATGTATGCTTGAAACTAATAATATAATAAGAATTATGATCTATGTACAAGAGAAAAGAAAGAACATGAAGCTATTTAAGTAAGCCGAGGTTTGTGAAAAACAGCCCGTACAGACAAAAAACAACAACAACTACTACAAACAAAACAAGACGGGACAGACAGACAGAAAATCCGTGACTGCTGACGGCAAAATAATACAAAGAAGGAATCTAATATCTGATGACGACTAAAAACTGATGACGACTTTAGCGGTAACCCGCTAGCCAAATACTAGTCCAAACAGCGGCGGGCTAGTCAAACTATTCCTTAAGTAGCCCGGCTGGCGAGCTAAAAATCACTGGGATACGGCAAAGATGAAAGGACAGGAAAAAAGAAAAACGTTACATTCAGATGGCAAACCTGTATCAATTTCTGTCTATTTTTTTTTTTACTGGGACCAGCTTTACTTGTTAGTTTGCTACCCACAATGCTTTGTTTATATTTTCTCCCCAGTTTGGGGGGGAAAGATAATACAGTCATCGGCGCCCTTGAAAATAGGAATTTAGTGCAACATAATGTTCCCATTGTAAAGTCTTTACTTTCAATCTTAATATTTTTTTAGGCTAACGGCCAAGAAGCCAATGTGGAGTTCCGCCAGCCTGGTGAGGTGACGAACGGTGGCAAGCTCAGCACGCATAATACCATTGGGATCCAGACCGGTGACGACATAGAGCTAGTCAGCTATGGGAACAATGCCACGGACAGCAACGGGAACCCTGGGAAGGAGGGAGTGGTGAATGGTGCGTTCATCGCGCCAAAAGATGGCGACGGTCTGAAACCAGACATTGCTGTAAAGGTGAGGAAAACATTTAACTTCTTTTCTGCTTCATACTGAAAGGTTGGTATTCCAAAACTGCGTTAACGCACATCAAAATGTTGCGGTGTTTAGTGCAGAATAAACATTAAACCGTTGAATACATGAAGAAATATGGTGACCACTAACAACTTTGGAGAAATGTCCTCGATCTGGATTAGTATGAATTTCCGAAACAACATTGCTTTTGTTCCAAACAGTTTGACGCCTATGTTTCAATCATATTTCTGATTGCATGAAACATTGCAGAGAATCTTGTTCGCGGTTGTGTTGATGCACATTAATGAGAATTATTCAATCTTGATGTGTGCATGCGAAGTTCGATTTCCGAACTAGCATATATTTTTCAGCTACATGGTGGCCCACAGTGGCAGAGTTGTAACACATTGTGACATTCTTAATGACAAGGTAGTGACAAAGTGAATTAAGTGTAGGTATCTCCTTGGATAATTGTTTCATGTAACTGCATCTTGTTTTCTGCATCAGATCACTAACGGCAATTTCATTTGGGATCCGGAGGGCAGCACGCCCGTTATGTCCGACATCAACATCGAGGTACCGGCGGGTAAGCATTGTGGTTCACGAATGAAGCTTCATCGATCCAAACACTATCCCTAGTGTAACCGGACAATTCTATATGCTTACTTCAAAGACTATAACAAAATTTATTTTCTTGTATTGAATTAGGGCGTTGTATAATAAAAACGATGTCATTTTGTGGGCAGCAAAATAGAGAAACACGCATTGAATCATGTTAGCAACTTGACTGCATTGAACAAACTAAAGATTGTGAACAAATAAATTAGTGAAATATTTTACAAATAAATGAGTGAAATATGTATGCTTACGTATTAAGTAACATCGGATGCACGTCTGTTTATATCAAAAATAAAATCGTCAAAAATATTGCAACTGAAATAGATGGTGAACTCACGAGGGGCCACTTTATGTATGACTCTTTGCACTTCATTAACACTTTGATAATTTACTTTTTAGGAAAACTCACCATGATTATCGGTCAGGTCGGATGTGGCAAGTCGTCGCTGCTGTCCGCCATTTTGGGCGAGATGACCACCCTCTCTGGAAAAGTGGAAATAAACAGGTGACAAGATTTTCATTTGGAAACATTCGTTTATCTCCATGGCAACATGAAAATATAATATAATACGACATAACAAAGACATATTAACCCTAAAATGGCCGGGGGCGGGATCCACCCCCACACTTTTTTCCGCGATACCCTTGCAAAAAAATGTTTCCAGACCCGAGCTTTCCTGAGTTTTTTAGCCTCGTGTCTTGCGCATCTTTTGATACCAAAAACATACAATTCTGACCTTGGGTTACCGCGCAGCGATTTATATTTGAAAACTGAATTTCCCCATATGAAATGTACACAAAGCAGAAATTTCATTGGTACATATGAATACTTATTTAGCCGATAATTCAGAAACCCTTTAACCTATAGTCATGGAATTTCTTGTGTAAGTTTACTTTAAGTTGTTCTATGCTTGCACCAAGTTGCAAAATTTTTCATCACTCAATGGCCCAGATCTGAGGAGGGGGCGTAATCCCCCCCCCCCCAGCTGTGAAATGTAATTACAAGGATGAAAAAGCATTGTCATTTCCAAACACTTACGAAGTTAAGAATACGGAGCTACGATGTACACAGTTGGAGAATGTTAGGTAGCAACGATACGAAACAAATTACAGAGGATACAATGTAGTGCCTAACAACAATTAGGGACTAATAAACTAAGAAATGCGCGTACGGAGTACGCACGCGCCTCGGTAAAATGTGCCGATTACTGCACCATTTCCATGTACTTTTCACCAGGCTCACATTATAATAATTTCAACATTTTAATACTGGAGACTTATACTGCCGATAGTTTATCCGGTGAAATAACCACACGAAATGATGATGTCAAAGTCGACATTTTTCGAGCTGCACGCGTGTACCATATACTCAAAAATATTTAATTGTCCCTAATTGTGTCTAAGAAAAAAAATTAAATACATTTTGTTGTGTTTTGACTATATTTGTTTCAGATTTCTTTATTACAAAATGAATGTTTTATTGATAAGCTGATGCTCTTCTTTCCTCAGAGAAAAGGGAAGCATAGCGTTTGCTGCGCAGAAGCCGTGGCTGCTGAACGCCTCGCTGCAAGACAATGTGCTGTTCTCAAAGGAAATGAACAGAAGAAGGTTTGAAACGGGGCATTTTTATTTTTTGAAGTGAATGAGTATAACTTAAAACAACTTCCAGGCAGAAAATAGTTCGCATAAAAAAGAGTCAACAAGTCTCTTAACTTGTTTGATGAAAGGTTGTGAGTTGTTAAACTCTTCCATTTGCGACGGATCAACCAACCTTGGAAATTCCTAGTTTTTTTGTAAAATCCATATATCTATTTCGTGAAAAACTTGTGGGGTACCACTTTAGTACCCCACAAGGTCACAAAATGGCCTTGTGGGGTACCTCCCATTGTTCCGGTACCCCACAACCCCCCATATACACCCACACTACTTCGCGTCAGCTAGTGCATGAGAACAATTCAAAAGCTTGCTCACGTGGGACTTGAACCCACGACCTCCTGCTTACTAGTGCAGACATCCGAACTACCCGACTCCCAAGCTACCAAGCTCGCTGGGATTGACTGGCCGATACCAATGTAATATAGCATGGGTGTACCACAATCAATATCTTGTACGGTGGCTATTTTGTCAGGAAGATGTAAATTTGATATTTGGGTTTTATCATTCAAAATCTTCAGATAAAGTCAGCTTACTGTTTGACGTCTTGTTAGATGAATCTCCTGTGCATGTCCATCATGCAGTAGACTTTGAAACACGTATCAACTCATAATTCTAACTTTCAGGTACAAGGACGTGATAAGCGCCTGCGCTTTGAAGCCAGACATCGACATCTTACCAGCCGGGGATCAGACAGAGATTGGGGAGAAAGGAATCAACTTGAGCGGTGGTCAGAAGCAACGAGTCAGTGTAGCCAGGACCATGTACTCCGGAAGAGATATCATTATCCTGGTAATATCTCGGACACAATGAAGATATTAATACCCAAGAAATCAGTGGCGTACATCCCATGGGGTTGCGAGGACATCCTCTCCCCCCAAAACAAACCAACCAACAAACAAACAAACAAACAAAAATATGAATATAGGTGTGGGCCATATGATAACATCACACACATTTGACGCGGACGCCGCCGCCCGCCCTCCACTAAAAATACCGTCTGTCAACGAGACTACACATTGAAGTAAAGAACTGAAAAGGGTGGAATAAAAAAGACCACACGAGCCATTCTTAAAGGGTAAACTTTAGTTTAAAGTTAATAGAGCAAACCGGCAGGAAAGAAAGTATACAAAATACATACGTACAAGTACGCTACCAATTTCTATCATGAAGTACACTACTAAAATGTCAAATGTCCCGCCCACCCCTTGTGTCCGGAAAACATCAAGACTTTCCGATAAACAACCCTCAGTTTTCACACATTTATGAATGCATGCAGCTTTTGTAATCTACTGCAAAGTAATGTTTCTTGTCTGGATGTCTTTTCTATCTGCGGTAGGATGATCCTCTGTCAGCTCTTGATGTCCACGTTGGCCGCCATCTTTTCGACGAAGGAATCGTCAATTGGCTACTGAGCAACAACCAGACGGTGATTCTTGTCACACATCAACTGCAGTACCTCAGCAGAGCTGATCTGGTGGGTGGCTCGATTTTTTTTAATGATTATTCCTTACTTTTACAATTTATGTTTGACATGCCATGTTGACATACAATGTACATTTTCGTGTGGCTCTAGATAATTGAAATAAAAGACGGGCGGGTAGCTGCTATGGGTAGCCTGGATGACGTTATCAAGGCCGACCCCGAGACCTACAGCAGCTGGCAGCAGGAGGTGGAAGAGGCGGAAGGGGCGGGGTCAGACTCGGAGCAAGTGGTTGAGGCTGAAGAGGAACGGCAAGTCCTCAAGCGGCAGCTGTCCAAGAGGGAAAGCTTCGTCAAACAGATCTCCAAAGGTACCTCCAGTGGCTATTTGACTCTTGGTATGGGTACATGCAGCATCGTCACTTCAGACGTACTCCAGAAGTCCACGGTCAGATTGACCCATAGGCCGGGTTCTACTTGGCCTGACAGGCTGACACTTTTGCCAAGGTTTCCGGTTCAAAATGACCCCAAAAAAGAGTCAAAGATACTTGGAAGTGTCAATTTGACCGATAACGGGTTAATTTTGACCCTGAAAAGTACATTTACCTCTCCACGTAGCCTTGAAAGCTTCTTCAAGCTTTGTGTTCCTTGTTGTAGAATGAGAAATGTGACCTAAACCTCCTTCCGTTCAAAAGTTGCCAGTTCCCAGGCAAGAGAAGGCTCTTACTTCAATGGCAGCCTCGCCACTGACCAGAACTTCCCCCCACCAAAGTTGATGAGAAAACGGGTTCGGCCTCCGATAACATGCCCTTGTGCCTCCTATCTCTGAGTAGTATCTCTGAGTAGTGGTTCCCAATAGCTCCATCAGTGTTGATCAATGAGTTTTCTTCTCATAAATCTTTCAGGATAGTTACGAACTGTTACCGTGAGAGTAATAACTGATTGCAGACGGTAATTGTCCAAATTAAACACCTATTTAAAGCATTTCAAGCATTTCAAGCACATTATAAAGTTGAACAAAGAAATTATCTGGAACAGGATATAAATCTACAACCTCAGGAGCATCGTGCCGGCACTCGACCAACTGAGCCGAGCCCTTTCTTTACAGCCGAAACTGAGAGTCGGGTTGGTGAAGCGGTACTTTCCTCGCCTTCCACCGCTGTGACCCGGGTTCGATTCCTGCCTGAGCCAATATGTGGATTGGGTTTTCAGTCCCTACCTGATTCCGTGGGTTTTCCTCAGAATACTATTCTGGGCTTTTCCTGCCAACCCTAAAACTGTAATTTCTTCACAATGTCTTCTCTTTACTGGGACACATAGGATATCAGTGGATAAATAAATAAATAAAACAAGCATCAAATGACATCAGTTATACACAAAAATAACCGGACATAATACGTAGCTCTGCTTACGTATAGAAAATTACAGCTATAGTACTGAATGAAAACATCCACATTTTGTCCTTTCACAGACGAGGAAAAGAGTGGTGGCAAGCTGATAGAGAAGGAGGAACAAGCCCGTGGCTCCGTGTCCATCAAGGTGTACTTCTACTATCTCCGGAGCGCCGGTTGGGGTCTCGTAGCCTTCGTGCTGTGCATGACGGGCGTGACGTCAGCGTTAAGCATCGGTAATTCCTTCTGGCTGTCTGCCTGGTCCGAAGCGGGACTGTCCAATGAGGTAAGATGTGACTTTCTGGACAGACCACGTGGCTCTGCGGAGCGTTGGGGTCCAGTGGTTAAGCTGTTCGACTCGCGTGTCGTGCTACGTGGTTCAAACCCTGACGGGGAGCACGGGGCTTGTATTCTTGGGCAAGACACTTGACTACAATTGCCTCTCTCCACCCAAGAGAATACACGGATACCTGGGAAGGTAGAGACCAGATTGTGCTCATCTCGAGCTGCTGCAAAAAGTGGTCTCATGATGGCCTGATGAACAGGGGTAATAATTGTGAAGCGCTTTGAGAACTTTGGTATAAAGCGCTATATAAGCACCGCATGATTACTTTTTTCCCCTCGGCATTACGGGCGTGAACCGTTTTAGCTCACAAAATTCCCGTATTTTGAGGGTTTTTTTGTTGATACTCCAAAACTAAAAAATAGCCCGGGGCCCAACCGTCGCACAGTAGGCCAGAGTAAGGCCAAAGTGCGCCAAACAGTGTCACATGCGATGAGATATCTTTACAATATTTAAGTCGCTAAAACCCTGAGCGACTATTTTATGAAGCAATTTAGATCCAATTACAATATATCATCAACGATTCGTCCTTCCGTATTAAAATCCCTCTTATTCAAAGGAAAAAAACCCGACAAAGCCGAGTAATTCACAAAGAAAAATTCAGGTAAGTTTTCGCAAAGCCAAGGTGTTAAAATTCACTAGAGGCTATTTCAGTGTTTATTTCTGATACAAAATTAAATTAATAATTGTTTTAAATCTTATTTAAAAAAAACACCCAGACAACTATCAGTTGTTCCGAATACACTGAGCACAAATCCTCACTCCCCTCGTAAGAGGTTTTAGATGGAGTACTTTCTTGGAGCTAATCATACCTTTGGTTTTACATAGAGCGCGACCACGACAGCGGAGTACTTGGGTGGCTATGCCGGTCTCTCTATTTCAATCATAGTGGGTCAGATCGTGTCCTACTCCTTACTCGTGATAGCCGCCCTAGTTGCTGCGAAGAGTCTCCACCAGAACATGCTACGCAACATCATACAAGTGCCACTGAGGTAGGAAAAATAAGCATAGAGATGAATTTTGCCACAAGACATCGGCTATAGATCTTTATCATGCTGCCACAATTTCAGTCATGTTCCCTGTATCCAATAACATACTGACAGACAACGTTTTTGTGCAAAAATGAACCAGACTATTTTTCCTTCCAGCCTCGCTTTGGTGGCGTTGATTTGAATGGGTAAAAAATTAACATGGCCGTAACATGATAATGGTCTATTTCATAAGCAACATATGACAATCACCAATACCGTGTTGCAACACTCATAACTCACAGCCAACTGACACACCTAAGCGAGCAGGACACTCAACGGGCATCCCACTCCAACACAATGCCCAGGGCCCACAGCCAACTGACACACCTGAACGAGCAGAACACACTAGGGGCATCCCACTCCAACACAATGCCCAACAGACAACCAATCAGAATCTACCAACACAAGCACTCCCAATCCTAACACAGCCTTCTTAAGGAGCAGCATCTCCAACTCTCCTCAGTCTCCTGACGATGACTAGAGCAGGCTAGTCGAAACTTTGAGACCAAAGACAAGTTCTTAGACAAGAACTTAAAGCAGGACCGTTCTGATCAGAACTAAAACTACTTAGAGAATGTTGATAATAAGCAGGACAAGTTTTTATCAGAACTAAATATCTACTGAGCGAAAGTAGTTATTACCACATGGTGTTACCGCAAACCAAAACGATAGTTTCGCAACAGTCGGGTCGAGAATCCACCAAAGCATTCTTTGAAATGCAACAAGACAGAAGCAGCCACAAGAAAATTGTCTTTTATCAATAGACAAGCGTGTTAACACTTACAATTTAAGATAGAGGCCTAAGTTGACTGACAAATTACCATCATTACTGTCGACCAATACCACTACTGTACAGTGGACCAATATCACTACTGCCTCTTTCTGATTGAACGAGTCACCTTTACAGGCGAACCCCAGGTGCTATGATCGCTCCCTACGGATCTTAACTCCTGAGGCCTTTAACTGCTCATGTATATCTTTGAACGAGGCTATTCTATTTTGTGTGACGTTTATGAAAAACATTAAACCTCTAAAGATAAAACAAAAACATTAAATTTCTTAATTTTTTCAGGTTCTTCGATACTACACCGATAGGAAGAGTTCTGAACCGATTCTCAACCGACACTCAATTGATAGACAGCGTAAGTACCAAGATTTACTCTTATAAAATCTAAAACCTAGCCCATCTAAGCGACAGTGAACAAAACAGTTCAATAAAGACGGAAAATACTTATACAGACGTACTCTCGGAATACTTTGATACTCTTCTTATGAATTATTTGCTTCGGACAAGGGCAAAAACCAATTTTAATTCTCTTTCGGCTAAACTTCAATCTTTCAAGACTCAGATAGAAAAAAAAATGTACCAGATGATACAATCGAATCAAACGGTCAACTGGCAACGACAAACAAGGTAGTTCAGTGATTAGGAATTCTGGACAAGAAAAGCAGCGAAATCTTTCTGGCAAGCTCACTGAATGTACAAACGTTGTGCAATTTTCGTCGGTGAGGGGCAAAACTAAACATGATTGTACATCGTTCCCAAACTCAAATTATCATCCTACAGCGCGTCCCAAAATACCCGCAACTTATTTTGCGAGGCTCCAGTGTAAGCAAGGGAACAATACCGCCATTATCTTTATACCATTTTAAACCTTGGAATCTTAACTTTATCCCTGGCGGGTATTAGTTTGATATTTAAAAGAGTTTTAAAGTTATTCGTGTTCAAATAAAGGCATGTCGAAAACAAACAAACAGACTCGAAAACAAAATAAAAGGCAACCAGATCGTCACATCTTGAACATGATGAACCATTTCTACATGAGAAAAAAAAATGCGCATGATTGATTTTCATTGAAATCTGTTGAGTTTGTTTTTGACACGCATTATTTGAACACGAATAATTTCAAAACCCTTTTGAAAATCACACCAATACTTCCCAGGGATAAAGTTAAGATTCCAAGCTTTAAAATGATATAACAATATTAGCGGTACGTGTTTCCGCGCCCGGCGCAGCGACGCTAGAACCTCGCAAAAGAAACATGTTGCGGGTATTTTGGGACGCGCTCTACAAGCCATTATGCACGATTCTTGTTTTTCTTTCTGCAGAGGCTTTCCCAGACGTTAAACAGTCTTCTTCAGTGTTTCATGCAGTGTCTGGCTGCCATCTTAGTCAACACCATCGTCATGCCTTTCTTCATCGTCTTCATTGTGCCTATAGCCATTGGTTATTACTTCCTACAGAAGTACTTCATCACAACCTCCAGGTAATGGCAGTACCAAGCTAACAGAGCTGGGCCAAGAGCACACCAAATTCTATTCAACTGATTCAGATTGGCTATTCACTGGAAGTCTTTGCATGCATTTGGTCTGCACAATGAGCCTGATGTAGCCTATTCATTTGGCGTTACGGAATAATCCTGTATTACTCTCTAAATTCCAAAGATAAAAATTCACTTCACTCGAGTGAAGATTCACTCCCACAATCGGAAACTAGGGACTAGACGTTTTAGAGTGAAATTTCTTCAATCGTAAAGATCGAGTTTTCACTCGAGCTTCGACTGAAGTGGTTCAGTTTTCAGACCATTTCAATAGAAAATGAGTGTGATTTTCACTCTAAAACGTCTTGTCCCTCATTTCACTCTTTGGAATTTAGAGAGTATTGGACTGCCTGGTTTACGAAAATTTGACAGTCAGTCAGTCAGTTAGTCAGTCACTAGAAGAGAAAGTGCAACAAGGATTCCAGGCCGTCCCTCGGGGACGCACTGTGATTAATAAGCACAAAGCAAGTTGACCTCAACAATGTATTGCTTTCAACTAGATTACTTTTTGACGGGCACAAAACCTTGACTATTAGAACAATGCTCCATTATTGTAATCATGTTATATCCGTCCAGTTTATTTATGGCGAGCACAGTGATCACTGTACTTTTTTTTTTGGTAACCGATATTTTTAGTTGGGTGATCGTTTTAAATGTTCTTTTCGATCATTTCCAGAGAGCTTCAGCGCATTGATAGCACAAGTAAGTCACCCATCTTTGCGTACTTTTCCGAGAGTCTTGGCGGATTGTCCACGATTCGAGCTTATGGGTGAGTGTTATTGTTTGACTTCAAAAGCTCAAAGTATAGAATTTACATTTACAAAATCTCACAGTCGTTAAATTAGAAAAAAAAACACATTTACTCATTCAAGGTTCGGAGATTCACGTAGATCCACAGCATAACAATATCCCAAACTGGTGCAAGAAAGTAACTTTGGTATTGCTACTTTTCAATTCTCAGGGATGGAAAGCGCTTCTACGACACGCTGATATCTCGCATCGACAGGAACCTTGGACCCTATTTGTACCTTCAAGCAGCAAACCGGTGGCTTGGTTTCAGACTGGTAAGGTTTCACGTTGGACGGATTATCTGGACAATAGTAGGCACCGTGCTTTCGCTATTGAAGAAAACTCCACCTCTCAAATGCCTCTAGTTTGGCTGTGATCTTACTGAATGTCCTTGTTGCTACATGGTATATGTAGCTTTTAACGAGTCTCTTAAAGTTTCTGTCGTGTGGCAATCCACTTGGATTCCAGGAACGTTAATTGTAAAACTTGACTCATGTGGGTTTTTTCCCGGCCATCTTTATGTTTCAGGATTTCATTGGCTCCTTGATCGTGCTGTTGGCAGGCTTGTCCACACTAGTAGGTGCCCTCACGTTTGGCGTCGATCCAAGTTTAGTGGGACTGGGTATCACCTACTCCCTACAGGTATTGTAGAGAGATCAAAATACTTTTTATATTGCATTATTGCTGATCGAAAAGGGCCAGCCTATTAGTGTCATCTTTGTACCCATTTCTCTTATTGACGGACTGGCTGGCTGTCGCTTTGTGACATACTGGTTACAGACTGAGGAGGAGAGCTGGGCAGTGCTATCGTACAGGATTACCAATGAGTGGGCTAAATCTCACCCACTGTGCAAACCAGATGCATGAAAAAAAGATTTCAGTAAACAGTCATCCGTGATTCAACTAAAAATAACTTTGTACGGTTTCGCATCAGCTTTACTAGCCTAGTCTTTTCTTGTTTCTTTAAATTCAAATGTACTGAAACAGTTACATAAAATGAAGACACTACTTAGAGATTATATTCCATATTTTGGTCTCACTTGATTTCATAATTTTTGTTGATCGATCTTGCGTATCTTATTTCTAGGTTTCAGGGTATCTTAATTGGTTGGTAAGGAACGTGGCGGAAGCCGAATTGCAGATGAACAGCGTGGAGCGAGTCAAGTTTTACACTGATGTCGAAAATGAGCCCTATGAAGGTATTGTGGCAACTGCATTTCTTATCCGCACAAAAATGCAGCTTAAGCGAATTCACACACAACACATGCGACACCCAATGTTCGTTCAGATGACTTGTCGTGAAGTCAGTCACAAGTCAAATCACATGCATGTCAAGTCACATGTCAATCACAAGTAAAACCACAAGCAAGATCACAAGAATTGGGGCCATAAATTGGTGTCAAATATATTTTTCGTATCCCTGTTACATCTGTAGATTCATGAAACATTCTCCTAGAGTGATTATGTCTTAAAGCCAAAAGACCTATCAAACAAAGAAAAGAAACATTCGATTTTAATGGTATTTGTATGGCAAATTACACAGGTCAGGTGTAATGTTCAGGGAAACAAAAGGAGTAACAGTTTTGGACCCCACGTCTATGGAATGACCCATTGAAGAAAGATGAACAATGTCAGAGGAATGCCTCTGGCATGGTTTATTTGAATTGTTTTTCACTTGACTGGAGAATGGATGGCTTGCGATTGACTTAGGGTTGACTTCACAGAAAAACTCAGTCATTTCTCACAGACCCTGATCAAAAATGCTCAAAATCAAAAGTTTGATTTTCAGTTGTTTAACATCAATTCCAAAATTTGGCTTTAGATAAGACGCTGTATAACTTCTTATTTGTAAATAAAGGTAAGGAGCCTGCATCTGATTGGCCACTGGAGGGTGAGATCAAATTCGAAGACGTATCCGTACGTTACGCCAAGGATCTCGATGCCGTGCTGAAGAAAGTCTCGCTGTGTTTCAAGAAAGGGGAGAAGGTAGAATATTCTACTTACGTACGCTTTCTCAAACTTGAGATAACATTTAAGCAATCAAGTTGGAACTTTGCATGTCCAATAAAGTGTGGCTATACACTTTATATAACACCCCTTTTCAAGATATTTTATGATGCCAATTGAGGTAAATAAAGGTCTGTTACAATTTTTGTTCGGATTTGCTGCGAGTAAAATGCAAGGTTTTGTTATTATTTTATGGCGTCAGGTTGGCATCTGTGGCAGAACGGGTAGTGGAAAATCAACTTTGACCCTGGCTCTACTCAGAGTAATCGACATCTTTGAAGGTAAGCAAAGTGCTGCAAATTCTCATGAAAAATCTCTTTACGTTTGTATTTCTACTCTGAAACCAAGCCATATCAACTCTGATGTGTAAGAAAAATACAAGTGAAGATTAAATAGACATGAACATCTGCATGTTGTAGCCTAAGCATCACAAGTTCTATTGGACGTCCATCAAAAGTCATTCCGCAAGATGTCAGAATTAAAAAAAACACTATGTTACGATCAAGCCAATATGGCCCAAAAGGCCGGCGTTTATCTGCCGTTTCTTTGGCATGCAAGTTCTGAGAATATTTGTATACCCCATGGATGACATGCCAGTCCACTGCGAGTTACTAACAAGCTAATGCCGGTCCTCCTGGGTGGAGAGATGCGAGAGGAGGTGAAGTGGCTTGCCCAAGGACACAAGGTATGACTAGCAGCGGGATTCGAACCCCTGACCCTCTCATCATGAGTTACCTATGTCGATACCCATTCATACTCCTTGTTGGAGAGGGGAGCGTAGGGGTGAAATGGCTTGCCCAAGGAAACAAGATATGACTAGCAGTGGGATTCGAACCCCTGACCCTCTGATCATGAGTCACGAACCTTAACCACTAGACCACATCCCCAGGTAATTCACCAATGAGCAGATAATCAGCAGTAACAAGGGCAAACTAAGACAAGGAGTAGACCGGATGATATGGTATTAGCTTCTTGTTGACTAATAGTATTGATGTATCTTTCGATGGCGCTTTCCTCCTACACAGGTCGAGTTCTAATTGATGATGTTGATATCATGACTGTTCCTCTCACAACATTACGAAGCAAACTGTCCATCATCCCGCAGGACCCTGTACTGTTCACTGGTTCTGTCAGGTAAGGCACTTTGTGATCCTGGGCCTACTAACCCTTACATAATAAAACTTTCCCAAAATATAATGGCACCTGCAATCTTCACTTAAAAAAACAACTGTGCAACCCCGGCTGGCTAGAAATAAACAAATTTATGCTTACAAGTATGGCATACAGAAAGAAATTGTGCAATAGCATAAGCACAGGGCCCGACTCGAACATGTGCGAATCTGTGTTCAAGTAGGTGAATGCTAGCAAAAAAATGACTTCCTTGCGTATATGCATGAAATAAACCCTGAACTCCAATAGTATTAACTGGGCCTACGCAGTTGCAAACCTGTACACAAAAAAACTGAGATATTCAATAGAATAGGCCTTCCCCTTGTACACGATACAAAATCCGGAAAAATGTAAAGTATCTTACCTTGGCTTGAAGAGGTAAACGTCAATCCGACTATTTGCCCAAGTGTTTGGTTATCAGGCATCTCTAACGAGATTTGTGCAAATCTTCCTCAACAGAATCAATCTTGATCCGGAGATGAAGAAATCGGATGATGACTTGTGGCAGGCGCTGGAGATTGCACAGCTCAAGGAGGTAGTCTCGCAGCTCGAAGGAGGACTGGGTAAGGAGAAATTGAGACATCTATAAGCTGGAATATTTATAAGTTATCAAAACCTCTCTAGAAATTATGTTGGTCACTCAAAACAATTAGATCAAAATAGGTACGTCTGTAACTGGGAGAAGATGCAATGATCAAGTTCTGAGTTCTTATTACTACTTTTCCAGACGCCAAGGTGACCGAGGGTGGGGAGAATTTCAGCGTTGGTCAGCGGCAGCTGTTCTGTCTGGCTCGTGCCTTCCTGCGCAAGTCCCGGATCCTCATCATGGATGAAGCCACCGCCTCTATAGACTTGGAGACGGTAAAGTTGTTTTCAAATAATAGTTTTAGAATGAGATTTTGTCAAGAACAGAATTGTCTTACTTTGCCAACATCAACAACCGCCAAAATTAACTTAAATGTTTTAAAATGACTAAAAGTAAAATGGGAACTGATTTACCTAATGTTAAAATAAGGTTGATGAAACAAGTTCACATGCACAGGAACGGAAATCGAATCTGGGACCTATAGAATACCGTAGTGGTGCTTAGCTAACTAAGCTGACCAGGCCTGCGTGCAGCCTCCCTAAATGTCAATGTCTTTCTTCGTGAGCCGCCAGTCTGACACACCATAAACGGTATTCAAGGGTTGAAATCCTGTTCTAATGTTCTTTCTTCAATCTTACACAAACTCCAAAGTTTCTTAGATGTTTCAATTTTAAGGTAGTAACATTTTATTTTGAGCACCACTAACGATATCAATTTTTGGTAATCTTAGGACAAGATTCTGCAGTCTGTAGTGGCCACGGCGTTTGCCGACAGAACGGTCTTAACTATCGCTGTAAGTATGCTTTTAGTTTCGTTATAATAGTGGACAGATGAAAGATGTGAAACACAAAAGATGTACAAAACGTTCAAGGAAATAGAATCAAAAATGCATCTTGCTATATCACACGTCAATCAAAAGTGTTTCTGTCTCAACCAAACGATTCGAATTTTAACAGACTAACGCATTCTTTGTGTTGTTTCATCCCCTGATTGTGACCTTAATTGTGATTTGCCAATTGTGATTTGACTTGTGATGGACTTGTCGAAATCTTGCGATGGACTTGTGATCTCAGTTGTGTTTGACTTGTGATCTGACTTGTGGTCGACTTGTGATAAACGTGGGACGTAACTTGTGATTTGACTTGTGATCCGACTTGTGATCCGACTTGTGTTGGAGTTGTGATATAGCTTGCGATGGACTTGTGATGGACTTGTGAATTGACTTGTGATGGATATATATGTAATTTGAATTGTCATGAATGCTTCAACGTCACGGAGCCTTCAACACTCGATTTTGGGGACTCAAACGTATTCGTGGAAACACTCAACAATTGGTAGAAACCCCTCCTTATCACTCATCGCCGAAGCATAGTATAAATTGGACACCAAAGATGCGGTTTTTCATTTTTGTCTCCTTATCATCCTTACACTTTCTCTAGTTAATTTATTTATTTGGTTTTTAATGTTCCTATCCTCAGCATCGCATCGCAACCATCATGGACTCCGACAGCATTCTCGTTTTGGATGATGGTCACTTAGCCGAATATGGCAGCCCATCGGAACTCTTGGCCAATGAGAATGGGATGTTTACATCTCTAGTCAAGGAATAGACCAATCATATGATATATTTTTGTCCTTAAATATTTCAGGGGGGTGGGCATATTACTAATTACAATACATATCAAACAAAAAGACACTGTTTCCAATTTTATATTTTCATTAATCGTTTCAATAATTATTTCCTTGTTGGAAACGCAATCAGACGTATGACCATCTGCTATATTAAAAACAAATAGCTGACTGGGACATCATTAAAATTTGGTCTCAACCATAAGCGCACAAACGCCACCAACTTAGTCAAATTGTAAGAATTATAAGCGCAATTAAAGGAAATTCAAGTTAATACAGTCCTAACTCTTACGTGCGGTTCAAAATTTAAAAGGTAAAACTGAACTTTTATTTAAGGTAAGAAAACAGGGTCTTGTTAAAGTTGTATTTTAATGACCAATAAACAAACGTAAGCTTTTGAAATGATACAAAATTTAATAACATAAATATAGATTGTTCATTCAATGAATACATTGTACATACGGATGAAAGTTGAAACACGTTGCAAATTTCGTTACTTGTGTATTTATAGATACATTTTCTGTTCTGTGTTTTCTTAGTTATTTAAAAATTAAACAGTTTTTAAAATAATTTTCGAACTCCTTCAGCCGTTTAATGTTTATTATGAAGTTTATGAATGATGCCTTTTTGTTTAAATTAGCCAAAAAAATAGACTTTAAACCATATATCTATGTGCATGCAAATTTGCTTCTGATGAAAAACAAACAAAGTTAATACATAATAGTAGTAGATGATAGAATATGACATGTCAAATAAATTTACATCTGATACTACAATCGGCCTATAGTCTCTATAATTTAATTTTTATTCTAATAATAATAATAATAATAATAATACCGGAGTCTTATATAGCACACATATCCACCAACAAGGTACTATAAAGGCGCTAGTATAATTATGTCTATTTTTAAAGACAGGTAAAGAAGTTTATGACTATGAGAAATACGAGACCCATTGTGTAGCAGTTCTATAAAGGGTACACAAGGTGCCACTGCCAGAAACACCGGGGCAAACCCCTTCTCTTTGCGATAAGTGTTATGGTTATTTAACGTGCATTGCATTACGCAACACACGGGAACTACGGCTTTACGTCCCATCCAAAGGACGAAGCAATAATGGTAAATTTAGCGCCTTGCTCAAGAGCACCAGCACCAAGTTCCCCCTCAACATTCGAACCCACGTACCACGTAGGGCACACGAGTTGAATACCATAACCCTCGGACCACAGCCCCCACTCAATTCTGTAATCATATTTTTGGGAGACATTATAGGCCTAATACTAGCTTTCATACTCATAGGGCTACCCTCAGAAAAAAACTTAAACCCTTTAAAGTACATGAAAAGAACGTTTACGGCACTTCGCCGGATACCTATACCCCTCCCTGGCAATGTTGCACGTTTAAATTTGGAAAGTGTAAAAATAATTACATGTACGGGTGTTTATTAACCGGGGCCTGCATTTAAACCTGGTTCAAAGCGTGGCGCGGCCCATGCCCATGACATACCGATTTTTGGCCTACTGAACTAGAGCAAATGTTTTACCTCAAATTTTGAGGAAATTTCATCAAGCTGTAAACATTCCTGCTCATAAGTCTTTGAGTTTACACCACCCGTTACACAACTCGGAGAGATATTTTACTTTGGCATGTTTGGCGCGAATTCCCCGCAATAATTTATGTATTGTTGATGTACCCTAACGTGGCGCGGCCCCTAACGTGGCGCACTTGGATTTTTCGCCGGTAGCGCCTACCTAGAGCAAAATTTTTAACTGAAGTTTCACAGAAAGTGAAATTTCATCAAGTTCTAAACGGTCCTGTTCATAAATCGCGAGTTTATTTACTCGTAACAAAGTTAGAAGGAAAAGCTATTTTGGCGTGATTTTCCGATTTTATTTTCAAGTGCAAAATGAACCCTTTGAAAATGCCCTGAAAAATAAGAAAATAATTTTCTGACAAACATTTGGCTGGGTATGTAAGTAAAGATATTAATTATTTATCAGAATTTATCAAGTTTACAGGAATTCGTAAGTGTTAATTTGGAATTGTCCAAGATTTATTCAAGTGCGCCACGTTAGGGAACACTCCGCCAATTTGTGCCCAATTTCCGGACACCACCGTTTTTGAATTTCGGATTAAATTTTATGAAACTGAAATTGTTCACAGAGGTAAAATAGCAAGCATTGATAAGGTAAAAGTACTAGTATTTCATTGCATGAATTTGAGGTTTGTCAACAAAGAGGTTTGGCAACACTACACGAGGAAAGTCGGGTAAGCTTCGAAGTGCGCCACGTTAGGGAACACGACTATATTATAGGCCGATTGGTGCACAACACGCGGCCGGCCTGCCCTGGGCCGGCCTAAGTAGAAAAAAATACGCCGGCCGCTAGAAAATCAATTTTCTTATAGAAAGACAAACTATAGTTGGATACGTGAGTGGAGAAAATAATAGTTTATCAAAATGTGTCCATGTTAGAGAAATTCTTTAATGTTTACTTCAGGGAATTTGTTAAATTTCAAGTGCGCCTCGTGCGTGTACATGACTCTGTATGGGAACGCGGGCGCAGCCGATTTTGTGCCCAATTTCCGGACGCCATCGGTTTTGAAATTTACTAAATTCAACCATATTATTACTCGCGAAAGTTTAACAGGTTGCAAGCATAAGGTCATAATATTAGTATTTAACTGAAAAGTGTAAATACACAAGTTTACGTACCCATGGTTACACATTGTGGTAGCAGCATTATTGTATTACGTCTTGCACAACCACGCGAAATTTTCAACTTTTCCCTCCGATGATGTGATTGCATAACCGATCATCACATCCGTCATGCGCAGTTTAGTTGCAGTGGCATTTGTGTACTCCAATATTGTCGTGTGCATTAATATGATGATACGCTATCGATTCGTTTGTTTGTGCAATGTTATGATTGCACAACGTTGTGTCACTGAACTGTCAAGCTCCAAGTCTGTGTCGGTGTGTTGTTTCCTTATAAATCTTCGTCATTTCCCGAGCAAATCTCATTTCCTTCTGGATATGACACTGTAAAGATGACAAGGTGACGCTAACAACGAGCTGGTCATGGACTGATTTTAGAGTTAGACGTGAGTATTGTCAAATAGGCCTACTTTAGTTTGGACTTTTGCTCGGTATGAAATTATCACGAAATAACTGCAGCGTATACTCTAAATCAGTACTCAACCATGTCAACCTGTGTTATATTATGTGGATTGTGAAGTGACTGGTCCCTTTTTTGTCTTGATCAAATGAGGCCTAGTTCTAATTTCTATCTGTTCAAATAGTGCTGTCTTTTGTGAATTTTGTCATCTTCAATCTTCATCCTCGCTTTACCGGTGATCACCAGTTTTGTGTTGCCTTTTGTGAATTTTGTCATCTTCATCCTCGCTTTACCCCCCAATTTTCCCCCCCCCCCAAAAAAAACCCTGCCCTCTATCCATAGCACACCTGTTGGTTTGTTATGTCGCTAACTAGTTTGGTATTAAAGTCAATTACCTTAAAAGTGAATTTTGTGTTCCCTTATAAATTATATAAGTTATATTACTAGGAACAGGGCCCTGCACCACACAATCATAGATGAAAGTAAACTCTGAAATATAATTTGCCGGACACATTTGTGCGTTCTGTATAATTAGGGCCCAAAATTGCTGTGTGGTATCAAACAGTCTTAACACAGGGGCGGGACAATTTATTTGTTAACACGGTTTTTTTTCTTTCTTTCTTTTTCTCTTTCTTTTGTAGGATGATTCACTGAAATACAAAGTCGAGACAATCAAGCAGTAAAAATGCCGCCCACTTCAAGGGGAGGGGACAAGCAGCGTGGAAGGGGGCGTAAGCTCTTCCTTGAAGACAGCACCTTCCAGCGCCACTATGACGCCATGGCGAAGAACCGGATCAAGTACGCTGCTGTCCTGACCATGCTGCAGAGAACTGGCACTGAAATATCTCATGGTAGGGCCAAAATGAAAGTACTTCGGCGAACAAAATTAGATTAGAAGACATTTTTGCAGTGGAACCAACAGTATTAAAAACCAGTTCGTGTATTGGTTAAAGGGACACTGCATTCTGGAAAGCGCCTAATTAAAAAGGCTACAAAATGCATTTCGAACGAAATGATGTTAAATCGGAAAGAACATTCAAAAGTAAGATATGTAAACGTCCACATAACCATCCTTTCAAAACTGGGCGTTTTTTTATGTTTCTCACGAGAACGACATTGGGGTCCACTTTTGCGACCCGAAAAAGTTGGGCTATTTGTGATAGTTGTGAATTCAGCTGAAAAGGGTTCGCCTTTTGCGGACGTCTAATGTGCTGTGTGTAATATTAATGTGACACACACACAAGGTGTATCGTACTTTGAATAGAATGACAAGAAAAACGTATGCGTACTCCGTTGTGAACAACCGTTTTTGTTTTGTTTTTCTCTCGGGAGTGGTAAGACATAAGGTTGGTTTCCTTTTCGGAGATTTTAGAACGCAGTGCCCCTTTATAGAATCGCGAAGTGCGTTCATACTACATATACCTGCGGAAATGAACACCAAATCAGTCTATTCGCATTGAAATTTGTTTATAAGACCACAGGAGGATAAACTTCTCTCCTCAGAGTTGACTCATTAAAATTAAGTAAAACAAGTTTTTTTTCAATATGTCTATGCATACTTTTACAGCCTCAAAGGTTCATGCCCTGGCAGCAGCCTGGGCCCACAGTGACAATGAACTTGCCAACTCCCTGCTCGGTCATAACTCCAACGAGTTCGGCCTGGTGGAGGTCCTCAAGGCAGCAACCTTGCTGGATACGAGCCGCAGGATCCGGGAGTGGGAACGCAAGCTGAAGCGTCTGCAGATGCACCCCAAGAAACTGCCGCGCAAGCAGAACCAGGCGGTGGGCAAGATCAAGTCTGTGATTAAGAACCTGACGAGCAACAAGCCCAAGGTCGGTTGAATTCTTCCCAGAAATTTGTGTCAAGTCAAATCTCTTGTTTATTTGTTCCAGGAATTTTGATGTATAGATTGTACGCTTAAGTTACATGTAGGACAAATTTCACAAATGTTTGCGGTGCATTATAGTCAGTGACTTGTGCAAAAGTACAAACTTGCGGTGTTACTTAGACATGCATTTAACAAGATTGCATCGGAGAACGTGATAACAGGCACTGGCTGTTTTCATACACAGGCACGGCGGACGGTTTAAAACGTCAAGATTGCGTTGACTCGCCTCTGGGTGACATCTAAAAATGCTTATCCCTCATGTCTCTTGTACACACACAAAGTCCGTGAAGTCTGTGGAGGTGGACCGTGTGTTGATCTTGAATTGGCCACTGTGCATGGCCTGCAAAGCTCAGAGTATTGAAACATATGAGGTTTCAGCAGGAAAGATCGTACAAATAATGTTGAAACAACTCATGCGTCAGTGTTTGTGGCGTTAAGCTGTATATCAGAAGTTGGGAGGAAAATCTTGCCTTTTGCAAAAATCAAAATTTTCAGCCAAAATAATCCCGGCGCAAAGTGGTTAAATGCGACAAAAGTCAAAACGTACAAATAGAAAGTGAACAGTTTACATGCTAATCCCGATTGATAAAGAGCCTGTCTTTGTTTTTTCAGGCTGGGTCATTGAGCGGTGCGGTGGTGCGTCGTATCAAGCGCTGGATGACTAGCGTTGCCACTCGTGATCTGGAGTTCTTTGCCCTGCACATGCCCAAGGAGCCATGGCAGAAGCTAGCTGACCTTGTGCACTTCAATCCTTGCAAGGTGAGATTCCCCCCACCCCCACCCCCCACCCCCCCCCCCCCCCCACCCACCCCCCATAGGACAATCAAGTATAGGTGGCGGTCTTCATCGTGTAATATATGCTAACGGACACTCAATTTTTGCCGACGGGACGATTTTACTGACACCACCCCTCCTCCTCTAGCGATGCCCGCTACCTCTGGGCCTAACTTCATGGTTCCTCTTACCACAGAATTCGGCACTTATGATCACCAGTTTGTGCTAACCGCGCTAGCATAGTAACCCTTTTAAGCACAGAATCCTTAGTTACCGGATGTACGCATGCGCATGATTCCTTGCTTTTCCTTGTAATGCGCTTACCGTAAGCACGGAATTTTCTGCTAAAGTAAGCAAGGATTTTTCACTAGTAATGGTAAATAGAGCCCAGAAATTGGGCTGCGGTTTTTTCGACCACTCTGTAGAATGAGGGAGTTTCTTTCATCAAAGTTGTCTCTGGATGCATACGACTGCTATTGCATGAACCATTCCACGCTTATTGAAAATCTTCTCAGGACTTCCCCAGCGTGCCCTGGTTCCTGCCGTACTGCTACGGTAAGAGCGCCCCCTATGACTCGACCGTGTACAACTGCAGTAACCTCAGCGAACGCAACGTCAACAACTTGCTGCGGCTGTACGACATCCCGTACGCACATGTCAAGCGGTTCAAGCAGGTGCTGACCGAGGAATCCAAGGAGCTGATTAGTGGGAAGGAGAAGTTGGACACAGTGCTATGGTGAGTCTAAGAGGACCAGCTATTTAAAGAAAAATGAATAAGCTTTAACCCTTTCCTTACCAGGGGCAACTTTTGTTGACAAGGAACTGCCCCCTGCTGCTCACCATAGGCGACTTTAGTCAATCAGGAAACCACACAAAGTACACCCTCAACACAGATTTATTCACTACTTCTCAGAAAGGCGGCATGTTGGTGTGTTTGGCCGCCCATACATCAACATCGGATCGTTCTAATGGTGTAGTTTATTCTGGTGTCACCATTACAAAGCTTCTTAAAAAAACTGCTTCAGAAGTATCCACGCACAACTTGAGGTATGGAGTGCCATTTGGTCATGTGGTGAAATGGCTTGCAGTTTGATAAATGGGGCCAGATGAACAAAAAGGCATAACTTTCGTATTATTTGCACATTTTGACTTTATTTTTACATCACATAAACGAGTAAGGTTCAAGGAACAAACTTTACACAAAACACCCACGATTTTAATCACTCGTTGGCAGTGAAAATCTGGGTTGGAAAAAAGTGAGTTTTCAACTTGTGGTCATTTTTTCATGCTCTAGTGAATTCCGCACAACTGAGCAAACAATTTGGTCCTGGGGAGAGCTAAGTCAATAAACAATGTGGTAATGAAAGGGTTAAGACCAGTTTGTACTTCACGCGAAAGCAAAAGCGGAACAAATTTCATGACGTCAACAACTGTTTCATTGTGACCCCTCGATTACAAGTGTAATGGACCTTTAAGTCACCGTATACTCAGCTAGCCAGTTCCGATCTGTTACAGCTTAATGACTTGTACGTTGAATCCTTTCGCGATGAAACTTTGTCCGATGTGAAAACATTTGCGTGAACATTTTTATATTTTCCGTGCCTTCCCATCAAAAGGTGATTAGAAATTGTCTCTTGATTTTATAGGTACTATGAAGATCTGAGCTGCCCCGCTGTCGACGCAGTGATCATGCACAGAATCATGGCAGGCGAACCAGTGAATCTTCCCTACGGGAAACTCATGGAGCGTCTTCTTATCATCAAGGTCATGAGAGAGGGTGAGACACAAATCTTGTTCAGAGTGCCGCTACTTTCACGAAAGGGCTGTCTTGTCAGAAATTGGGGTTTTTTTTATACTAAGTAAGCATCTGTGCGCCATAAAATTGGTGGCAGATGATCTTAGATCTAACAGGTGGAGATACAGCTGCATAGCCTGAGCTGTACGATTAAAAAAAAACATTAGAAAACACCATTGATGTGTCACCAGATGCAAGTTATGATTTTCCGTTCTCTTTTTTTTTTTCTGATTATAGAAATGATGGCAACTCAGAAGAAGACCATTGCCGAGTTCTATCAGATCCTTCTACCGATTGCAGAGCACAGGCTGTCAGAGATTAAGTAAGTTTTTGATCAGCATTCTGTCACACTTTAATTGAGGATATTTGGGATGTTTTGTTACTGTTGGTGGCAGTTGGACAAGTTTGGCATTTTTTGGCTTAGAGATTTCCCAACTAATTTTGTATCAAATGCATCAAAATCTGGACTGTCTTTGTGGGGGTTCCAGAAAGGCAAGGTAGCAATAATATGCCGTCACGTCTCTCTGTCTTTGCAGCGGTGAGGAGATACTTAAAGTAGAAAGATTGCAGGTAGCACCATGTGGAAAGTAACTCTTCTTGGAAGAAGTCTGGTTCTGAAAAGAACTGGTTGGTTGAGTGTAGAACTCAACGTTTCAGACAGTGTGCTCCGTCCATCTTCAGGAGGAGATACTTGTGCAGAGTTGAAACCAAAATAAACCAGCACATTCTTAACGTTTGGTCATCACAGAATCCTCTTCATCTGTTCTTCATCATTTCTCCTTTCTTGACATCCTTGCAGTGTTACAATTGATGCACCTGTGGTCGTGATCGGAGACCGTTCGCAGTCCATGAGTGTGGCGGTGCAGACCAGTACCATCATCGCCAGCCTGCTGTGTGCCATCTCCAAGGCAGAGCTATGCTTCTTCAATCGTTCCAACCACACGCCTCCGCACTTGCCAAGGACTGTTGAGGAGGTAAAGTTTGGTTGTTAGACAAAGCCGTAATAAATCTCACTACAAGCAAGTTCGGGTGAAGACTATAAACAACTAATCGTTAAAAGTTCATGACATTTCTGACGATAGCACACTTATGGCAACTTTGTTAACGTGTTGCTCCCTGCTATGTATAATGATGCTTGATGCTTTTGGTAACCAGTGATGCATCAGTTAAATGCAACAAGAGGCAGCAGTAGATTCTGTTGTATCGCCTTCGCACTATGCAGTTACCATGCTAAATGCAACAAGATGCAACATTGGATTCTGTTGTATCCCCGTGGCACTATGCAGTTACCATGCTAAATGCAACAAGATGCAACAGTGGATTCTGTTGTATCCCCATGGCACTATGCAGTAACCATGCTAAATGCAACAAGATGCAACGGTGGATTCTGTTATATCATCTTGGCACTATGCAGTTACCATGCTAAATGCAACAAGATGCAACAGTGGATTCTGTTGTATGGCTGGGGCACTATGCAGTTCCCATGCTAAATGCAACAAGATGCAACAGTGGATTTTGTTGTATTGACGTGGCACTATGCAGTTACCATGCTAAATGCAACAAGATGCAACCAAGTGTGGGACTTAAGTTGACTGTTAAGTGCAGTAGTATGCAGCAATTTTTACCACTTTTGTTTTCCGTTGCATTAAGCAGGATAAGATTAAGGACATTTTTAGAGAATCCCCTTGTTTCACTATCAAAAGAAATTTTAAAATAAAGCTTTTTGTTATAATTTTTCTTCAGGCGCTTCATCTGGCCACAACAATGACTGCCGTAGGAGGCACGGCCCCTGCTGCCAGCCTGTATCCTTATTACCAGGCCAAGAAAGTGGTCAAGACTTTCATCGTTGTCACCGACGAGGAAGAGAATGATCCCCTCATGATCAACCACATGGCAAAGTAGTAAGTTTCAGAGAAACAAGACGCTGTTGTACCTTGTGCTGTTGTTGTTCAATTCAACCCTGCGGTTCTTGTCAGAGGGGTGGGTGTTTGGCTAGGCTTGTCAGGGTCAATACTTCAGCACAGGTGAAAGGGGCTACACCATGTTATTCGCTTATGTTTGAGTGAGTAACTTGTGAAATATCAATAGGCACAAAGAGACACTTCATTGCGAGTAACCGCCACTAGACACTTCTGAGAGAAAACAGCCAATCTAACTGTAAACTGGCCAGCCCTCTAATCTATCTTAATCCTTTGTTCAAAGAGTGGCTTTATAATCCCTAACAATTAGTGTAATAAAGCCACGTGCTGTCACACAGCTGATATTGACAAGTGCAGGGGATTAGCAGCAGTATCTGATAGTTTGTTGACAAAGGGATTAACAAGATAAGAGTGTACCACTAGAAGTACTGTAATCTTTCCGAGTTTACAGGCCCTAACTGGGAAAGCTGCTAGAAGCACTTACACCTGATGTAGACCAGCAGAAATACAGATCCCCAAGGTAAAGGGGACGAACCTGTGTGCACAGGAACGGAGTGCCCATCTCTCTTTCGAAGCGATTGGGCCAGACTCATATGCTGCTGTAGGGGGATCTCCACAGCCAGTCTGTTACCTTCCCAACATTGAATAATGCAGGTACCCATTTAACACCTGGGTCGAGAGGAGTAATTGAGGTAAAGCGCCTTACTCAAGGGCACAACACGCATGACCATGGCGGGGCTCGAACCCACAACTTCACGATCATGAATCCTGTGGCTAGACCACACGAACCCCCAAACTTGTTGTCAAAGTAACCACTTTTGCTCTTCCGTTTTGCTTCTCCAGTTTCGACGATGTGTTTGAGAAGTACCACAGGGAAGTCTACCCGGCCAAGTTGGTCTTCGTCTCCTTCCTGAAGCAGCAGCACTCCACCGGCAAGATGGTTCGGAAGCTCCAGGCCAGAGGCTTCCGGCCGATTCAGTTCCGCTTGGACGAGCAGCGCCCCGATCTGCTCAAGCTCAACAAACTACTTGGACTCCTCTCCATGGAAAGCCAGGACTTCAACGCCAACGTCCAGGCTATCGAAGCCGAAATCCGGGATGAGGGGCTGAAGCAAGCTATGGAGAAGTTGGTGGTCTGAGGATTGAATACAGAATGAAGTCTCATCCTATAAAGACTGTATACAGGGTTCCATACAGTCATGGAAAAGTCCTGGAAAAAATCATGGCATTTAAAGTTATCATGGAAACCCATGGAAAAATCATGGAATTTAAAGCTATCATGGAAACCCATGGAAAAATCATGGAATTTAAAGCTATCATGGAAAATCATGGAAAAAATTGTGGAATATTGAAAGGGCCCATATGCAATGTAATTTTTTTAATGCAATCCTTGGACATACACCTTTGTGCACCATTTGATCCAAGTTTCAATTTCCGTTAGTGCCATTTTCAAGGGAATTTAGGTGCCCTTTTTTATGCTAAGGCAAATTTCCATTTTCATGGGCAAATGTGTGATGTCATTTCAGTTAGGAACCTCAATATGACAGCTATTTCAGCACCAAAAGTTCCAGATTTTTGGATATTTCACTGTCCTAAATTTTCTTTTATTTGGTGATTTGTAATGTAAGTACATGGCAGTAGGCCAGTGAGCAAACTTTTCTCACAAATATTTTCAATTATCAATTTTTTTGGTTCACAGTTTGAACAGAAAACCCTTAAGTGAACAGTGTCGTCCTGAAATGACATCACAGCAACAGCGCCCTCGTTTGTCCGGAAAAACATGGAAAATTTTAAAAGTTTAAAAAAATTTCACTTTTGAATAAAATTAACCAAAAAGGGATGTAAAATATTTTTCAAACATTTAAAAGGAGTAGAAAGTTACACAAAATATTTTCTTCAGCTTCATTTAATGAACCCTTTAAAGTTATCGTGGAAAGTCATCGAAAAGTCGTGGAATTTTTTGTTGTTTTTTTCATGGAAAGATAATTTTCCAAGAACAAAGGCAAGTCCTGCACAACTCATATGTGATGAAGCGCAGTATTTATTTTAGCATGATGACTGGCTAGTGTATTATAAATTGGTTCCTATGAAGCCAAAACAGCATAGGAATTGGTCATGGAAAGCCCTATTTTTTTCTGTAAGTTAAACCTAGGCAATATTATGAAGTTATTAAAAAGAAAGTCGTTACTACATATGCAATATCATTAGTAAGGTCATCTGTTTTGTAAACATAAATAATATACCTTTATTTTCTTTAAATGACATAAGATTTTTGCCTTTAAAAGGCGAGTGTACTGTTTGTGCCGAATAAACAAAAACGGATCAAAATCCAGGAGAAATGTAATAGATTTCTACATGTTGGAGGTGTCTCTATTCTTTGTTTATTTTAATTTACTAAAAATGAATACACAACAGGTTTATTTGCGCCTCTAGCGATACATATCCATTGCCCTCTTTAAGTTCCGCACAAAATCGGACATTGCCCTTTTAACTGAGACATTTTTCAATCGAAGTAATTTGTTAATCGCAACGCCAACTTAACTGTTGACGTTTAAAGAGACATCGTCGTGACTTTCTTGCGTTTTGTGAGGTTATATCCGTCTTCAGTTAAGTGTTTTTTAGCTGGGAAAGGGATGTGTTGTCACGCTGCGAATAGTTTTCACACGTGAAACCATGAAAATACTAAAGCCTTTCAGTGGCATCGGTATTAAACATTTTGATTGGGCCCCTCCTCCAGCAGGTATAACGCCCTCTAGCGGTGCGTTAGGTGCCAAAGGTCGTTCGATTGCAGTGGATGAATATATATTGTATCAACCCCAAGACTGTTTGAACCAAACTGAAATGCATATGACTTAAATGTAATATGCCAAAAGTATAATATTTTAACCAACATGAGTAAAAACGCAGCAAACCGCATTAATGCGGTTGTCTTCAGCGCAGCCCAATGACGTGATATTAAAATAATTTCTACCGGCCGATTGACGGAAGCACATGCATTCCACCATCCAAAATAGTGATGCAACCGTTTGGAAACACCATTAGACAACAATACTCTTGAAACAGGCCCAATATAATTTTTTTCAATATGCATAGGCCTAAGCGAAGTCGGTCTATGGACAAGCAATTCCTTATTGGACATTTATTAACCTTCAATTTCTGGCATAATGTTTGTAGGCCGTTGTGATTGTTAAATAGTGAAAAGAAATCGATGCAGTCCAAACATGTTTCTGTTGTGCGAACGCTGAATTACACGTACGACGTAAATTTGTTTCCATGGTAAAATATATTGGTTCCCTGTCTCGGTAGCGCTGTGATAACAAACAGGCAAGCAGCGTAATATTGCTGGTCTCATATGACAATTGATTTTGTTTTTATACGAGGCCTATTTCGCAAATGGTTCCCGTCTGCTTGCTATTTAGCAAAGATCTACCTACGTGTTCGAGTGAGACTGAGTCAAGGCAGTACAACTATCGGCCTGATCTCAGTTCTAAATCAAACTACTAGTTCTTAATCTGATTTCAAAACACCAAACTTGATAAGCAATTCACACGAAAGCATCGTCATATTTCATTTTGACCATGAAGGGAAATTTAATTCTTGCGGTGATGGTGGCGTCATGCACCGCAGCGTGCGGGTGCTTTATCGGCCAATGTGAGCCGGGCTGGGTTCAGTTCAGAGATCACTGCTACAAGTTCGTGCCCCGTAGTAAGCTGTCGGTTACGTTCCATGAAGCTGAGGCGTACTGCCAGGGGTTCTCCACCCTAAACGGGACGGGCCACCTAGCTTCAGTGCAGGACCAAGATGAGAACGATTTCATCTTGGACATAGCCACGATGGCCGGCATGCGTGGAAACTTTTGGATTGGTTTCACCGATACCCAGAATGAAGGTAAGATTCAAGTTATAGAACTTTAATTTCCATACTCACAAGCGCAGTACGTCATTTAATTTAAACGTAACATAAAATATGTCATATTTCCGGTAAACTTTTCAATTATGAATTTTAAAAGACCAACAAACGGACCAAGTGACTACAGACGCACCCAATCATAGGCCTACATGCTGGAAATTGGTTGTGCAGTTGAAGGAGACAAACCGTGAAGAAAGCGAGTCATTTTGACTGTAAACAAGAGCGAGTGCGCAATAACCTCTGGCCGTCTTGCATGAAAGTCTTGCATGAAATCTATCAAAACGATCTACAAAACGAGCTCAAAAACATTGACTAAAATTGTTGAACAAAAGCTTTGGAAAGTTATAATTGTTGACTTGTTTTGACTATTCTTAGACCAAAAAGGTATTATGAATTGGAATACATATGTGCTTGGCCGGTATTTAACAAGTCCATTTAAGGCCGACTGGGGGCTATAGTCGCCAATGATACCCCTCGCCTTCGGCTCAGGCTGTTATATTAGCAGCGTCTATTCCAGTCTTAAACGGACTTGTTTAAAACCGGCCAATCACACACTTTTATTACGATAGGAGACGTGGTGTATAGCTCCATTGTTATATTTGTATTATTTGTTTACAAAACCCGAAGGAACATTTGTCTGGACAGACGGTAGCCCCACTCCGTACAAAAACTGGAGATCAGGCAGCCCAGACGACGGAGGGTCTGGTAGGAGTGAGGACCAGGCGGAGATGAGCTCTACCAGAGAATGGAACGACACCAATGGCGACAGTAAGACCCTACGCCGCGGCTTCATGTGCAAGATGCCCGTCTTCGACAAGAAGAAGTTTGTCACCAGGGCATGCTCTGGCAAGTAAACCTGGACATATACATAGTCCGATAATGATTGCACCACGTATCAGAGGCCGACAGGCCGAACAAAGGTCCAATTTGCACGGGGACATATATTGGGGGCACTTAATGAATTTTTAATGCTCGCAAGACTAAATTTCTATGTATGTTTATACAGATGACAATAAATTCTGAATCTTGAATGTTTTAGTAACCAAAAAATAAAATTTAAAACAAGTAAACAAAGGCTTTATAATACCAAACCGTTTGAAACTTGTTATCCAAAGAATGCTTTATTTTACTCAGTAACATAATAATGCAAACAATAAGACACTGCATTAATAAACAAATTTTGTAAACTGTTTCCTAATGGAACAAGTAGTATAGTAGACTATGTCCCGGCGAAGTGGAGCCACACGGCAAAGCGGAGCCACGAGGCGAATTGAGCAGAGACTACCAGTAGACAGTGACCGTAATCGCTCGGTGCAAATAGTCTTTGCTCCAATGGCCGCCCGATTGCCAGTCTCGCGATGGATTTGTTACAAGACGGATGTTAGTGTATTAAGAGACTAATACAAACGCAACGCGATACAGTAGTTTTTATTGGGAATTTACATATACTGTGTAACGTGGATTTTTCTTTTTAGAAACACGTGGTACATTAGTATTTTATTGTATTGTCTTGGATATCTGTGAGTTAGTGTGTGGATTTAGGCGATCAGAGTGCGTTGTGATTTATAGTTAGATTGATGGTTCTCCTTATGAGCACACAGGCACTGGCCTACATGTACGTGAGAGGTAAAACCTCATACCTATCAAGCGGGACTTGCATTCTGTTGCAGTATCTTGATTGAGGATTCAAATTTGCTTTGTGAAGGGTTGGCCCTAGTGGTTGTCCCACGAGCGCGACGGGAACCGGGAACAATAGTCCGTTGTGTGAACTTGTGTCCCATGTGCCACAAGGCGACTCGCGAAGTGCACTATGGACCACGCAAGATGGGATATCACACTGCCGTTGCCATGCATAGATCGACCAATCAGGATCCAGGTTTCAATTTTGCTTGAAGACAAATGCACTTAAATAGTTACACCACATATTCTTCATCAAAGTAATCAGAGACTATTTTCCTCCAAGCCGTCGGCCGCAGTATGGTACCGTAAAGCGCCCGAGGTGTTCATCTTGTTTTTGTCTTGCGTCCTGTCTTCTCTCCGCTTCATGAATGTCACTATAGCAAAAACGAGAAACGCGGACAGAAACATCGCACCACTCGTCAGGAAAGGCGCTACGTAATTCCCAGTGGCGTCGTAGATCTTACCTGAAAATGCAAAACAACACTCGAAAGTAACCAATAGGTCGTGTACGCACCTTTCTTTTGCAGCAAAATTACACCAAATGAAAAATAAATTGACTTCAATGACTGAGAAGAATTGTGATCTTGATCATCTTGACAGTGGAAAAAGTGGTATTGGGACATTCACCATTGGGTGTTTTTTCCCAAATGTTTGCCTTTCAAGATAAAAAGTCTTTCAAGTCTAAACGTCACACATGCGCATTATAACTTGCGGTCAATATCTTGGAGCTTAATAGCACAGTAATGTGTTATGTGTTGAACATATACTGGTTTAGAAAATACAGGTTACTAGCCGAATGCCATGCTATGTATGCTGCTTAAGACTGGTCGATCCCCAGTGATTTTTGCATGGCCCAAAACATGCTAAGCATATCTGCTTAAAAACTCGATGGAGTTTGGTCTTCAACATAATGTGAACACGTAGATAAGGGTAACTTAATTTTATGCACTATGTTACAAGAAATCTCTTTTTAATACTTCTTAGCCTGTTTTTCTCTTTTTCTTGTGGTCTATCATGAAGATAAAGTAGTTTTTATTGGGAATTAACATATACTGTTTAACGTGGATTTTCTCTTTTAGAAACACGTGGTACATTAGTATTTAATTGTATTGTTTGGTTATCTGTGAATTAGTGTGTGGTTTTTAAGTGTGTTATCAGATTTGTCAGTGGGCATCAAATTTCTATGTTTTTAACGTAGACAATAAACAGAATTGAATTGAATTGATTGAATTAAATTGAATTGAATTGAATTGAATAAAATTGATGTTGTGACGATTAAAAAGGCAGAAACTGAATGTTTCGAACAATGCGCCCTGCCCATCGTCAGGAGATAATCGTATAGAGGAATTTACCATGTGAACATTCAACTGTTATTACAATGTAGGCCTATAAAATATGCGTACTCACCAGCAACAACCGATCCAATGCCATTGAAGAGGTATATGGAAGCCCATACCAAACTCAGAGCAGCCGGCACCTGCGACGCACTGGCAACATTCTTCATGTTCACGATCAACAGAGGAGTGGATGCACCGAGGAAAGCTCCCAAAACGACAGTGTAGCCGACCAAGAAAACGTAGCTGTCCGACACGGGGTTCAAGGAAGAAGTGACAGTCGCCCCGAGAATCACCAGCAACTGGAGCTTGAAGGAGCCAATGTGGTTCCTGTCCACGAACCAACCGTGGGTGGAGCGCGTGACTACGGATACCAGACCGTAGACGAAAACCAACATGGCGCTCTGGTCACGCGACCAGCCAGCTTCCCTCGACCGCTCCGGTAGATGAATAAGGTTTACCATTATCGCCATTGAGTGCAAACTGTTGGAGATCAGAACTAACATCGCTTTGACGTTCGCGAAGATCTGGAAGCATCTAAGATACTCTAGAAAAGCGTTGGCTGAATTGGTTCTTTCTTTATTACTAGTTCCAATGTCTTCGTGCTGAGGGGTTTTACTGAGGCTGGCCTTGAGCGGCCGGAAGAGGGCGCAAGCGGCAACCCCGTGCAACTGCAACGCTCCAATGATAAACATGGCGCCCCTCCACCCGTAGCTGACGACCAGGAGACGGATTAAGGGCGGGAAGACCATCTGACCAACGTTCAGTCCAAGCACAGCTAGCCCATTGGCCAATACGTAGCGTCTCTTGAAGTAGTGTGAGATCATGATCATGCTTGGCGATACGGTCATTACAGCTCCAACACCTGAACAAAGTTTTAAAATGTTAATTGGTCTTCCAATTCAAAAGTTACCTTCAAGTTCAACACTTCGGACGTGATTCTCATTCAGCCGGTAAGTGTATACCTGACGTCAAAGTTCTACTAGTGGAAGGAATGTTGCAACCTGACGCCTCTGTTTCCTTCATATATCATCTCAATGAAGGTCAGTCATTGCAAAAATGTTGAAAATTAAGACGACATGAATCTGGGACTGAGAAACCTTTCAAATTTTGTTAGGAAATACTTATTTAGAGAAAAGTTTCTTAATTCTCCATAGACTTGGTACATGACCGAAGAAGTGGCGTCTGGATACTATACTTTCTTTCCCTATTAATGATTGTTATATTCTGAGCGATACTATTACAGGCGGATTAAGTTCGCAGGGTATCAAATGTGGTACCAGTTATAATGTCTTGACTTTGAACAATCGGTTTTCACTTTAAATCGGCAGTTTTGTCTCCGAAACTAATGTTCGTACGAGCCTTTAAAACTGAGTTGGAGCCGATCGGCGTTCACAAGTCAATTACAAGTGAGTGGGCTGTGACAAAGACATATCTGTATCTTTATAATTATTACTGTAACTTGGCTTGCAAGGAAATTGTGATTTGACTTATGCAAACGTGAAACATCAGGACATTAAGACTGTTATCACTATTCATAAACATTTATGGTCAAAGGACATTTTTATAGTCTCTTCCTGCGCAGAGCGCCCTCATTGTCAACAGGTCTTTGTTCCTCTGCAATGCGCATGAGCAGACACGTTGTACTCTCATTGTCACTTAATTAACGAAACATGCCCACATTGAGGGCGCTCTAAGCAAGCCCTCAGTCAATTCAAAGCCCGTCCCTCCAAATATATACAGCTGAAACTGACTCACCGAGCAACCCATTGCAGACGTAGAGCTGGCCAATGTGGGAGGTTTTTGATCCCAGTATCGTTGCAAGTCCAGTGACTGCTGCTCCGAGCATGGACACACGGCGTATGCCGACCCGAGACGCCAGAACGCCGACAAAAAAGCCTGACCGAAATAACAAAATTGTGTGATCAACAAAAGCAGTGGAGCAACAATTTGTTTCGGGAGGGATGCAGCTCCCTCCATTAAAACCGCTGATTCATTTCCTCAATGGAAACATATTATAAAGAAAAGGGGGGTTATAGATACATGTATAGTAAAGTAATGTCTCGAGCCAATGGCCAATCAGGCCGGCGTTTATCTCCGATTTCAGTGGCATGAAACGACTGATGTCTATTCCCCCTGGATGGGATGCCAGTCCTAGGTTACTCCCCAGCTAATGCCGCTACTCCTAGCTAGGTGGAGAGAGGCAAGTGGGGATGAAGTGGCTTGCCCCGCAAGGACGCAACCTATGGCCAGCAGCTGGATAGACCATTAGATAGATCCGATAGACCATAAGACCTACATAATTATTTCCAGTTTGCTTTTATTTGAAAAAGGGGATTAAAATCATCACATTGATTTCTATTTTCGTCTTTCTTTATAGTTTAACCTCATTGTTACGTAATTGTGCCCTTCCATATAGCGTTAAGTTTAACCGCCTTTAGTTTTCGTCTGTTACGTAATAATAAATAATTTGGGAGGCTAATCATCCTTACTCGCAGCTGGTATGCTGTGCGAAGGACGCGTCTACAACGTGGACGGGCCGCTGGCACATAAAGGCGCCGCCTATGGCTGCCGGCCTGAGATCGAAAATGTTTGATTTTTCCAGAGGGAGGAAAACCGGAGAGCCCGGATAAAAACCCTCATGGTACAGGAGAGAACCAACGCACAACTCTACTCACATGTGATTCGCGGCCAGGATTCGAACCGTGGTCACCTTGCTGAGAGGCGAGCGCTTTTAATACGCACAAGCCACCCATGCCACCGACGTATGTCGATCGTTATCAACTGTTTGTCGCAGTCAAATCTCTATTACCTTGTCTTCTTCAGTGCAAATAATAGTATTAGCGAACTCTTTGATAAGGACAGGGTCCTTTCATTTTGTTAGCGAACTGGCCTATTGTCCAAGGGGGAGCACGAGTGTCACCATGGGCGTCGCGAGAGGGGGGGGGGGGGCGCAAGAGTGGCACTCCCCCCCCCCCCTTCGGAAAACGGGGGAAAAGGGGGGAAAAAAAGAAAATGAGGACCGAAGCCATATTGCTGTTAATTTGATGGGGGTGGGGGGGGGGGGCAAATGCTCCACTGCTCACGCTCGGAAATATGATAAATTGAGAATATAATGAAAAAGTTAAGGAATTTTGGGGAAAATCTGCTTTGCCCACCCCCCCCCCGGAAAAAATCCTGGCGACGCCCATGAATGCCACACAGCCCTCCTGATAGATTAAAGTGTATTATTTAGGGAATAAATGTGTGTTTGGGAGGTATTATAACACTCTGTTTAACACCGGTTTGAGTCTGGATGGGCGATAATTACCCGAGGCGAAGCCGAGGGTAATTATCGCCCATCCAGACTCAAACCGGTCTTAAACAGAGTGTTTAATACTGACCGAACACACATTTATTCCCATTCATAATTACCTTTTCGGTCCAATATAAAAAAATGTCAAAAACTAGACGTTGCCAACCATTTTGTTCAACAATTTTACATCATGTTTTTAGAAACACCCCTCTGACTATAATATGGAATGCCCCTCCACAACTCGTTACCTAATAGGGACATTGGCGTGCGCGTCGCGCGTACTGCGCGATGTCGCGCAAAACGCAGCTGGGCTGGTGAAGTGTGAATTTTGGACCATGAAATACTGATTCACTAGTACATTGCGCATGCATACGGGAGGAAAGTGAACGTTCAGCCAATGAAACGTTAAAAGGCACCGGATTTCATAGGAGTCCAAATTTCATGTGACACTGGAAAAGCGTTTAAGACCAGCTAGCCATGTCTTTATCATCCGTTTAAGACCGGCCACGTGACGGGTTCTCGACCAATAGGAATGCGTAAACTGTCTGAGGTATTTATGAATATTTGTTTATAATTAAAAACAATCCAACAGAACAGGACATAATTTTTTTTAAATATTATTTCAACTGCAGCCAATTCAGCTCCATAATAGGCCCTGTTATGGAATCAACTGGTCTCCCATCATGGGAAATCAGCTTTAGAGGCAGGAAAAAAACCCAGAATATTAATTTTAGAGGAAAACCCAAAGAATCAATTTTATAGGGACTGAAAACCCAATCCACATATTGGCTCAGGCAGGAATCGAACCCGGGTCACAGCGGTGGGAGACAGGAAATTAAGTACCGCTACGCCAAGCTTAAATCCTTTATAAGCAACATAGGCAAATATACAACTTGATAAACCTACAGTACCCAAACTAACAAAACAACTATCCATCCCAACCAAGAAGTACTTACACAAAGGGCTTGCCACCAGCATGGGCATGCTGACAAGCCAACTTGCATTCGTAGCAGACAACTCGAACACTTCCTTCCATTCTGTGTAGAATACTCCGAGTGTTAGCAGATAGCCATTGCTCAGCATGGTACCGACATGTGCACCGAGCAGCACGACCCAAGCCCAGCCGCCATCCTGCGATCTCCCCATGTCAAAATACGACAGAAGGATTCACCAGTGCACTACCATGTCTTGCGTTTGGCATCCACTTCAGTTCAATGCACGACCATCGTGACATAACTACATGTCACAGGCACGATATATCCTTTACGCAAACTGACCTGCAATGTGCACTCTTTCCACCAAGGACAAAAGTCGTGACTCGTTGACCAATGCAAGATTTTAATTGTGAATTTGTGATATAAAAAGGGAACGTTGGAGAGACCAGACAACGCAAATACACAATGGTGTTGCAACCTTACTCGCATAATATATCCAGCTTATGCGCATGGATTTTCTAAAGCACATAATCAAGCATCCATACAAGCAGGTTCGACCTCCGTCATGCTGCGCGTAGCAACGGACACCGTCCGATGCTTTGTATTATTTTCATCCCCCAACTTGCATTCGATGGATTCCTTGATTTTTTTGTGCCGCTGTAAGAATGTAGAGCCTTTTTTTCCTTTTCTTTTTTGGAAATATGAAATGTTATATATCACATAAATTATAACGAATTTTCACGTACATGTATTTTTGTTCGTTTCTTTCATTACTCTTGCCACAATATATTACTGTATTTTTAGCCAAATTTGGGAACAAAATTTCTTTCCCTGCTCCATCGTTAAATAGACCCTGTAGCCCCAGTTAAAACAATGGAAAAGGGGTAAAGCGCCCTCTTCCAATGGCCGCGATTACGCAACAATTATAATAACAACTCTTGAACAATTAGAGGAAAATCAGCTACAAACATGTAACTTACGATCATGCGATGGAGTTTTCCGACGTAAAACAATATCCGGTAAAATATACAGGATAGGATGCTCATTAATATGCCATTAATTTTAGTTAATTTATTGTCGCTGGGCCGCGCCGGGGCATAGACCATTGCTTCTGAATAACACTTTTCTTTCAACTTTAACATTATAAAACTCATGACTAATGTAATGCTAGAGAATTATCAATTCAATTTGAAAATCTATTTTTCAAGGTGCTACACCCCAAAGCACGTGTACTCCAACTTATGGGCTTAGACAACCTTTCTTGATGGGGCGTTCGTGTTTTTCTTTTATTATTGCTTATGGCCGAAATGTGCCACGAATTACGGAATTGTATAAACACCTTCAGGTACTACAAGTTAACAAATAATAGTCTGAAAAAAATGAAAGTACAAACTACAAAACGTGGAAAACATTAAAGTACCAGGGAAAGAGATACAATCAGAGATAAGCATCTATTCAATAATGAAGAAATCAACTCAAATCTACCAGCAACTGTGTTTTATTTGATATTACTATAATGTGTCCAACTTTCGGTTCTGGATTAAATTAAAAAAAAAAAACATCAGCACAACACTCGCAAAAATTCACCTCGAAATATATATTCTTTCCTAAGTAACATTCCATAAACTTACAATTCCTTTTACATTTTTCCATTCAAATTTACCGGATAAAAGTTACATTAGGAGCTAAAGTCTCTGAAAAGAAAAGAACGTGTTTTGTTTTTAATTGTGGATAAAGTGAACTGGTATTCGATTCTTTGAGGCACACTGCTCACAAGCTTTATACAGGATACATTGACTTTTCATGCATTTCGTTTATATACCTTTTTAATTTACCGAGTAGGTTTCGCAAGTAATTCATGTAATAATCACAAGCGGAAATTGTCTGCACACATTTGTGTATAGTGAATCTGCAAACAACTACAAACATCTTATCCAGTGATTACTTATAAAGTGGTCATAAAATGAAAAAAAAGTTCAACCAAAAAAAGGCCCCAAACCAAACAAAAAACAAACACCTAGACATAACTTCCAACAACAAAATATCTGTGCAAATGCCCACTCCTCTACTGTATGAAATCAATGAGACAACCCTTTGTTATAAATTGTTTCAAGTGACCTTTCTTTAATATTTACAACTAGACGGTTTTACCCGGCTTGGGCGGTTCGTAGGAGGCAGAGTTGCTGGATGTTTTACCAGGACAAGTTGTCCCCCTACTGCGGTCCTTGTGCGCCCGAAACCGCCCCGAAATGCGGTTTGTCACCCTGTATCATACAGACCCATATGGACAACGACGTCTATACAGGGTGGATAAAAAAAAACCGAAACCGAGATATTATTGCTAATTGGAACAGAAGTAGGGCACATGTGAATCAAAAGGAGATATCTTCTATTAGGGTTTAATCTCCTCTTTAAAATGACACCCTGGTCATGTCATTACATTTACGGTTGACTGAGCAGTGGCCAACTGCAACTGTTATGAGGGCCTTCTTCTTGTTGTGAAGACACTTTTGGCAAACACTCGCCCGTTACGGTATTCTCTGTCCAAACTATATGAACCCGAATGCTAGTGGTGTAGCCGGGGTGCAGAGTGGCAGATTGTAAGGGGATATAGAGTTTTAAAAAGCAAAATCGGGACGCTGATATAGAAGCAAATATGTGATTTACATTTCGAAGAAAAAAAATCCTGAATTCAGGTTTTGTTTCTGTAAAAGCTAGATTTCTGAAAACTCAACCAAAAACGGAGGCAAATGGAAGATACTTTGTGGTTGGAAAGATGGAAGAAACTGGCAGTAGACACATGGCAGCACTAATGTGGCTTGGTCAAAACATTGTTAATAATATTCTAATGTAAACGCCTGAATACATCCCCGCCATCTGATTGGTCAGTGGTTGATCATATGCCCTTGAATTATTCGTCCGAACGCACGACGCAGCTGCACCGCAAAAACAGGAGTTCCATTCCACAATAAATAGAAGTTCCATGGCACAGGTATCACATGTTGGTGGCTCTGACCAATCAGATGACGAGGATTCATTCAGGTGTTGTATAAAACAAATAGTCAATGTTTCACATTCGTGCAATGGAAAGAATAATTTCATTCGGTGACAGATGGAATGTTCCACTACACGAGGCGAATGCAACGTTCCATTCCACTCGGTTTTGCCTTGTGGAATCTGTCACCTCAAGAAATTATTTTTACCAAATGTTGCACTCATAAACATTCATTATTTGTATATTACATAATATACATAAATTGCATGCCCTCACTTCCTCATGTTTAGTACTTATAATTATTGTTATTTATGCTACATTTTAGGCTATACTTTTATTGTAATTAGAAGCTGCATTTTACAAGGCAATTATTGTGTTTGTTACATAAATGTACTGTGTCAATTAGTTTATATTTAACCCGTTCGCACCTGTAATACATTGTATACATTGTATACATTGTATAACAATGTACTTATTTCCTGATTAATATAAAATCATACAGTGCTGGGATGGTTTGGGACGATACAAGGACTAAGGGTTAAGGTGGGGGTAAAAACCTGCACAATGATTATATCTTTAGAAAGTAGGTTTATTCATGGTTTCCTGACAAACAAATGAATACTGAAAAATCAAAGAACTAAGGAAGCCAGATTATAAAAAAAATGTGCGATTACTGTTCTCAGCGTCTTTGGTTTAAAAAAATCCAATTATCTAATATTTACATTAGACTTTGATGTACAGCTCTCCAATTCAAATTAATTTGATCTTGGTCTCTAAGCTGGCTATATCTGGCCAAGAGGGGGCTCACTCCCGTCTCTCCTTCATCAGCACCAGGTTCTTGGTCATGTCAAAGGTGTTGCCGTCGGGTTGGACGCTGCGAAGCGCCCCCTGTTGGTCTCTCACCGAGAGGAAACCAGACCTGTCTAAGCCTTCCACTGTTACTTCAGGCCCGGACTCGTTCTCGAGACGCACCTTACAGCCACTGCCAAATACAAGAAAGGGCCATTAAGACACTGGAATATAGGAATTAGTCAGTAGATCAGTATTCCATCTTTGCGTGTGCATTTCAAGAACATGTTTAGTTCAGAAAAAACAATTTCCAAATGCGTGCAAATTAAAGAGCTCTATTATTTGATTATAGCTCTATGGTGCAAACACTGTGAATCCTATACACAGTGCTTGGTTTTATGCATTGGCTTCAACGCCCACGACAAAGACCACATCTTAATTTAATCCCACTTCTGACCCCAAATACGTACATGTGCTACCTCCTATTGTACTTGTACTCAGCTCTTTCCCTCTAGACATCTTGGGCGGCAACCCCTAATTCAAAGACCAGGTCTAAATTTAATCCCACTTCTGACCGTACCCCCAATAACTACCTATGCAACCACCTCCTATAGTACCAGAAATGACTATAGTCTCCAGAAATGACTCAGCTCCTTCCCTCTGGAAACCTTTGGCGACAACACCTGATACAAAGACCAGATCTGAATTTAATCCTACTTCTAACCCCATATATTAACCTATGCAGCCATCTTCTATACTACATCTCCAGAAACGACTCTGCCCCTTCCCTCTGGAAAACCATGGGGCGACAACGCCAGATCTGAATTTAATCCCACTTCTGACCCCATATATTTACCTGTGCAACCATCTCCTATAGTACATCTCCAGAAATGGCTCTGCTCCTTTGTTCTGGAAAACCTGGATGATGCTTTCAATTTGGCTGATGGTCCTCGCGATGAGCTCTTCTATGGTCAACAACGCCAGGTTTGCATTGGTCTGCTTGTTGTGAAGCCGGATTAGGTCGTTGATGCAAATCGTTGGGTCGCTGTTGTCAACATTGAAACCACAGCCTAGGAAGACAGAACAAATTAGTCGCATTCGAACCAGCCAGCCGACCTCAGCAAGCTCTGTGGTTGAGTAGAAAGATGTCTGCACTAGTAAGCAGGAGGTCATGGATTCGAGTCCGTGTGTATTAAGTATGGACTCTCAGACGGCATCAAATTACATTGGCGAAGGGCAAAACCAAATATTGAAAGACAAATTAACTTTTAAATTAATCTACATTAATCTACATTTCAATTAATCTCAGACTCTTGCCACTGATGGCACGGGTGGCTAGAGCATAAAGTGCTCGTCTCTCACCACTGTGGCCCGGGTTCGATTCCCGGCTTGGGCCATATTTGAGTAGAGTACAGGGTTTTTCTCCGGGCTCTCCGGTTGTCCTCCCTCTGCAAAAATCAACACTTTGGATCTGGCTGTGCTCTGTGGTCAGACATGGGTCGTATGGTGACTCCCTAAGGCACCTTTACATGCCTTCGGCTCGATCACGTTGTAGCTGCGTCCCTCACAATTCAGCTTCTCAGCTAGATGTAAGGATGACTAGCCTCCATCCTCCCCCCAAAAAAGTCTTCTTCTTCTTATCTGATACAATTTGCCTATTGCAGATACACCTGTCTGCAACTTATCCCAGATAAATGAGATGACGTCGTACTGTTTCAAACACTGAGTTTTTCATGTACTAATCTTTAGAATAATTTTTCTTATTAACCCTAACCCACCTCACTCCTCCAAAATCCTCCTGGCGGTTTTGGAGGATTCTAGAGGATTGAGGATGAATGGTGATTGAATCAAATGAGGATTCTGGAGGATTGAGGATGAATGGTGATTGAAGCGCATGAGGATTTTGGAGGATTGAGGATGAATGGTGATTGAAGCACAAGAGGATTTTGGAGGATTGAGGATGAATGCATTTTGAGGCAGGACTGTCTGATGATTTTGAAGGATTTGGCGTTGGTTATCCTTCATTTAAACACGAGTGCAAAGTTTTGGGATGAGGAGGATTTTGGAGGATTGAGGATGAATGCATTTTGAGGCAGGACTGTCTGACAATTTTGAAAAATTTAGGCGGAGTTGCAAAATTTTGGAAAATTTTGGAGGATTGAGGATGGTTGTAAGCAACAAGGGCCTAGGGGGTTAGGGTTAAGCCTGTCTCTTCAATGACAGACTCACCAAGTGTTACAGTCCTACCACTTTTTTCCCTCATGTGATCATGATGCGATCTTACCAATAATTGCATGGAACACATTGTCCAATGCACTTGAATTGACAATGACTCCACCTAGCTTCATCTTGTCACCGTAGTAGATGTCGTTGGGCCACTTCAGTCGCAGATCTATGTCCTGTAATGTCCACACAAATTTTAGACGCAATTTGGAGAGTTTGTCTTGTTGAAAAATACGTAGTCAATACACAAATAGTTGAACATCTATGAATGCTCATGCAAATGTTTCACGCGAAGGGCCTGTTTCAGAGCCAACACTTAAACCAATGTTCTTGTTTGTACTTCTTCATTATTCACCCTTTCTGAGACATTCTTGTAACCATGTTCAGCATGCTCTTAAAACGAATGTACTCAAAAACTTGCAGTAATATTCAAGTTCAGACACTCAACAAAAAAAACAATTCTGCTTAGAAAATTACTTAGCATTCTGTTAAGCAGAGCTTACCTGATAGCCATTTATGGATCTGACAGCCTCAACAACGGCAGCCGAAGCAATGTGCTGTAAGAACGGGAGCTTGTCGGCAAGCTCTGAACCGAAGGGAATCCGCACGTGCAAGGAGAACATGGCACAGCCTATGGGTCCTAGCCACTTGTTGCCACCACGTCCTAACACAATATCACAAATGGATTCCATAAACAAATAACACCTTAACACTAAGGGTGTGCATCGGAACCGATACCCAAGTACCCGACCGCTGATGTCAGGAACCGGTTCCAGATTACCGGATCGGGTACCCGTAACCAACTTTACAATTACTTAGTAACGTCTCAGACAATGAAACAGAAAAGTTTTGCATGCCATTTGTGGGGAATATCAAACTGAACACCAGGCTACATGGAAAGCCAAAACAGATTTCACGTGTTATGTGCATTTTAACGCACAACAGATAACGCTCGCAATAGTTGCAGTTTACACCCTGTGATTCGAGCTCTAATCCCGCCAGGTTGGATTTGAGTCCCTGCCCGATTCCGTCGGTTCCCCCCCCCCCCCCCCAATATTCTTCTGGGGTCTACCTCCCACCTAAAACTGTAATTAATTCTCATCGTCTTCTAAGGTTTATTCATGCTTGCGAGCTTCAGTGCCTAAGGCGCTTTTGAAGAATCCTTAGTTTCATTACCAGAAATAATTAATAATAATAATAATTACAAATTTACCATAAAACAAAAGACGGAAAATTTACAAGGCAAAGGAACAGTTAACAGCTACTCAAAGAATTTACGTTCTCACCTTTTCCTGCTGTCATGCGGGTTGCTATAGCAACAACACCGACGTCCCCTGGAACCTTGAACATCAAACTGTACAAAAAAGGGGGAAATGTGAGTTTTGGATCTGTTAAATTCATCAAATTCACGCAGCAGCGTTTAAAGGGAATGTACATCATTGGCTTTTGCTGTAATTTTCAGAAATGAACTATTTGAGGGGTTAGTACATGTATAATAGATCAAATATTGTTACACTGACATTTTTGAAGTTTTGTGTTCGTAAAGGTTGGAAAAACCAAGAAAAACAAAAATGTTCAGGTAGTTGGTTCCCTGACTCCACAAAAGATAAAATGGATCAATTTATAGATGATGGAAAATTGTAAGGCAAGGGAACCAGTCTAGCTGGCCTGCACCCGTTCATGAACATGTAACCAATAGCAAACAAAATTTGGACTGAAAAAAAAAGGTAAATTTGGAGCAGTAGTTGAAAAATAGTTAGGTTTTTCCAACGCTGGTCGGCCGACCACCGTTGGAAATGTTTACAAAAATAAAATTTTCTTGAAAATGACTTCACAGCAGGTGCAATAATTTTACAAGATACTTGAGACTGTCATTTACCAACATACTAGTAAGGTATTTTGTAAAAACTTGTTAGTTTTATTTTTTGATGTTTGCAAATGTTGTATATTCCCTTTAATATCTTCTTATATCCCAAAGTAATTGCACCAAAGGCCTTGTTGTGATGGCCAATAATCCTGCACGGCTCCAAGCAGGCGCGTAATTTACGACTAAAACAAGCTCGAGCCTAATTAATTGGCAATAACCTATGGACCAAACAGGCTTAATCCCGGTCTCAAGGTGATTACTCTTTCCTCCATTATTTTTTAAAATTAAACTACCAAAAGCTAACGGCCATATACATGTACATGCACACACTGTCTAATTATCCTACTCAGGTATTTTTCAGTGCTGTGTAGATACCATCAGACTTGTGTCAGTTTAATAGTTGGTGCGCTGTGGTGGTGATTGCACTGTGCTAATACACGTACATGTATGTTGAACAAGTAAATCAGGTTTGCCGTAGTTTTCTTAAATCAGTTCAATTTCAACATCTTTGAAGCTCAACTGGTTCTCATTTCCGGCTGACCCTATTTTAGAATCCCAACCCAAGGAAAAAAAAAACTGTTTCATTACCGTCGAACCTGTCTGGAACCCCATTAAGAAATAAAACAATTACAAACGAAAAAAACAAAAATAATAAAACAAAATTCAGGCAACCAGGCTTGGTGTTATTTGAAAAGCTATTAATAATACCACATTATTTTGCTTTGCTAAGAACGACGTACACGTATAGCAACTAGTGGAATTTCAGAAGATGAGAGGATGTTGCCTCTCATCATATTAGGTGTCAATCTATGGTAAAACTTTACTGGTATGTCATGGCTATCACTATGGCCAAAACATCTGACGTTAGTGAGCTGCTAGGTGCAGATACAATATAAGTCAACTACATCTTGCCAAATACGCTTTTATTATTCTTTTCAGTGATCAACTGCTAATAAACTCATGGCGAAAAACAAAACTAGAGACAATAGCACTTGGGATCATTTAATTTAGCAATCTATACGGTTGCAACTGCAATTTCTGTTTTATTGTTCAGAGTTTTGTTTTGTCTTGACCGACCCTAGGTGAACTTCAAAGGCAAAAAATAAAATATGAGAGCCATAGAAATAAAAAGGGACGCCCTTTAATTGTATCGCAGGAGGCTTTGTTACAATGGCAACTAATTAAAGCATCCTGTAATAAATATTCACTTATTGGCCAAAGACCTTGCACGGCTCCAAGCAGGCACGTGATATATTATAAAACAACCCGAGCCTAATTACCGTAATTGGCAATTTTGCAAGTTTTTATATTACACTACCAAAATTGATAGCCGTACAGGGTAATTACCCCACTCCCAATATCTTCAGCGCTCTGTGTGCATACCCAATCAGACTTGTGTCAGTTTTAGTTGGTGCATGTACGTGTATATCAGTACGAGGAAAGGCGCAGTGTGGTTGTGGTCACCAGAAAGTGAGGACCGGCGAAACGACAACCTTTTGTACACTGCGCTTCAAAGGATATTGAACAAATGCTTCAGGCTTGTGGTAGTTTACTCGAATCAATTAAGTTTCAACGTCTTTTGATTACTACGGGTGCATAAGAATCATGTATCCAAAGACACAATGGGAGGCGACTACCGTCAGACTTTTGATTTTTGTTGTCAGTGTCCTTCTGCCACGAGGCAGTGGCAAGCATCTAGGAGCTATTTTTCGAGCTGCCAGTAATCACGGACTTGTATACAGCGATTATGCATGGAGGAAGACGGCGTCGTCCGTAATCTGCGTACGCGACTGTCATTCAGATCCTCGGTGTCACTCAGTCAATTACTGCTCGCACAGACAGTTGTGTGTCTTGAATGATGCTGATCAGGCTCAAAAACCCGGGGATTTCAAACAGATGCTGGGGTTCGTCTACTACGATGGCAGCGATCTCCTGGCTGTACCTGATGCTGTCACCTGCAGGACTTTGTTTGAGGCTGGGGAACGGGCGAGCGGGGTTTACAACCTCACCGTAGCTCAACGCAACTTCCAGGCCTACTGCGACATGACCACCGACGGAGGAGGCTGGGTGACCATTCAGCGACGTCAGGACGGCAGTGTCAACTTCTACCGCAATTGGGCGGTGTACCGAGCAGGGTTCGGAGACCTGGCCGGCGAGTTCTGGCTGGGAAACGACATGGTACGTCAATTGACGGAGTTGGCGTGCGGATGGGAGCTGCTGGTCGAATTAGAGGCACTGAACGGCACTACGGCATGGGCCAAGTACGGCGAGTTTCGCATCGAAGGAGACAAGTATACTCTTCGCGTTGAGGCATACGTTGAGCTGAGTACGGCTGGTAATGCATTGGAGTATCACAATGGCTGGCCGTTCACCACTTACGATCAAGACAATGATGCATCTGTATACAATTGTGCCGCGTCTTACATTGGCGCTTGGTGGTATAACTGGTGCCATCGCGCTAACTTAAATGGGTTGTACTATAGTCAAATCGTATGGAATAATCAACAAAATGTCATTCAAGGTGAACCTCTGAAAAAATGTAGCATGAAGATACGCGAACTGAAATGAGCTCAAATGTAAGTGCACAGGATATGGCAATTATGAAAAAACAAGTTCTTAACCAGTTTGCGCCGGGATTATTTTGACATTGACCAGACCCAGCAAGGGATTGTTTTAACGAACCTTGATGCCAGACTGGTTCAAGCCGTCATCTGTGGGTAGCACACCCTGATATTTCCGGCCTCGCTCGCTGCAAGCGGGTCGCTGACAGATATTTCCAGCCTCGCTCGTTGCGTGTTTATCCGTCATGCGTTCCGAATACCGCAAAACATTGCATGTATGTCGTCCGACGTGAACTGGTTACTAAGGGTCACCAGCGTTTTCAAATATTGCAGCCATGATGGATGAACCTGTTTACTGCTTCATGCAAAAGAGACAACATTTTCCCTTTCCCTCAAGGTAAGGAGTCGAGGGTTCATTTGAATTATGCAGAATCTTGTTGGATTGAGCACGATTCGAGTGAAATGACTACAGCACCAACTCTTTATTCCTTTATGCTGAACGCTCTTGTACACGTTCTTGGTGCGAACATTTTGAACGCGACTGTTGAACATTCATGTAATGGAATTTCACAGCTGAAAACTCCGAATTCCACCAAAAAAAACATTTCGGCTGTATTCAATACGCATATGGGTACAGTTTCACAAGACCGTAAAATCAAAAGTATTACATCTATCACAGAGTGGAATAATTTACTAATTGTGCTTTTTGGTTTTGGGCATATTGACTTTACTTATGAATCAATTTTCAAATACAGACCCAGATGCTAAAAGCGATACAAAAACTATACAAACTTTGGAGTTTTCCATACTCTTGTTACTCTGTTTTCTCAACTTGCGGTAAAAGTAATGAATGAACGTACATTGTATGCAGGCATGCAACTGGGAAATCACAAAAAAAGAGGAAATTCAAATTTTTCCCAGACTTTGTACAGTGTTTTTCTATTTTCAATGGAACACATGGGAAGTAAAAAAAGAGGAAATCAGCTGATCCGAGGAAAAGTTGCATGCCTGTGTATGAATTTAATATAGCTCTAGTTCCATTTAATAGAGCTCTCTACTAGTGTGGATGTACATATCTTTACCTTTCAAATAGAACCATAGTTGTTGGAACGACCTCCGTGTACAGCACAACATTCCCAAGTCTCTTGCTAGTCAAATGTTTCTTGTAAACTTCGAAGTCGAATGCTCCGCCCCGCGGTGAACTTTGACCCGTGATGACCGGCAGAAGGTCGGGGGTCGCTTGGCCGACCTTGTCCGGGTCGCTGTTAAACTGCATAGTGAGATAGCGACTTGCCAGCTGACTGTCTTTAAGGTTTGGCTGGATGGACGTCAAGAAGGCACTTGCCACTTGCTGTATATAAAAAAGGAATTTTTGTTTTGAAAATTGATTTCAATTTGTTTAAGTCCAATATTCAGATTGTGCATGCAAACCTTTCCTAGGTACCAGTACTGGCACATTGTAGTCTTTGTCTTATAGATGTCTGTTTAAAGTTCTGAGTCCTGATTAGAGGCAATGTTAAATTTTTTTCAGTAGACAAAAATCTAAAGCATTAAAAAATCATAGGCCTATTAACCAAAAAATATACAGTATTCCAATTTGCATATTGAAAGAAATATCAATATTCATGAGTCAAATACACCGAAGCACGCTCCAAGTCAAAATGGGTAAATAATGGCCCAGTGAGGGTCCAGGATGTTCCAAAGGGGATGGTTGGGGTGTTGACTTTTTTCAAGGGGGGGGGGGGAAAGGGTGGACAAGACGTTGCCGTCAATGCATAAACAGACTGAAAGGCCTTAACCCTAACCCACCTCACTCCTCCAAAATCCTCCTGGCGGTTTTGGAGGATTCTAGAGGATCGAGGATGAATGGTGATTGAATCAAATGAGGGTTCTGGAGGATTGAGGATGAATGGTGATTGAAGCACAAGAGGATTTTGGAGGATTGAGGATGAATGCATTTTGAGGCAGGACTGTCTGATGATTTTGAAGGATTTGGCATTGGTTATCCTTCATTTAAACACGAGTGCAAAGTTTTGGGATGAGGAGGATTTTGGAGGATTGAGGATGAATGCATTTTGAGGCAGGACTGTCTGACAATTTTGAAAAATTTAGGCAGAGTTGCAAAATTTTGGAGGATTTTGGAGGATTGAGGATGGTTGTAAGCAACAAGGGCCTAGGGGGTTAGGGTTAAGCAATGAATCACGATTTGCAATATTGAGTGATGGTGTTAATCAGGAGAATTAAGGAATTTTGGTGGGTTTTTTTATTAATTTTTTTTTAACTTGCCCAGCTGGAAGGTGAGGAAGGGGGGGGGGTGCACCAAACCACCCCCTTGTATCTGCCCGTGTGGCCCCTTTAGAAGAGCAATACAGGGAGCTAGTTTTTTTATTCAATTTTTAATTGTGAGGCAGTGCACATGTATGTATTGTATACTTCTAGCCAACATACATGTTCATGTATTATAGTAGATATTAAAAAACAAAAAAACAAAAAAAAAAGCTACATCATGTACATGTACATGTACATGTACCGGTACATAAAAGCTACCCAAAAAAAAAAATACATGTCGTGTGCAAATTCAACTGTACATTCTTAAACCATGTGAATTTCTTACACTTTAAAATCCATGTGACAGCAAACAATTTGAAATATCAGGGTTTGGATTCAACACATGTAGACACATGCTTCATTTAAAGGGAATGTTTGCTCTAATTTTCAGAAATGAACTACGGTATTTGAGGGGTTAGTATAATAGATCAAATATTGTTACACTGACATGTTTGAAGTTTTGTGTTCGAAAATGCTGGAAAAACCAAGAAAAACAAAAAAGCTCAAGTAGTCTGGTTCCCTGACTCCAGTAAAAATAAAATGGATCAATTTATAGATGCTGGAAAATTGTAAGGTAAGGGAACCAGTCTAGCTGGCCTGCACCCATTCATGAACATGTAACCAATAGCAAACAACATTTTGACTGAAAAAAACATTTGTAAATTTGGAGCAATAGTTGAAAAATAGTTAGGTTTTTCCAATAGTGGTCGGCTGACCACCGTTGGAAATGTATACAAAAATACCATTTTCTTGAAAATGACTTCACACCAGGTGACATAACTTTACAGGATGCTTTAGACTGTCATTTACCAACATCCTAGTAAGGTATTTCGTAAACACTTGGTAGTTTTGTTTTTCGATGTTTGTAAATGTTGTATATTCCCTTTAACTATATGACTAAGTATTCTTCACGACATGTACATGTACTTGTAATTTAAGCTCAAAGTGAGCAGGAGAAACAGCATGCTCCAAACAGATGCCCGTGCATGTGTGGAATATATGGAATACGAAACCTGCTCGAAGTTATGTACAGGCAAGCTGTCAAAAAAATAAATACTCATCTTGTGTCTTGCATGACTAGAAATCAAACGGATTGCTTTCTGATGAGTGATAAACAAACTGAAAGAAACTACAGCCAGTCAGGATAAAAAAAAATTAATGGATTCGCAGATTCTTGTCATTTTTACATGTTGGCAGACCGTCACATTCCGTGTGATACACATACAAGTCAACGCAAGTCCTGCACGCGCCCATATCGCGCTAGCCCGCATTCCATGGAGGTCCTGCCCTGCGATAAACAATGTCACTTGATGACACAACCATCATCAATCATAAAACAAAGATGGATATCTTTTCAGAAGTGTAAAATATTAAAACTTGATTCACATCCGTCGTTCGAATAGGGACCATGAGAAACAATATACGTTAATGTGACAAATGCGGCCAGACCCGAATATCTACATTTTCACACGAGATCCACATTGCCAATAGACAAATCAGGCGGCAGCAATTTTCTACGGTGGCACCAGACTCGCGCGAGTCGCCCTCAGGTAGTACACATGCACTCCAGGCGCCTTCAACCAATAGGAATACCAAAATGCGCGTGCGCCTCGTCTTTAAGAATGCCTGCAGCATGCGCGTGAGCATGACACCACCGCAGAAAAAACTTCAAATTCTGGTCGCCGGATTCCACTATAAACTGCCTGATAAAATAACCAGACAAAATAGTGATTTAACAAGCGCCTTTTAGTCAGAGCTGCATCTGTAAGGTATCCTGTATTCTCATCATTACAATTGTCCCTACCGTAAGAATATACTTTGTGTACTTTCTCACCAAACATACACATAAAAAAAAATCTTCTTAAGTACTTCAGATATTTGAAAAATAAAAAAAAATCTTTGAAGGCAGATTCTTATTACACAAGAACGGTAATGTTTTCCTGTGTTGTTGTTAATACCATAATTTTCTAATTTCTGCAATGAATCAAAAGGGTCACTTCCAGAGGGAGGAAAAATGACCTCTTTTTAAATCTTGATTGAATAGACACTGATAAAATAATGTTGAAAAAAATAATTAACAAAATAATAGTATGGCATTTTTAAATGTGAGGGTAACACATTATGAAAAGATGAAATGTGTACGATGGTATGTATCAATAAAGTGAAAAGCCAAGCAAGAAATTAGTCAATTTTTTTTATTCTAATTTATTTCAAAACAGTGTATTGCATGTTTGATGCAAGTTTTCTGAAACTTAATCAACCAGATATTTTTCTAAAATACCTTCCCCATGTTTAACTAAAACATAATTTAGCAGCATTTTTTTCAGTTTTACCTCATTAACACCAAGCAGGTAGCCGGCAGTCAGATCTGGTAGCTCGGAGGTCGCGCACTTTAACCCCAGCCGGCCCAGAAGGTCAAAGATGACCTGGTGTCGGACCTCATTGGACTGTTTAAGTTCAGTAAAGGCTTCGGTGTCCGGAACCAGACTCTCTGGGGAGATGAGTTGAAGCTGGACCTGTTACCATAAAAACATGAAAATTTATGCACATATTTGATTAAAATGTTGTTTATTTGAATATTTGCAATAAAAAGATGTATCCTCTTTGAGTGATCACTGTTTTCTACATATTTTCCAGGTTTGCAGCATTGTTAATGTTGCTAGCATCGTGACTTTGGGCGTGATCCCTGGATACATGCATGGCATATAGTTCATGGCTTCTGACTAGCGCCCCTTGAACAAAGACATTGACAAAATAGGTAACTGCCAACATTGGGCTGGATAGCTCAGTTGGTAGAGCACCGGAACACCAATCCGGAGGTCGCAGGTTCAAACCCCACTCCAGTCAATCACTTTGTTCCATAATTCGCTTCGGGTGCTATGCGCCCCTTGGGTGTTAAAACACCATAACCCACATCACAGCAGTCAACAAATGTTCAATGTAGCATGGTCACATTCCCTTGTGGTTTTTTGTTCTGTTCACTAATGAGACTCAGCATCACATGTTCTTTTCTCATTTTGAAATGTGATAGATAGGAATCTAACTTCAGACGGGCAGTTGTTAATATCGTCACAGTGTCACGTTATCTGGTAGTAATCATATGCACATGTTTCCATGGACTGAAATGCTAATGTGACGAATGACATGACGAGCATGCATCTTGTAAATTGTACAGGGAATGAGTCATGACTACATGAACATGTTAGTTCAACCTCACAGCCCAAATCTTGACATCAAAAAATTTGAACTTTTTTTTTTTCATTTCAATGTGGAAATATCGCAATTACAGATGTAAAAAATTATTCCTAAATGTTAACCAGTTGGCGCGGGATTATTTTGACAAAAACGGAACGAGGTGCGGGATTACTTTTCACGCGATCTCAAGCCAGGCGGGTTGAAACCATCACCCTCGGGCAGCACACTCATATTCCCGACCTTGCTCGCTACGAGCGGGTCTCTGACAGATATTTCCGGCATCGCTCCCTGCGTGTTTATCAGTCATTTGTTCCGAATACCGCAAAACCAATTTGCTGGTATACTAGTCATCCGGCGTGAACTGGTTATACAATGATATACATCTTCAAATGAACCACAACAAGACAACAAACATGATGCATTTTTGTAATTTAAAGCTCGAACAAAGAAATTGCATTGAGCGAGGTTTGAACTTGCAAACTCCGGAATACTACATGTAAGTGTATTGATACATGTAGATTTTAGTGACTTACTTGAGAAGATATGATTTTTCCTGCGCTACCTTTGAAGGAAGTTTCGGTAATGACAGCGTTTCCTTGACTCTCTGCCAGCACCTTCATTTGTCCCCCAGGAAACAAGTCCCTCTTTAGGGGATCCTCAGAACAAAGGCCTTGAAAGGACAGCATCTCCCCTCCGAGCATTTCCGAGTACTTAATAGCGCTCACGCTCGCAGGTGTTTCAGAGTTGGCACTTTGGCCATCAAGTACGAAAAGAAATCCGCCACTCTTAACGTAATCGGTAAACTTCTTCAGTGTGTTCTCGGGAATGGGTTCTTTGCCCGTCATTAGGAGAAGAAGCTTGCAGTTTTCGGCCCACGGATGTTTCAAAGCTTGTTCTTGCTCCAAATGGTAGATGACATAGCGATCCCGGTGCAGGAATTTCTCCAGAAAAGCCACCGAGGACTTGTATCTGGATTTGTCCGTGTCGTCACTTCCCGTATACACAAGAAGATTGGGAGGCTTCCTTGAGACATTGCTGGCATCTCCCGAGGATGTGCCTCCAACGTCGATTGTGGCTCCTCCTAGATGAAATTTCGGACTCCCTTCAATGTCCACCAGTACTTCATCATCTAGTCCCTGACCGGCCATTTCGACCGAGATGCCACCCAGGTCGCTCGACTCCGACGAGGATTTGCGGGAAATTCTCTGATGCTGCTCCTCCAATTTCTTGAGGAATTCCTGAGAGTGTTTCCGGCGCAGCGGTTTTACCTCCTTTTTGGACGAACCTGATCTTTGGAGGAGGCTGTTTCCGGAGGGAGAACGGTGGAAGGGGGAACCGGGTGGGAAGGGGGAAGGCGAAGGAGTCTTGGGGTCTTGATTGACGAGGTTGAACGGCTCCCCAATTGTATCAACACCTGAAAAATGATTGTACACAGAGTAAGCTGTCACAGCTGAAATTTGCCATTTTCTATATCACAAATCCAAAATAATCTCACCAGTGAAATGTCATCAAGACTGTACTATATTCTGAATGAACCTTGTATGCTTTCAATTTTGAGACAGTCTCCTACCGGTACTAACAACTCTCACCCATGCACTCTCTCACTACCTTTGCCAAACCTGATGTTGTAGTACAGCAGTACTATGGGAGTCTAGAGCTATAGCAGCGCGGAGTCGTGAGGCAGCGCAGAGTCAGCCACACATCAGAGAGGGACACGACTTCACGGTTTCACACTGCATACAAGACTGCCGTATCGCGGGTGGCGACTGGGGAACCCCCGTGATTGACATGCTTGGCTGGTTTATTATTCAACATATTCAACATGCTATCGGTCCAATCACTACAATGTTTCACATGTACTCACAGACTATCTGCTCTACCAGCAGGCCGTCGTCAAGCTCCAGCACCCCTTCCAGATAGGCAGAGCCCACCAGCCCAAAGTTGTTGGCAGAGGCCTGGACCAGAATGCCAAACGGCTCGCCTGATTTCCACGCCAGTGGAGTGGTCAGCCCGGAGAGCTTCACGACTCGCTCCCGGGCCACCTTGCGCAGATTCAGGCGACCCTGCCGATCCGTCTTGGGCGGGGAGGCCTCCAGGAGAACAAAGACGGAGTCCGGATTTGAGGAAGAGGAGGCGGCCTGGTCTGGATCCTTGTAGGGCGACAGGCTTGGGGTTGAGGTTCCGATGAAGGACGTCCAGTCTTTGGACAGGTCGACACGTTGCTGTTGGACATCAAATAAATGAACTCTTAAAACTCTGTATTTTCAACAATGTACAGCTCCTATAATGTTTACCCTTTATACATACCGGTACATTTAAGACTGTGGTAGAACACCACATTTTCCCTCACCTTTTACTTCTGTTGGACTCGATCAGTAAAATTCTCACTACCTAGAGGGAACATTTTGTATGATTTGAGTTTTCCAGTTCCTACCTACATACTGCTCAATTCCACTTGGATTTGTACTGTTGGCACTGGCAAAAAACAAACTCATTTTCCCGTTGATACATTGTACAATACATGCTTGTAAATTTCTTCTGAGTTGTAAGAAAAATATGATTCAACTTACTGCATGTGAGCAGCTGCAAGAATTCACGCAACCATGACATGAATTCAAACTAAAGTGTATGTACACTGTAGTTACTGAAAAATGGTCGGAAGTACATACAGTGAACATAAATGTAGAAGGCTACTTGGACTTTATGTCAAAGGTTGTCTTACAACACAAAGTCTCCCCACCATGACCACACTTCCAGTGAACCCCTTTATCTGACATAAAAACTGTAAATAAAGATGAGAAAAAGTATCCCTAAAAAGCTAAATTCTGTACAGAACTAGCAAGCGCAACGCAAATAATTCGCCGAGAACTTCGTGGTCAGCAGCTAGTTTCTCAAAAAGCCTATAATTATGATAACCCTACAGAGATACACATTAAGGATATATTTTACCAATTATGCAGAATATTTTCGTGGCATGAACTCATCTCAAATTCCACATTTTGGTTTACACAAGTATCATATTTCATATTAATTTATTGATATAAAGTTCAGAAGGGCAATGCAGCAGGAGAGTTCAGGCCATTCATCATTTCTTAACAAGATGCATTTTGGCCAGCTACGTGTATGTATGGTACATTGGACATGTACATGTGCAATGTAGGCCATTTGTCATTTTTTAATAAGATTTTGAACAGCTCCAAATATTTGTGAGGATTTATGGCAAAATGAGGCTTGCCTGGGCACAGCCCGGTGTACAGAAATGCCAAAACCAAATTGGGATGTTTACATGTATTTTTCAATTGAAGAATATTGTAAATCGTAGGCCGAATCCTCCCCCCCCCCCCCCTAATTATTTTTAAGCTGAAGACTTACCCTTCTAATTTCTATAGCTGCCAACAGAAACAATCCACTTCCTCCACGAGTACAGATACTGTACGTATACAGCACATTGTACATATGTATACATACAGTACGTGCACAGCTTACACTGCACAAGCACTGGAGGTTATCCTACAGTAGTACTGTGCAAATCCAGTAATCCTTGGTCCTTGAGGAACTAAGTGCTCCAGGGTCACCAAATACTTGTTATTGAAAAACAGCCAGTGACCTCCCGTTGTAACCCCCAAATTTGTATCAACGAGGTCACCAGCTGTTGTCTAATGAGATTCTGCAGTCTGGGGCATTGGAGCAGAACTGGCCAATCACTTTAGAGCTCATCAATGAGGTCGCCAGCTGTTGTCCAATGAGATTCAGCAGTCTGGGGCATTTGAGCAGAACTGGCCAATCACTTAAGAGCTCCTCAATGAGGTCGCCAGCTGTTGACCAATGAGTTTATGCAGTTTGGCCATTTGAGCTGAACTGGCCAATCACTTTAGAGCTCATCAATGAGGTAGCCAGCTGTTGTCCAATGAGATTCAGCAGTCTGGCCATTTGAGCAGAACTGGCCAATCACATAAGAGCTCATCAATGAGGTACCCAGCTGTTGACCAATGAGATTCTGCAGTCTGGGGCATTTGAGCAGAACTGGCCAATCACTTAAGAGCTCAATGCATGCCTGGTACAATCATTAACGTTTGTCCTGGCCAATAATTGATGACCTAGATCTACACTTATACCAGCTTAAAATAGATACTTGTCTAAAGGTCAAGCTGATCTGCAGACAGACAGACCTGTCAATATTAGTTTGGATGGGTTTTGGGGACAGTGATAGAGTACCAACAAATATTGACTAATTTGATCGTTGAATATGATGAGTTTATGGTTTAAGTTTCGCCCTTCACCAACGTAATGAAATTAGCGCCGTTCACTGTCGGAGAACTTGCACTGTATGAAGTGCAGACACCTTAATTACAAGAACTGGGCCACCAAGGTTGGCTGGCCAGTCCTTATCTCATCACAGGGAGTAAAAATTAAAGTGACCGAGTTTGAAAAAAACATATTTTAAAATATGTGGCGATCGCTCCATTTAGTAGAAAATACGTGTTATTGACTAGTAACTGTGAAAATTTAAGGTTATTTGCATACTCTCATCACAAGTTGGGCATCTTTATTTAAAAAGAAATACCACAACATTCATCTGTCCACCACTGCATCATGTACAGATGATTTGTACATGTATACAATGAACCATGGTTTTTTTTCTACCTCCATGAATAAATGAAAACATGCAAAGGAAAACGGACAATAATCACCATCTTCATTTCAGAAAAAGAGACTTGATTTGTTCCTCATATACAAAACACAAAATCTAACAGTAAAAAGCACTTCATACCGAGTACTATTAGAAAACGTGGGGGGGGGGGGGATGTCACGGTCTTTCCCAAGCATTTTTGCATATGGGGACCTTCACTGGGCCTACATGTACCGCATGCAGTGATCATCTAAAAGGGGTAATGCGCATTTTATTCCCTTAGCATTTCTACCCGAAACCTTCAGATTTGAAGTTCCAACAATGTTCAGTAAAGCAGTTGCATATATTCATACATAAGTACGCAGTACATGTCAGACGCCACGCATGCCCCCTACAACTGTACAATGCGCACGTTATGATAGCAGCTGGGACATGTATACTACAAAAAATACTTACATTTTTGTTAAATTTAGGATATTTCATTTAATTTCACGTAAATGGTGATCATACTTAGTGTATGAGAAAATTTACCAACCTTCGGATGAACCACAAGCATCTGTTTGCCTCTCTTCTCGCCGAGAAGCTGAGAGATGACAGGCTGTTCTCCAATCTCGCAAAGAAACGACGCCCTCGTCTTGTCTCCCTCGCTGACCACGCCCTCCTGGAGGATCTTGCGAAATGCGATGCTGGCCTTGCTGCCATGGCAACGCAGTGCGTTCATCACCTTGGCCTTCTGCCTGTAGTCACGCCAAGCCGTGGAGAACGTCAGATAAGCGTAGCACACCGTAAAAAGCATCGCGGTTATTGTTAGTCAAGGGCTCACATCAGCATGCACTGTTATCAAAGTACCTGGAGACGGGGGACTACACGTACCATGCCACTTGCTTGGTTTGACGACAATCTTGCGAATGTCTTTGGGGTCAAATTAGTGTTGCACTTTCAGGTTAGTGAACTTGATGTTGAAAAGTTGATGCTGAAAACATGTCCAGTTACTGGACGCTATCTGTTGGGCATGCAAACAAACAAAAACAGAACAGGCTATGTGAGGAAAAGTCTACAAATCATTCCAAAAAAAGGGTCATACTCTACAAATTGTTTCAAAGGGAAGATTCTACCAAATCAATTTGTGTCTTTTTAAAAAGTTGTTGCTAGTCCCAGAAGGCCAGCCTACATACTGTCCTCTTTGTACAGGTCTATCTGACTCAGTGACTGATTGACGAACGGACTGACTGACTGAATGAAACTACATGTAACTTTCACTCTTGATTTATTTGTAGAATGGTTGTACACTAGTGGGGGAGAGAGTCGCGCAATACTATTATATAGGGCCACCCTCTTACCTTCTGAATAAAAAGAGGCGATTCGGAATACGGTGTGCCCCAAAGTTTATTTCCAAAAAGGTCCATTTCCGGCTAGCGGGTGGACATTGGTAGGGCCTACGCGACATGTTACTGCGCTTTGAAGACGGCAGACATCCAGCAAGAACATATCGACGTGAGTCGACGAACTGAAGAAATTTTTGAATGATCGTGACATGCCATGTAGTAACAAGAAGAGGGAGTTAAGTTACAAGATTTGAATGAAAGCGTGAACAAGGTATAATTAAGTTTTAAGAACTGTGCATGATCGCTACATTTGCATGTAACGGAGTCGCGCAATGTTGACTTTTTTCCACAAATGCAGCGCAATTTTCTCTGGATTTTAGCCCTCTAGCGACAGTTTAGTGGTGATGTGAATCCTCCCTATTGAATAGTGGACTCTGGGACCAGCTTTATTACTTGTAAGGCTTGCCTAGTCGTGTTAGTTGTTTTTATTTTGCCTTTGAAAAAGTTCGTTTTTGGATCTTATGTCAGTCCTTCTGAATGTTATTCTATCTTCTTTTTGGAGGTGTTTTGTGCGTTACTAATAAGGGTTTGTTTAAATTTCACTATTCTCCTAACGAAAAACGTTGAGTCAATATTGAAAATTTTAACGAGTGGCCAAAGTACGTCAACCAGACTAATTACCGGATAGAACTAGATCAATATTTGCAAACAGGGATATTCTTCAATCAGCAAACATTCCAAAGACAAAAATAAAGCATTCATAAGCACACCAACAAAAAATTCACCTGCCTCAAATCAATAAATTGTTCATGCATTAATTTTATTTTGATTGCATTAACACCTCAAAAGTTTCAGGCCTTGGAATGCATTGAAAGACAGCTGCACATACACGAAGGTGGTCGACTGTTAAGATTAATCATTTCACACAACAGTACACATGTATGGGAGTTATCTGGGCATCGAAACAACCTCAGATTTGCTACCCTGCCACTGAGTTTAAAGGTAATAATACATTTTCAAACATCAAAAAACAAAATGACCAAATTATTCTGAAGTACCGGTACTTTACTTGACAGTACGAATAATGGTCTCAAGCATCCTGACAAATCATGGCACCTGGTGTGCTGTCATTTTCAAGAAAAGTGGAATCAATTTCCAATGATGGTTGGCTGACCATCGTTGGAAAAAAAACTGACCTTTTTTTTCAAATACTGCCCCATTTTCTCGGGAACGGTAAAACATTAGGTTGGTTTCCTTTCAACCAAATGTTTGAAATAGGATAAGTAAACAATCCATATGAAATTTTTGGGAATTTCAGGACGCAGTGCCCCTTTAAGTTGTGTCCATGTCCATTCACATGTCCTACAACTGCAACCCCTAATCAGTGTAAACTATTTCATGACCTATTCCATAATTGTGCGTCATTAAAATCTGTCGTTTTCACAGGAAGGAATGTTTAGCTGCATGCGCCAGCTTGTTTCACTCAGAGTCAGTTTCTGATAGTGAATCTGAAGAATTTTGATTAATTCATTTTTCCGTTTTAATTATCCCGGCAATGAGCTGTTGAAAACATTGGGTCAATGAACATGTATCAGACAGCTGAATTCTCTCTAAGACTTTCTGATGATACATGTAAGTAGGCTCTTTATGCACCTATTAATTGTACGACAGACCCCACAGGGGCGTAGCAAGAAGGGGGAGGGTGGGACAATAAATTTTAAACAAGGATTATTATTTTAGCTGATATTAACCCTAACTCTCCTCAATCCTCCAAAATCCTCATGGCGGTTTCGGAGGATTTTTGGAGGATTGAGGATGGATGGTGTTGAAGCACATGAGGATTTTGAAGGATTGAGTGGTGTTTGAAGAAGAGGAGATTTTAAAGGATTTGGGATGAATGAAGGATTTTGGAGGATTGAGGATGAATGCAATTTGAGAGGCAGGACTGTCTGACGATTTTGAAGGATTGAGGCGCTGTATCCTTCATTTGAACATAAGTGCAAAGTTTTGGAGGATTTTGACGGTTTGAGGATGGTTCCTAGCAAAAAGGGCCTATGGGTTAAAGATGTCAGTTTTTAATAAAAAAATTTCCTTTCAGATACATACTTTACATACTGTTAATCACATAGGCCTACTGTACATTTTTTATTTTTTGAAACTGACGTTTTGTTCCTTTGCTTCAGAAGCAGTAACAGAGTACATGCCATGTCTTGATTTCCATAAGGTAATTTATCTTGCTAGCAACTGGTTTCCAAATTCCTGGAGATCATGGTGCAATCCATCCGACAAGAATGTGGACAGGCCTCGGTCCGACCCTGCTGATCAAAATGTTGAACATGGATACCTGGGATATCCCAAGAGCAACTCGATGCTCTTACACGCCCTCCTCTTTACTCCACAGTGCAACCTCCGTAAGTCGTCATTATTACTCCTATCCATTTCCCAGTGGTCCTCCCCCCCCCCCCCCCCACCCCATCTGCTGAAATGTAGTTTCCGCGGAGGCGGGTTTGCGTCATCCCCCGCGCCGTATTGATGAATTCCACCGGGGCCAGTCGGTTAGGGCCCTTCTTATGCAATTTAAAAGTCAGAGTTCACTCAGTGGTACCTGGTCAAATGATATTCAACCAATGTTTGCATCTGTTGGAATGCAACTGACATTGTACAGTTGTCCGTACCGGTATGTGTTCACTATATTAACACTGTACATAAATGCACTACTACTTACAATTGTATGTAAAGTACATGCATGGCCGGTGACAGAGTGCAACTCAATATTGATCAAGAGACTAGAGTAAGATTTGCGGGTGTGCAAATTGACCAAAATTTTGTCCAAATGGTAAACTTGTAAAATGACGAATAAAACTTGCATTTCAATTTGACTTCAGGTAGCCAAAAGTCACTAAACCCCAGCATTTTAATTAATTTGTAAAAAAAAAAAATCTTGTTTCAATATACAATAAATGTGAATTTACAACAATGTCAAGCCTGTATACAGTTTGTAAATATATGTTTTTAATTTTACAAACGTATTCAAAAGTTTCATTCAAATTCTATCAAATAAACCATAAAAATCTTTAGTGATAAACATTGATATCTTTATTAGGAAAATATGCATGGGGGTGGGTGGGGGGGGGGGTAGGTCAAACTGCATGTAAGGCCAAAAAAAAAATACTCGGTCTCTGGTCAGCGCGTGCGTCGATTTTAATCATGCGCGGCAACCTTTTTTTTCCTTCAAATTAACACGGAAGCTACAACAGCGCCCTCTATTGCCGCACCTCCTCAAATTTTTGTACCAAGGAGCACCAAGGAATGGGGAAATTGCACCAAGGCAAATGATAAAGGGCACCAAGGCACATTATGGAAGACACCAATGTATAATGAGGACACAAAAAAGCAAAATAATACCCACCTTGTCTGTACAATTCAAGCTTGAAAAAAAAAAAAAAAAGCCACCAAAAAAAAAAAAAACGCGTCGCCGCATCAATTCCGGAACTTCGATCTGACCAGAGACCGACTATTCTTTTTTTTGGGCCTAATGTCAGTAAATTTGTGACTGTTAATTACAGCAAAAAAAATATTATACTAAACTGACATATGTGTACATTTCACACATTTAGTTTTAATTAAAACACATCACTTCCATAATAAATGCCTCAGCCATACATGTATACACATGTACATGTGTACACTTAAATCAATCCAACTATGTACAATGTGCAATGTGCAAATGTGATACATGTACATGTACAGTTTTCAAATTCATTTTTCATCATTCAGTGGTTTATGATTTTTCTTAGGTTGAGAGATTTTAGAAATCTGGGCTTGAATTTCGGGAACCAAATCCTAGACCAAAGCACACGTGCAGGTATACACTACACATAACCACATACGTACATGTACAGTCTGCATACATGATGAGCAAGTACAAATACATGTATCGGGTAGTACATGTGTACATGTTCATCAATTATAAATAATGAATTACAGTAGTACAATATTTTGCACAAATTTGCTGCAGTGCACATTGTTCATGTGGTGTACCGGTGTAGCATGAATTTAGGTTTTATGAAATACGGACTCATTGGTGGTATTGCGCATGCTTATGCATTGCTAATTAGGAGAGGGACCGGTCACGTGAGAGGGTTTAACCAATAAAAGGGGAAAAGAGTCCGATTTTCATACGAGTCCGATTTTCATATGACACCGGCTCAACCTCAACAATATATATAAAATGAGTGTGTACATGTACATGTATACAGTGTTTTTAATATTAAAATTGTACATCATGTACCAGTTTTTTGATGAGTGATTAATTTTTTTTTTTTATTTAACTCAAATTTCAAAAAGGATCTGAATATTCTCCATGTAGCTGTGGGGATTTTTAGTACATGTATACATCAGTGATGTACTTGCCATGGTTTTGATGCTGGGCCCCGTTGCAAAATGGTAGCATTTAAAATAAAATGTTTCCATTGATACGGCCAAATAAAAAAAAATTTAAAAACATGTTTAGCGTCCCCCCTCGCTTCCTTTTTGGAGGCCAACTCCTCTTTTTTTTGAAAAAAAAGCAAAAATGTCGACCGATCCATCGTAAAATCAAATACTTGCAAGTTGGAACTTCTAATTCTAGACTGTATTGGTCACCTCATGGCATGCATGCAGTCGACCCTGCGATCTCCAAACCAGCCTTGACGTGGACAAGAATGCCTGCGCCGCAGTGTTTTTTAATTCTTGTAAAACCATGCTGGAAACTATTAAAAACACTGTAAATATATTTAATTCTCTTGTCCAGCATGTCTGTTTCATTATTTGTATCTTTGAACAGTGTAAAAACCAACGGTTGTTGGCTATCTTAAAAATGAAAGAAACAAGGGGCGTCAGGTTGCAACATTTTTTCCAAAAAAAAGTATATCGAGGAAAAAACAATTTTACATTGTTCACTTCCCAGTGTTTTGAGCTACTGAGTATTGTATTTGTACCATAATTCTATTGAAACTAGTTGTGGAAAAAAAGAAGAAAAAAAGCCATCTGATTCTTATTATTTATTAAAAAAAACTATGGCAATGGCCTACACTTTTTATAAGATGGGATCGTCTCAACATGTTTCTCAAGTGCTTGGCATGTAGTTGGTACTGTTCTGTAAAAAAAAAATTAAGTTGGGTGCCTGCTGTGGTGTAATATACTTGTATTTAGCAGATTTTACCCATAGGCCTAGAGTCTAGATGAAGATTAAGATTAGGAAATCCGCAAAACATTCCGCAGATAAAAAACACACAAAAATCAAGATGTGCAATTCTCATCAGAATAATCGTGCCATCATCCAACATTGTTGTGATTAATTTACATAGTCAACATTTTTTTCATCTGGCACATGCTACAACTTTTAAGTACAAGGATGGTTAAACTTATTAGCTAAACACTGATTCATGATTTACACAAAATGAAATCACCTACGCCTAGGTTTACTTTAGGCTAAACAAAACATACCACCACATGCCTACCTGAATTGAACATTTTCAGTGTCTATCTGAAGTTCAGAGTCAGACGAGGATCCATTTAACGAGCTGGTTGCCATTGAAAATGTCTGGCAGTGACGTTAGGCCTGAACTGCCCAGCCGAATCACGCTGCTAAATGTCACCCTTGCACGACCGGCCCACGCCCGCCATACTCGCGCTTGCTTGCTGAATGCTTGATCCGGAACTTGGAGGACAGACGTCAGTGCGGAAATATCATCACCATTCACTTTTTTTAACTCGACGATCGCTGATGACTCCTGATTAAGTTATCGGCAGTTTCAAGGATCAAATTTCACACATCAGCAGTACGATCAAGGATTTATTCTTCATAGTACTGTGAGCATGACTTCAAGCCTTGAGTCGAGTCAAGGTCTGCTGGCCAGATCAGCTAGCTAGAGCGCGCCACGCCAAATGCCAAAAGTGCAAGAATTCCCGGGAAATATAGCGCCACCAAGCGTCCACTTTTGGCCAAGCAATCATGGCGGCGTGCATGGGGCGACAACTTTTGAGACGTCTTCGACAGAAATACCACGTTTTCCCCACGGATAAAGCCCATGCGGCGTTATTGGTAAGGTTCATTTTAATTCAGACGAGATTATTTATCAAGGGTTAAATCAAGTAACCACATTGACATTTGACAACATGATAACTTGTTCGTTTAAAAATGTCTTGAAAATGAAAAGAAAGACAGGTCGAAAGTCCCCAAATTTTACGGATCGGTAAAGTGCAGCGCATACGCAACGTACATGACGTACGTACAGAATGATAAAAATCACACGCGACTCTAGTCTAATTTGATCGAAACTAAAGAGGGGCCTGTAACTACATGTACACAATCGCCAAATTAAATGGGCCTCGTTAGGCCTACATAGTGGTTATCGTTATCAGTGGTCATGGTGGTCATGGTGGTTATGGAACTTGGTACTTAGTCTTGGTAGCCCCATAAATGTGGCCTATTTACTGGACTACCTCCGTAAACATAGGCCACACATCCACATGTACAAAAACGTGTCGCACTTTGCCAAATTTTGATTTTCACATTTAGGCTTAGTTTGTAGGGTTTTTTTGGCTTTAGAAGCATAGGCTACTCACCCTCTTTATAATTATAGGCTAATCAGAAAGTGCTGCCTTTTTCAGATGTCTATTTTTCGTGAAATTTCCAGATTTATTTGCACACGTTTGCGTATCAAAATTTCAACATGAAATTTCACAAAAATTAGACATCTGAAAAAGGCAGCACTTTCTGATTAGCCTATAAAGAGGGTGAGTATGCTTCTAAAGCCAAAAAAACCCTTCAACTAAGCCTAAAATGTGAAAATCAAAATTTGGCAAAGTGCGACACGTTTTTGTACATGTGGATGTGTGGCCTATGTTTACGGAGGTAGTCCAGTAAATAGGCCACATTTATGGGGCTAGGAACTTGGAAGCTGTCAAAAATGGCGATTTTCAACTGCTGGTCAATGTTGTCGTTATGGCATTGCAAAAAAACCCATTGTCAATATATATCACATGTATAACTGCCCTTTCAACCAGAGCGCTTTGGCAACTCGATTGGTTACATGTACCGGTGTCGTGCCAAAAACCGTCCGGTGCCAAATAGTGTCCGCTAATTAGCATAATGGGATCTGATTGGTCATGCGTCCATGACGTCACATTGTTTACGGAAGCTTGCAAATAGTGTCCGCGCTTAGCGTGCATCCTATTGCGTGCCTTGTCGAGATGTCAAGGCGTCGTATAGATAAGATCTCTTTTCACCTGAATTTACATTTTACAATCTGTTTTAACGTTTTCCTTGTTATCTGTGATAACTATTAGACTAAGTTTCCCTAATAGTGTAAACATTATATTTGTGCAAAATGTTTGTTTTTTTCGTGTCAGTTCACCTGTTTGAAACACATGCAGTACGTACGAATAGGCCTAAAGTAACGCCGTAGTGTGTAGTGTGTGTAGTTAGCTCTACTGAGTGGAGCGTTGAATTACGGGTACCCCTCCATACAAACGCTCCACCGATTTGCCATACTTTGGTGACGGCGTCACAGTAGCATATAGTCACATACCCACGCGAGGACAAAAAGACCCCCCAAAAAACCGTTCAAGAGAATACAAATGAGAGAGACAGTTACCCTGGATTGATCTACACATTCATGACATTCCATCAGACCCCTTACATTGTTCCCAAACAGCGAAAATTTTGAAGAAAAACAGCAAAATAGTCTGAAAACTTACAGCTCAATGACTCGCCGTGAGGCTCAATCCTTGCACCGGTTTGCGGAATGAGGGCGTCTGACGTGACGTCACCGTCGTTGCTGGATCGAAGAAAAACAAGTCGCGCTTTATCAAAGACTGTTTCGTGTAATGATACGTGCTCCTTGGGTGTGTTCAAAGCCCGTACTGTCGTACGGCGCGGATCGGAGCACGTATCATTGAATGACACGAAACAGTCGTTGATAAAGCGCGACTTGTTTTTCTTCGATCGAGCAACGACGGTGACGTCACGTCAGATGCCCTCATTCGGCAAACCGGTGCAAGGATTGAGCCTCACGGCGAACACATGAGGCTGTAAGTTTTCAGACTATTTTTCTGTTTTTCTTCAAAATTTTCGCTGTTTGGGAACAATGTAAGGGGTCTGATGGAATGTCATGAATGTGTAGATCAATCCAGGGTAACTGTCTCTCTCATTTGTATTCTCTTTACCGGGTTTTTGGGGGGTCTTTTTGTCCTCGCGTGGGTATGTGTCTATGCTACTGTGACGCCGTCACCAAAGTATGGCAAATCGGTGGAGCGTTTGTATGGAGCGGTACCCGTAATTCAACGCTCCACTCAGTAGAGCTAGTGTAGTATAGTACTGTTCCGTGTAGCATTATAACCAACGTTATTTCTGTTTGGTCAAAATCTAGAGGTCAAGATGCGGTTGTCTTGTACAATTAATCAGCGAATCTGCTCAAATGTCTATGGTCTATTGCATAGACTAGTCTGTGTGAGGGTTGCGCTTTAAAAGGTCTGAAACCCTGCAACTTTTTAAGAAGCTTGATCGAAGCACGCATCGCCGACACCTATCAATGTCTCCAACGACAAGATAAATCATAATCATAAGCATAACACGAACATTTACATCTTTGCGTGCGTTTTAATCATCAATCATTCGAAGACAATTCTCCCCCGCTGCTTTCCCCGTCATTGGCCCATGAACTTCGAGGTCATCGGTCGTATCGAAGGGACTTTCCCCAACTTTTACCGTTGGGTGATCAGTTGATAAAGCTCAGGCCACCAACCTCCAATTCCTCCGCATATGGTTTACAAAAACAAATCGAACCTCTGTTCTGAAACTATGTGTCATAGTGGATTAATTTTGCTTTGTAATAATTCCTTCATTTTTAACCTGAAAGCATCTGAAAAATACAAATCATCAGGGCCATAGCCAGTCGATGGAAGGTGGTTTTATGAGGTGGACCTTTTCATGTCTTATAAACAGCGGTTGAATAGGAAACATTTAGTCAAACTGAAATGTCAATCGCGAGGAAAAAGTGGACGTGCAGTTGATGTGTTTTTTTTAGGGGGGGTTCTTCTGACCCCCCTCCTCAAGTCCAGTGCTCGTGGCACAATTTAAATTTTCTGTCCTAATAACAATGACAATAGATTCTCTTCTAAAATCCCTTTTTGTTACAGTGATTAACAACAACAAAACAAACCAAACAAATTCAAGACTCAATGTCTTCCACTTTCAAGAGGATACAAAACTTGAACACAATTTACGAGGAACAAAAACTCAATATAACGAAAAATATATTATACACATAGACTGGCAATATGAGGTCACTAGTCTTTGCGCCCTGAGAGACTGTGAGTGACCAGAAGAGGGTCCTATAATAGGACCCTAGCTCTTCCGGTCACTCACAGGCCCGAGGGGGCATAGATGTGCACTGGGGACCGAATTAATATGCCAGATCCATGTTTTATAACTCATCTCTGTCCAAAATATTAAATAAGAAAAGAAACCTTTCAGTGTTTTATTCTTGAACTGTTTTAATTCAACAATTAACTCCTAAGCAATTCAACTGTCAGCAATTCAACAATTTAAGGAACTTCGCTTTTAGTTTCCCTAGATTACATTTTTGAATTTGAGTTTTGTCAGAGGGCGCTGTTACCAGTCAAACGTGCTCGATCAGGGGCTATATACTCTGGAAATTACGCTCGCGCGATGTCTCGACGCGCGTCTAGTTTCACACACTAGCCCATATTAAGTGAATCACATGTGACCGCGTTTCAGCCAACCAGGATAAAGAACAAGCAGGAGATGTGTTAAAAACGAAAATAGCCTCACAATGTTAATTTATTACGTTTACTGCACGTTAAGTAAATCAATAAAAAAATCGGTAATTATGACTACTGTTTTCTAAATTTTAACGGGACAGAGTTCAAGCGAATTAGGGGGTGTAACAAGTATATGTTCTGAGTACTACAACTTCCAAAATACCGTTTATTGAAGTAGTTTGGTACTTTGACTTAAATCTGAAAATAAACTTTGCAACAATTTATTGTTTCGCAATAGCAATGTTACAGCGTCAGCGCCATGCAGTCTGTGTATGAGTTCACATGAAGTTGAAGCTTCGCTAGTCAGCATCATGGCACCAACCATCATGTGTATGGTAGTAACTAGAAACAACTCAGTATCTTGGTGGACTCGAATTTTCACATCTGTGGTTGTACACAAAGGTGTTGCCGTAGCCAGGGAGCGTGATCTTCCAGCAGCAGAGCGGGGCCACATACTGCCACGTGCGATCGCCGCACACGCTGTCGTACGTTGCGTACACGTAGATCGGACTGCCTGGAGGCGCGTTCCTCCGCACGCTCTCGCAGGCCAGCTGGCCCGCCGTGTTGGTGAACCTAGACCCGCCCATCCAGTCATGGGCCTCATCCAGGCAGTCGGTGGGGCAGTTTCGATGGACCGCCTGGCAGCCCACGACGAGCCAGTGGTGGTAGCTCGGGTTAGGTAGGTCCTCCAAGAACCATAAACCATTGGTGCTCTGCCCTGCTCTTAGCTGGGTTGTGCTCCATCGAAGATCGCAATAACAGCTGCATCAAAGAAAAACAAAACATACAAAGCTCAGTGGTAATGTAATGATTCGAACTGCATACTAACTTGTTAGTAGTTTTCCCCTTTAAATGACGGAAGTCGGAGGCAGGGGCGTTAATCCGGGAAGGGGGGGTATACATCCCCGGCCAGTTTTTGACTGGGGGGGGGGGTGGGGATGGGCAATTGGATCTCCCACCCCTCGCACTTTTTCGTGTTGAGAAAAAAATGTGGATTTTCAGGGGTTTTTTTCTAAGCTTCCCATCAACCAGAATGTCATCAATCGAAAAATGAGATGTTTCTAATTAAATGCGCCGTTTTAATGTGTTGATGTTTAAGGCGCGTACGCACATGTATACATTTGTTAAAGATGTATGTGCTGTATTATGAACAACGCCCCTAGTGTAATGGTGTTGTCCACGCCCCCCCCCCCCTCCCTCCCCCTTTGAATGAATATCCACGGCTGGCATTTTGGGGGATTTTGGTCGCCCCTATCCCCCCAAAACTCTCAAAAATAGCCCTCAGGGTGCAACCTGCGATGACCTCGGTAAGGCCATAAGGCTTGAGAATTTTGCACCCATAACAATCTCGACCGACCCGAACATTCTTTGGGAAATTTGGAAAGTCAAGACAAAAATCAGAGAAAACGGTAACGTCAGACCAAACAGCGACATCGACATCGTGCATGTGCTGTCAGGCTGGTTATTAGTCTGCTCCCTTACATATTGCGCCTCTTTAAAGCGTTTACAGGTTCCAGATATACACGACCATCGCTCTCTCAGTCTGGCACAATTAAAACCAACCTCGTTCCCAGGGTGTCGAGCAGTACGCGCCCACCACTACCTGCTCTCTCACCCTGGTATTGGATCATTTGCATGTGCAAGATTTGTGCACATGTATGCAAATGAGGAACAGTCTGGTGCCTGGATATGCGTTACACATTAGCGTTTGTTTTTGTATGCGGTGTCTGGGGTAAAAACAGAGTCAATTCGTAGCAGCGCGAGCACGGCGTGAGTTACGAAAACACGATTTTTGAAATCAAACTGTTACGATCTTATCGAGACAACATGCAGTATCATAGTTCATATTAATATGAGCAAATTGGAAAGGAAATTAGTATTTTCGAGAAGGCGGGGACGAATGATCGCGAAAACACGTACTGCACGTTGTGAATAATAGCACCAAGTACACGATAAATATCCATTACTAGCCAATTGCGGTATCCAATCAGGATACAGGAAGAAAGTTTCCTATCCAGGGTTTACTATTGGAAACGCGGTTGGAAATAAAGTAAGCACTGGGGACGAGGTTGAATTAAAACATTTACAATACCGGCTGCAAAATGGTGCCCGACTAAATTTAGTGCAAAATATATGGCAGCCCAGAGGGGCCACATAAATTTAGCCTATACTCGAACGTAACCTCATCTAAAAACACGTTAAAATTGTGCGGCAGCAGGATTCCCGTCAACCTATTTTGAGACATCATCTTACATTGAAAAAAAGTTCCACGGCGATGTGCGCGTGTACCAGAAACAGGAGATTTGTTTTGTTTTGCTTTGCTTTAAATCAAGTCTTTAATCGGAACTTACTATTTACGGTTTGCATTTGCACCGAGGATCATGATGGCCGAAATGGCGACAACAAAGATGACATGACAGGCATTCATCTTGTCGAATTATTGCAACTATGAAGTGTCGGCTTCTCTCAACTTGAAATCGTCTGTTCGGCAGTTGAAGTCGCTTCCCTTAACTTTCTTGGCCGTTCTGTGCCAGCTCCACAACCAGTGTGCCGTATTTATAGGATTGCAACTAGGATTCCAACTGGCTCACCTCGAAGCCCGGTGTCGTGCCAAAAACCGTCCGGTAAAAGTTGGGGAAAGTCCCTTCGATACGACCGATGACCTCGAAGTTCATGGGCCAATGACGGGGAAAGCAGCGGGGGAGAATTTTCTTCGAATGATTGATGATTAAGACAGGTGTCGTGCCAAAAACCGTCCGGTGCCAAATAGTGTCCACTTACTAGCATAATGCGATCTGATTGGTCATCTCCTGCTTGTTCATTATCCTGGTTGGCTGAAACGCGGTCACATGTGATTCACTTAATATGGGCTAGTGTGTGAAACTAGACGCGCGTCGAGACATCGCGCGCGCGTAATTTCCAGAGTATATAGCCCCTGATCGAGCACGTTTGACTGGTAACAGCGCCCTCTGACAAAACTCAAATTCAAAAATGTAATCTAGGGAAACTAAAAGCGAAGTTCCTTAAATTGTTGAATTGCTGACAGTTGAATTGCTTAGGAGTTAATTGTTGAATTAAAACAGTTCAAGAATAAAACACTGAAAGGTTTCTTTTCTTATTTAATATTTTGGACAGAGATGAGTTATAAAACACACGGATCTGGCATATTAATTCGGTCCCCAGTGCACGTCTATGCCCCCTCGGGCCTGTGAGTGACCGGAAGAGCTAGGGTCCTATTATAGGACCCTCTTCTGGTCACTCACAGTCTCTCAGGGCACAAAGACTAGTGACCTCATATTGCCAGTCTATGTGTATAATATATTTTTCGTTATATTGACTTTTTGTTCCTCGTAAATTGTGTTCAAGTTTTGTATCCTCTCGAAAGTGGAAGACATTGAGTCTTGAATTTGTTTGGTTTGTTTTGTTGTTGTTAATCACTGTAACAAAAAGGGATTTTAGAAGAGAATCTATTGTTATTGTTATTAGGACAGAAAATTTAAATTGTGCCACGAGCACTGGACTTGAGGAGGGGGGTCAGAAGAACCCCCCCCCCCAAAAAAACACATCAACTGCACGTCCACTTTTTCCTCGCGATTGACATTTCAGTTTGACTAAATGTTTCCTATTCAACCGCTGTTTATAAGACATGAAAAGGTCCACCTCATAAAACCACCTTCCATCGACTGGCTATGGCCCTGATGATTTGTATTTTTCAGATGCTTTCAGGTTAAAAATGAAGGAATTATTACAAAGCAAAATTAATCCACTATGACACATAGTTTCAGAACAGAGGTTTGATTTGTTTTTGTAAACCATATGCGGAGGAATTGGAGGTTGGTGGCCTGAGCTTTATCAACTGATCACCCAACGGTAAAAGTTGGGGAAAGTCCCTTCGATACGACCGATGACCTCGAAGTTCATGGGCCAATGACGGGGAAAGCAGCGGGGGAGAATTGTCTTCGAATGATTGATGATTAAGACAGGTGTCGTGCCAAAAACTGTCCGGTGCCAAATAGTGTCCACTTACTAGCATAATGCGATCTGATTGGTCATCTCCTGCTTGTTCATTATCCTGGTTGGCTGAAACGCGGTCACATGTGATTCACTTAATATGGGCTAGTGTGTGAAACTAGACGCGCGTCGAGACATCGCGCGCGCGTAATTTCCAGAGTATATAGCCCCTGATCGAGCACGTTTGACTGGTAACAGCGCCCTCTGACAAAACTCAAATTCAAAAATGTAATCTAGGGAAACTAAAAGTGAAGTTCCTTAAATTGTTGAATTGCTGACAGTTGAATTGCTTAGGAGTTAATTGTTGAATTAAAACAGTTCAAGAATAAAACACTGAAAGGTTTCTTTTCTTATTTAATATTTTGGACAGAGATGAGTTATAAAACATGGATCTGGCATATTAATTCGGTCCTCAGTGCACGTCTATGCCCCCTCGGGCCTGTGAGTGACCGGAAGAGCTAGGGTCCTATTATAGGACCCTCTTCTGGTCACTCACAGTCTCTCAGGGCACAAAGACTAGTGACCTCATATTGCCAGTCTATGTGTATAATATATTTTTCGTTATATTGACTTTTTGTTCCTGGTAAATTGTGTTCAAGTTTTGTATCCTCTTGAAAGTGGAAGACATTGAGTCTTGAATTTGTTTGGTTTGTTTTGTTGTTGTTAATCACTGTAACAAAAAGGGATATTAGAAGAGAACCTATTGTCATTGTTATTAGGACAGAAAATTTAAATTGTGCCACGAGCACTGGACTTGAGAAGGGGGGGGGGTCAGAAGAACCCCCCCTAAAAAAAACACATCAACTGCACGTCCACTTTTTCCTCGCGATTGACATTTCAGTTTGACTAAATGTTTCCTATTCAACCGCTGTTTATAAGACATGAAAAGGTCCACCTCATAAAACCACCTTCAATCGACAGGCTATGGCCCTGATGATTTGTATTTTTCAGATGCTTTCAGGTTAAAAATGAAGGAATTATTACAAAGCAAAATTAATCCACTATGACACATAGTTTCAGAACAGAGGTTCGATTTGTTTTTGTAAACCATATGCGGAGGAATTGGAGGTTGGTGGCCTGAGCTTTATCAACTGATCACCCAACGGTAAAAGTTGGGGAAAGTCCCTTCGATACGACCGATGACCTCGAAGTTCATGGGCCAATGACGGGGAAAGCAGCGGGGGAGAATTGTCTTCGAATGATTGATGATTAAAACGCACGCAAAGATGTAAATGTTCGTGTTATGCTTATGATTATGATTTATCTTGTCGTTGGAGACATTGATAGGTGTCGGCGATGCGTGCTTCGATCAAGCTTCTTAAAAAGTTGCAGGGTTTCAGACCTTTTAAAGCGCAACCCTCACACAGACTAGTCTATGCAATAGACCATGGACATTCAGATTCGCTGATTAATTGTACAAGACAACCGCATCTTGACCTCTAGATTTTGACCAAACAGAAATAATGTTGGTTATAATGCTACACGGAACAGTACTATACTACACTAGCTCTACTGAGTGGAGCGTTGAATTACGGGTACCGCTCCATACAAACGCTCCACCGATTTGCCATACTTTGGTGACGGCGTCACAGTAGCATAGACACATACCCACGCGAGGACAAAAAGACCTCCCAAAAACCCGGTAAAGAGAATACAAATGAGAGAGACAGTTACCCTGGATTGATCTACACATTCATGACATTCCATCAGACCCCTTACATTGTTCCCAAACAGCGAAAATTTTGAAGAAAAACAGCAAAATAGTCTGAAAACTTACAGCCTCATGTGTTCGCCGTGAGGCTCAATCCTTGCACCGGTTTGCCGAATGAGGGCGTCTGACGTGACGTCACCGTCGTTGCTCGATCGAAGAAAAACAAGTCGCGCTTTATCAACGACTGTTCGTGTCATTCAATGATACGTGCTCCGATCCGCGCCGTACGACAGTACGGGCTTTGAACACACCCAAGGAGCACGTATCATTACACGAAACAGTCGTTGATAAAGCGCGACTTGTTTTTCTTCGATCGAGCAACGACGGTGACGTCACGTCAGATGCCCTCATTCGGCAAACCGGTGCAAGGATTGAGCCTCACGGCGAGTCATTGAGCTGTAAGTTTTCAGACTATTTTGCTGTTTTTCTTCAAAATTTTCGCTGTTTGGGAACAATGTAAGGGGTCTGATGGAATGTCATGAATGTGTAGATCAATCCAGGGTAACTGTCTCTCTCATTTGTATTCTCTTTACCGGTTTTTTGGGGGGTCTTTTTGTCCTCGCGTGGGTATGTGACTATATGCTACTGTGACGCCGTCACCAAAGTATGGCAAATCGGTGGAGCGTTTGTATGGAGGGGTACCCGTAATTCAACGCTCCACTCAGTAGAGCTAACTACACACACTACGGCGTTACTTTAGGCCTATTCGTACGTACTGCATGTGTTTCAAACAGGTGAACTGACACGAAAAAAACAAACATTTTGCACAAATATAATGTTTACACTATTAGGGAATCTTAGTCTAATAGTTATCACAGATAACAAGGAAAACGTTAAAACAGATTGTAAAATGTAAATTCAGGTGAAAAGAGATCTTATCTATACGACGCCTTGACATCTCGACAAGGCATGCAATAGGATGCACGCTAAGCGCGGACACTATTTGCAAGCTTCCGTAAACAATGTGACGTCATGGACGCATGTGGCCAATCAGATTGCATTATGCTAATTAGCGGACACTATTTGGCACCGGACGGTTTTTGGCACGACACCGGTACATGTGTGTAACACTACCATCATGACCATACCAAAGATCCCAGGATCAAATCCGTGCAGTGAGAATGTTTTTTTTTCTACTTCAAATTTTGTTCTTTAATACAATAGTTTTCTTTACCTACATAAGTATGTAAGTTTTATGTTTTCAATCAAAGTCTACTTTTTAATGTGAAGTAGTTACTTACTTTTTTCTTAATAGGCCTAGTCCATGTCTTTTTGAGGATTTTTTAAAAGAACATTAAAGTCAGAACTGTTCGGTAGTCTGGTTCCAAGAGCCAAAGATTCTGACATTGAATTTTGTCAGGTCAGGGAACCAGATAGTAGACTGCTGTAACGATAGCCCCGAAAAAAAAAAAAAAAAATCACTGAAACACTATTTTCCAGAAATCACTTGAAAACACTCTATATTAATTTCAAGCAACAGCGCCCTCTTTTGTCCTATGCAGACATTAACACTGTTCTATTTTTCTTTTGGGGGGTGCAGTGTCCATCCATTCATCATGCCTGTAGAGCAGCATCTTCGGCCACGCCCCCTAAAGAGGAACCTCAGGAAGCCACGGACCTGATGTCGGCAATGATAGCCGCAGCGCAAGACAGACGAACAGCTTTCGGTAAGGACTGCTTAAACGCCTTGCTTCTTCTATGTCAAGCTTTTCTTTATGGCATGGCGATGTTACGCCCCAACTACGTCATTGTCCCAACTACAGTCGGAATGATCCCAACTACAGTCTGGACATGCTGGATGGACCCAACTACAGCCTGGATGTTCCCAACTACAATGAGGATCGGATCCGGACTTCCCCAACTGTAGTTGGGACCACTGCCATAGTTGGGACACATGATTAGAAGGTTTGGCAAATTGAGTTCAGCATGGCACTGTTTTTAAGCTTGATAGGGTCTGCCTACAAACAGAAATTGTCCGGTTAAGAGGGAGTAAAGTTAGTGGCCTGATTTTATATGATTGCAGGTTTTATGCACTCAAAGTCTCAAGCTAGTTGTAAGATATTCTGTGTTAAATCAGGCACCTACAGGGTGAGTAAAAAAAAAGCATCCCAAATGAAGTTTTGCCTGTAGCACTTTCAAAAAAGGTGCGTGTTCTTTTAGAAAAACGAGAACAATTCACACGCATCCCTGTGAGAATTGTTTTCATTTTGCTCAAAGAACACTTTTTGTTTTGTGATCTGTGGACAGAACTTTAAAAAACTTTTGAAGGCAGCTTTTGAAGGCAGCTTTAACTGGCTTGTGTTAAACATGATCGGCAAGTTTCGAATATTCGAATATTCGCTCAAGTGCAGATTCTAATAATCAAATACAAAATTATTCGAAAGAGGACAGCCCTAAACAATAGCAAAACCTTTAATCACTAGTGAAAATTAATTATCATTTTTATGACTTAAAATTGAAGCCAAGAGCCTTTGCTGAGAAAACCTTTTACATTTCTAAACTTTTTTTGGCACAGATGCTCTGATTCAACGACAGCAGGAAGAATACGAGCGAGGGCGCCGTCACCTTGCCAATATGATGGGTGAGGATCCGGAGACATTCACGCAGGACGATGTCAACGTGAGAAACCAGACCTTGTTGTAGTTTAGGCAAAAAAAGTTTGCAGTCCCCGCCCACATCCTGTTTTTTCCCGCCGAATCATTCAAAACAATTTTTACTTTTCACTTTTTGAAAGCAAAATCTGCCGTATTTTCTGATGTTTTCACAGTAAGAATCATCTTATGTCTTAATATTTGTTGCCAGCAGGACTGAGTTGCCATTTTAAAGTTAAAAGGCTAATCTTAGAAAAGTTAATGCACTTTTGAGAAAAAAAAACATCTGCTGTCTTGGAAAAAAATCTCAGGAATGGGGCGGATGTTTTGAAAATTGACCATCGGCCATCTTGAATCCGTCATTGGCAACAACAAACAAAAAGTGCCCACGTCCTTTTTTTTCTCAAAAAGTCGGGTGAAAAAGTAGTTTTTATTTTTGTATTTGGACTGATAAAAAAAAACTATGATTTATTCCAAGACCATCAGGTAAAGATGGTTTGAGATTGCTAAAAATTGGTTCAGCATGGCTAGTCACTGGTCTAGACAAGTGGGCCAGATTTAGCCCAGTATTTGCATTACGGTGTACTTTTGTCATCCTATACAATAGCACTGCCCAGCTCACAAGTGACCAGCTCAGTCAATGAGTGAGCCAATCAGTGCAAAGACGAAACTCTCTTTAAGACTGTCCGAAATGTGAAGATTCCAAACCGCAAACCATCCTTATTTCAATTGTTAAAAAAAAAATGTTAAAAAAAAATCACTACATTGTTTTTCTTTTCACAGAGGTCAATCCGTTACCTGTTTCCGTCAGGCCTGTTTGAGAAGAGAGCCCGTCCCCTCATGCAGCCACCGACAGATTACTACCCACCGCAGAAGGCTGCGCAGTTTGCGTCAGACGGCCGGCCGTTTGACACTCTGTTTTACACCGGGAAACCTAATTACTATAATCTCATGCACGTGAGTCTTCAAAACTAAAAACACATGTCAATGGAGAATAGATTTAAAGGGATCATAACATGAATTTTCACTAGAACAAATTTTGTGTAATTTCCATTCTTCAGAAAGGTGTGAAACTAGTAAACATGTTTTGTTTGGGGGGGGGGGTTCAAAATTGTGTTCTCATTTTTTTAAATATTTAAAGCTTTTGCTGTGATGTCATTTTTGGTACATACTCTTCAGTTTAGGGTTTTGTGTGCAAATTATGAACCCAGGAATTTGCTCACAGAGAACAAATAATTTGAATGTGCACAAATTTTGTCTGTTGACTTTAATACCTTCATGCACTGAATCGAACATTTAGCACAGAATCAAAAATGCTCGCAATTTCGTTTGTCCAAGAAGTTGCATCACTGAAGCCTCTACCGTGAATGACATAACAGTTTTGGCCATGAATATGGAAATATGCAATTAGCATAACCAAAAGGCACCAAAACTCCCTTGAAAAGTGCAGCATGAAGAAATTAAGTTATTTGGTACTTAGAAGTGCGTTATCAAGGATGCATTAAACCAATTTCTATTTCATGGGTCTTTTAAAGTTCGGCAAAGTTTGCTTGAAGATGTTGAGTTTGCTGTCAATGTTGCTTCTCACAGGAGACCCACACTGAGCTGAACAAAGTCATCGAAATTGAGAACAGCTGCATCACGAAAGGAATCTTGAAGCCAACGGCAGAAAAACTGTGAGTTTTCTTTAATACTTCAAAGTATTCTTAAGTCATAAATAAGATTGCTGATAGATTGTGATTTGGTTGACACAATGTAATGAGGCGGGCATTGTCATAGGGTCTAACAGATAATTCCTGCTCCATCCAATTGTTTGTCTTTAAAAAACACATTCAATCCACATTTTGTTAGTCTTCAAAACATGTGCAGTATAAGTAAGATTTGAGGCTTTGCATGGTGGAGATACTAAATAATGAAAGGTTTGCGGAAACACCATGTGCGAATAATTTCTCAACTAAGAGAATGGCTCTGAAAAGAACCAGAGGTATAAACTCGACGTTCCAGTCAGTATGCTCTGACCGTCTTCAGGAGAATGCTCCTGGAGACTCCTGAAGACATTCTCCTGAAGACGGTCAGAGCATACTGACCGGAACGTCAAGTTTATACCTCTGGTTCTTTTCAGAACCATTCTCTTAGTTGAGAAATTATTCACACATGGTGTTTCCGCAAACCTTTCATTATTTATGTGCAGTATACAAAAGGTAACAGATATCACAGAATCTGAAAATTGAAGAAAATTACCCCCAGTCAGGTTTTTTTTTTGCATTTTTCTCCTCAACGGCTCGGCCCACTTCCATCTCATTTTGCAAGAACACCTCACCATTCTTGTTATTGTAAATGCAACAGCCTTATTTCCGGTGCACAAGATCTAGTCTATTCAAAGAGGTTCTATTTTTTTTTATTTCGTGGTGGTCCTGAATAACAGGGATCTAGTACGAAGCCAGTGGATTGATAAGAAGGCAGTGGGATCGATGATTGTGGAGGAAATCTCAGACTCGGATGTAAGTTCGTTCAATTCAATTCTATAATTTGATTATTCAATTTTTTTTTTTCATATTCATTATTCCTAACTCCCAGGCATTTTTGCTAGGATGTGACCTCAATCCTACAAAATCCACCAACTACCTCCATGTGAAAATAGCATGTAACATCAATCCTGCAAAATCCTCTAACTTCCTCCATGTAAAAATAACAGATAAGGCCAAAAAAAAAAAATATTCGGTCTCTGGTCAGACCAAAGTTCCGGAATTGACGCGGGGACGCGGCTTTTTTTTTTTTTTGGCTTTTTTTTTTTTTTTTCAAGATTGGATTGTACAGACAAGGTGGGGTACTATTTTGCTACTTGGTGTCCTCATGTACATTGGTGTCCTCCATAATTTGCCTTGGTGCTCCTGATAATTTGCCTTGGTGCAATTTCCCATTCCTTGGTGCTCTTTGGTAAAAAAAATTGAGGAGGTGCGGCAATAGAGGGCGCTGTTGGAGCTACCGCGGAACATTTTGGGAAAAAAAAAGATTGACGCGCATGATTAAAATCGACGCACGCGCTGACCAGAGACCGACTTATTTTTTTTTTGGCCTAACCTCAATTCTCCGCTATTTCTTGAATGTGGTCCTTGGAGGGGTGATCACTGCCTCAATGCTGCAAAATCCTGTGTCAATCACTGTCAAAATGTTGAGGCAGAGCCAGTGACATCCTGTAGCAGTGCGGAGGATTTCAAGTATAAACTCGGCCTAGCTAGGCTGAGCATAAACAACACAAGGTCTGGCCCAAGACCTTGACACAGTGCATCCTCCGAAATCAGCAACACGCTTTTGCCATGTAACCCCAATCCTGCAAAATTTTGCAGAGAGGATTTTGGAGAATTTGCTTCACAGTTTAGAACTGATAACATGCGCATACTGACATCGTAATATTGGAATATGTATGATAATCAATATGAAATATGAAATTAATACTAACAGGTGTTAATAATGTACCAAAAAAGATACTAAAAATAAATCAATGAACCAACAGAACATGATTTTCTTTTTCATTTTTTGTCTTTCCAGTACAACAAATTCACGCTATTACTGGAGAGAATCTTACAGCAGCCATATGCCAAAGAAGTTGAGGACTACATCTTGAAATTCAGAGAGGAGTTGGTTGCCGTCTTGAGCCGCGAAGTCATAGAACCAGTAAGTTCAACATATCATCAATTCGTCCCATTAAATATAGGTTTTCCCGGCTATTTTAACACTTGTATCACACGAATTCCCTATATCAATACTTAAAATTCGTCCCCGAACATCGCCAAGCTCAATTCTCAATTTGAATTTCAAAAAGCCACCACTAGATTTCATTTAAGGTTCAGTATAATTCAAATTGTTAGCATTCCGATTCGTCCAAAATCTTTGAAATTCGTCTCGTGAAGCAATCGGCGTTGAATTGAAAAAGCAATTTCGTTTTTTGTCATTCGTTTTAATGTTCTTGCCGTTACATTTCGTCTCTCGCGACTTAAAACGTTACGATTAAAAATGTGCCCAATCTTTGGACTTGTTTGCGCATTAATTAAATTTAAATTTTTAACAAATGTGTCCTTATAAATGAAAGTATAGCTGTAAGTTTTGAGTTTTATTTGACAATTAACATTAAAATCAGAAATAGAACTTTCACTATAGGCTCTTTGCTTAGCATATGGAAATTAAGCATTAAGATCAAACACCTTCGTAATGTTGCTCTTTGATATACATGTATGTATATGAATAAAACAACAGAAATAAGGCATGTCTATCAAAGAACAACATTAAGAAGGTCTTTGAACTTAATACTTAGTGTCCATGTCATAAGTGCATATTGTGAAATGTCAATTCCTGACTCTAATGTTAATTGTGAAACACGGAAATAAAATTTCATACCTTACAGCTAACTACTTTTATTTATACATATAAGGAAATATATGTTGAATTATCATTGTTTTAATACGCATAATTCTTCAAATAAGTCTAAAGATTGGGTGCATTTTCTAATCGTATACGATTTAAGTCACCAGGGATGAAATGTAATGACAACAACATGAAAACGAATTTCCAAAAACGAATTTGCTTTGTCAATTCAACGTCGATTGCTTCACGAGACGAATTGCAAAGATTTTAGACGAATCGGAACGCTAACAATTTGAATTAAACTGAACCTTAAATGAAATATAGTGGTGGTTTTCTGAAATTCAAAATGAGAAGTGAGCTTTGCGATGATCGGGGACGAAAATAAAGTATCAATATAGGGAATTCGTGTGATACAAGTGTTAAAATAGCCGGGAAAACCTATATAATTGAAAAAAATTTAAAGGAAAAATACAACACTTGCAAACATCAAAAAACGAAAAGATCCTTACTGAATTTTGAGGGATTGACAGTCTAAAGCACCCTGTAAAATTGTGGCTCCTGGTGTGCTGACATTTTCAAGAAAAACTGTATTTTTCCAACGCTGGTTGGCCGACCAGCGTTGGGAAAAACTGGCTTTTTTTCAAAAACTGCTCCTATTTTTTCATATTTAGTTATTGCTCAGTTTCTTTGCGTAGTTAGGTTTGACTTTTTCAATGACTGCCCACTATATATTATGCCAAATCATAGTTGCTTTATCATGTCGATCACATGTCAGCCTTTGTGAATTGCTAAACGTTTAAAATATTTGCTAAGCGTTTACAAAATTGAACACAAAGTCACATCCTTTCCATTGGAGTAAAATGGTGAAAACAAAATAGAACTTTGTGATCCTAGAATCTATTTAGAGATGGCAGGTGATTAACAGGTCAGACTTCAATTTGTTACTTTTATTTCATGTGCATTAGATCCAATTTGACGAGACGGGCCGAGCCTTCGCTAAAGGGCACGGCACACGGAAGGAGGCTGAAGCCAACGTGATTGTTAGGGACCAGGGAAATGGGCAGGTTACCGTCAACGGACATAGCTTTCTCGACTACTTCTCAGTAGTACAACACAGGTATATCAAGGGTGTTTCTTTTTCTTTTAATGTACTGAAAGGAATTATTTTTTAAATTTATTCCTATATGAATATAGAATTTTGCTGGTCCCAGAGGGCCTGCCTATAGTCACTTGGTGGTCGGTCAGTTGGTTGGTCTGTCTGTGTGTCTGTCTGTCTGTCTGTCCCCGCAAATTGACCAATAATAATTGACCAAAAATAATTGACTAATACTAATTGACCAAATGCTGTCGTCATAAAATACACTCTTGCCGACAGTGTTCGGAACACCGATTTTGTTTCAATCGATGCGCATGCGTATGTTTTTGTATATGTCTGTCCCCCAAAACATGACCCAAAATAAGCCCCCTAAGTTTCCCCATAAAAAATAACTACCAAATTTTAACAAAATAAATTAAATACTTAACAAACATTGTTTGTAACAATTCGGAAACATGTTAATGAAAAGTTTGTAAACTGGTAAATGGAGGCAAAACAGGTGCAGTAATGTTATAGTCATGTAGCATTTATCACAAATCGCTATAAATTAGGTATAAATCTAAAGTATGGTGTTCAATATGTGCCATCAAGACCAGCACTAGAGTTTTAATCAAGACTAGTACTCCAACGGCTCAATTGTCAAGGATTAAAATTTTGTTAACCAAAATCTTGTTAATATTTTTCCAAATAATTAGTAATTTTCAAAGTGTTATTAATTTGTGTACAGAATACAGGTCATGTTCCCGTTTCATTTCTTGGGCATGTTGAACCGGTTTGATCTGGATTGCACAGTGAGGGGCGGGGGCAAGTCGGGCCAGTCGGGGGCGGTGCGGCTCGCCACAGCGCGCGCCCTGCGGAGCTTTGTAGATGAATCAACGGTCGAGAAGATGAGGCAAGGTGAGTTGAGATTATTGGTGGGAGAATTTAGCTATTACACAGTCCGGTTATGCCACTTTTATGCCGTGAATCCTCTTTGAAAAGAAAACCCAACTAGTGGTCTTATATTCGGGTTTTTCTTCAAGACTGAACCAGGCTTTCTTATCTCTTTTAAGCTGTTATCTCCTTTCGGCAGTTCAGCACCAGATGAATGCCTACCACCAGCAGGGAACAATTCATATCGCTTGACTTAACGACTTGTTTCGCATACCTGAATCATTCTTTAGTGGTCTAAACGCACTTAGATTTTTCATAAATTAAATATTAAATGTAATGTCGAATTCGTTTTTGTCGGGTAATTAAACCATGTTTTCTTTCTTTGACCACTGAAATTGATGCACAAACAACGGAAATCATGAATTTGTCAGACCTCTGTACATGTAACATGTATGGGGTTTCAAAAAGGTAGACCCAGCAGGAATGAAGCAGTGCCGGTTGGACTGGCCTCCTGTGGTGTAACTGATTGCCTTAAGGGGAATATACAACAGGGAACCAGACTACTTGAACATTAATGTTTTTCTTGGTTTTTCCAGTATTTGTTTAACACAAAACCTCAAACAAGTCAGTGAAACAATACTTGATCTATTACACTTACCCCTCAAAATAGTTCATTTCCGAAAATTACAGCAAAAGCCAATGATGTACATTCCCTTTAAGGGATTCACCAGAAACATAGGGCTCAGTCAAAGATAAACATCGAAAGCCTGGTATGAAAAGGGCCCTTGATTTCAAAAGGGAAATTCACCTCATGCTTTCAAATAATCAAATAAGGGTTTTGTGGATTTTTCAGGAATAAATACAGCGCAATGCAATGTACTACAGATGCTTATTAACGTAATGCTTTAACTTCTTTAAAGCTATACACATTAGAATACCAAAAGGATGATAGAGTGTAGCTATGCTTGGAGTATTACTTGTAAGTTTGGATAAAGTGTACTGCTCAAGGACACACATTTTCACCCTTGTTTTTTTCTTAAGCTGGTCTTTTGACGAGAGACCCCCGCGTCAAGGAGAGAAAGAAGCCAGGGCAAGCCGGAGCTCGGAAGAAATTCACTTGGAAGAAGAGATGATGTTTATTACATTTAGTGGTGCTTCTAACTAAACTGTTAAGGCTAAACACAAATTGTTATACGGCCCTCACATGAAAAATATCAGGAGGGTCGGTTGGTCAGTCAGGTGTTTTTTTCAGGGGGGGGGGGGGGGTGAAACACATGTACATGGTTTACTATTGGCCCCCTTCTCAATTCCATTTAACATTTAACGTTTATTAGCTACATGTACTGCATGCGCCAAATATACTGTGGACATGTACATGCGTGGGATACAATTTATAGTGCATGTACACATGTGTTCCAAGCCTCGGCCTCAGTTATGCGTACAAATTACATTAAATTCAAACTGTACTACCACTTAGGTACATTTTGTAACTAAATTCAGAATTATGGCATTACAAAGTAACAGCAAATTAAGGTAATTTTTTTTTTTTTTTTTTTTCAAGTGAAAAAAAAAAAAAAAACCGGGGATTTCCAGATTTGTGGGATCAGTCGAATGACGGTAACACAACCAACTTTGGGGGCCTAATTTGGGCACAGTGTCTTCCATGAAACTTTCATTTGATGGTGTTCTTATACAATTCAAACTCATATCCTCAAGGGGTATTTTGTTCTCAAAGTTCAGATTTTACAAAAATTAGAAATATTTGGTCCCCTTATATTGCCACTATTGGTAATATAATGTATATTATGAGGGAGTCAGGATTTTGAAGTTTTTTAAGTTGTTATATTCCAACAGTTTCATTTGGGAATAATTTTTAAAATGCAAGTGTCTTGGCAATTAGTATAAATCGAAAGCTCTAGTTCTGCAAGGCCAGCTAGACTGACTATAAAGGATTTTATCACATAATCAATGCGGTTCTTGTCAGAGGGGCTGGTGTTTTGGATAGGATTTTCAGGGTCGGCAGTTCAACCCAACTTAATGGGGCACTCTCATTGTTGTTTGGCTATGTTTGAATGAAGAACTTGTGAAATATAACATTTTTACCCAAACATGTCGGAGGAAATAAAAAATTAAACAAGGCTTATCTTTGAGATGGACATTATTTAGTGAAGCAGGAGGTCATGGGTTCAAGTCCCACCGAATGATTATTTTCTCACAATCACTCGGGGCAAGACTGAGTACACAGAGTTTGTAAAATATGTCAGTGAAGGGCAAAAACCCAATATTCAAACCAGATTTGATTTTAGAGCACAATCCTGAAGGGAGGGAATATTAAGTCCTCAAGTAGAGAAATCACAAACTCTGTACAGATTTTATTACAAAAAAAACATGTGTTCTTGTCGGAGGGGCATGTGATTGGCTAGGATTTTCAGGGTCAGTAGTTCAACCCAACTTAAAAGGGGTTCTCACACTGTTATTTGGCTAAGTTTGAAAAAAGAACTTGTGAAACATAAAACAAAAATCCATTTGATGAATAATACAAATTTTACCAAAAAATGTCTAAGTAATTTAAAAAAAATAAGCAAACCGGACTTGATTTTAGAGCACAATCCCACAGCAGAGGAACATTCAACCCTCAGAGATATCTCAAACTCTAATACAGATGTCTATTAAAATAGCAAATAAAAGGAGATATAGTAGAAGTAGAGATACACGTATCTCTATATTAGAAGTAGAGATGTCTCTGTTAACACTTGGCGCGGGATAAACTGTTGCATTTGCACGCCATTCCTACGTGTGCTACGTGGAGGAACAAAGAAAGAGGTGGTTATTGCTGGTCCCCACCGTCTATCCAAGGGCACTGGTGACAGCTCATTACTTCGCTCATTAGATTGATTGCATCTGAGTAATGGCCTAGACTATTGCCCGTGCTCTCGACCATAATCATTCTTTTTCCCGACGAATTTTCAGCTTGTATGATTTTTTGGTTAGGCCTATGGAAAATACTTACTATTTTTGTATTTTGACAGTTCGCTTTAGGGCGTAAATGGATTCGTCTTGCGAGTAGACTGGTTCCCGGTCCCTACATTATCGATTCTGATGGGGACGGAAACCAGATAACCCTGCGAGAAGTGACTTATACACGGGCGAATTATTTCAACTATGTTCACTACTTATGGGTGGATCATTTTGGTCGACGTCGCATTGAAAATTGAATAAGTTTTGTATTGCTAGAAAGAGGAACAAAATCGAAAGAAAAAAAATCGAACACAGACAGTAGATTCTACATCTTTCATCATGCGCATGCATTATTGAAGAGCATGCCTGCGATATTTTCCGACCTATGGGTTTCCGTCTGAACTTTTTTTTCCTTCACCTTTTAGTAAACCAGCACACATCGATGGGGCGGTGGATACTCGGCCGAAAGTCCGTGGTTGAAGTCGTGACAATGAAAAGACGCATCCTTTATTCGGCAAATTAAAGCATTGCACGTGTGCTAGTACTATGCGTCGGCGCAAAGAATGCGTCATTACATGAAACGATTCGAACAAATCTTGGGGTTGATTGGGCTCTTGGTGGCGCCGTTTCCATTTATTTTACTGTCCACCAATAAGCTAAGGAGTGGCCACAAAAATGAGGAGAATGGCAAGATTAGAATAAAACAACCATGAGATTTTCATTTATTCACTATAGTACCATAAGGCCGTCCAAGTCTCCTATACCTATCTGACTGTTACTTGAGACTTAGAATGGTTAAAGCCTGTTGAAGGGAGCTGGGCAGTGCTATCGTATATGATTACTCGTAGAGGCAATGAATATGCTAATTCTGACCCATTGACTGCATGCATGAAAAGTCTGGGAACATTACTTTACTTGCCAAGTCTTGTTTCGTATAACCAGCGACTCGGTAAAAGGCAGCGTTTAATTTAATTTTGCGTCACTTGGAATATTGATACACAATATACATGTATTCACGCTCCCCTAAACATTTCGTCTGTAATAAGGGAAACCCACAATAAAAACCGGCGGTCGGCGCTCATGATGGCGCAGGTCACCACGTGCTGTCGTGTATTTTAATGATTGGTCAATCGTGCATGGTTTGATTTGAATTATTGACCGTATAATAACTATTGTTACCAAGAGTGTGACCAGAAACTGTTTATTGCTTTCCCGTAGCGGCAAGTCCAACGAACCGAGTGATTGTACATCGATCGACGTTAGTAGTTCTAGTCGGTCGAGGATACGTTAAAGGGGTAACGTTCGACCAAATTTCTAAAACAAAATTGATTTTTTAAGGTTGTTTACTTTACCAAAGTTATTGTTACAAGAAAGCCATAAAATGCAATAAGGTCTTTCAATTATGGAGAAAACTAAGTAGTTACTCATTTTCTGTCCATCTGGCGTACAGTTTTGGCCTTGTGTGTACGTATTTCGAGCACAAGTGTCCACCATTTGAGACAGGACACCACAGTCCTCGTTAAGTTGCTGAAAAGGCTGTAAACGAGTAGCAGCATAGAAGTAGAAGTAGATCGATTATGCAGCCAGACAGTCAACAAAAGACTGGCGCCGCATTAAATGTTCCAATTTACTGCGGAGATTCAATGCCATGTGTCGGGTCCCACACTTACCCAGCCAAAACGTTTGTTGTATCAGAATTTTGTATTAAGTGGAGTGCCGGTCCTATTCACTGTACACATAAATGCACCGTGGGACCAAGGCTTTATGTTTGCTATAACCAGGATTTGTATTACTAGTGTTTGTATTAACGAGAGTCGACTGAATATTGTGTTTCACCCTTCACCGACGTATGTTTTTCTCCCCAAGTAAATTGCACTTCATAAAATGGTCCCGCACGCAGGCCTGCGTCTACTCGTACGGTATCCATTATAGCGAGCCATATCGAACATAGCCATACCCATACGCGTTTGAAGAAAGCATTGAAAAGAAACATGTATGATTGGAATGACTGCTAGAACTCCAACGGCTCGATTACTCTGTACACCGAGATATCTTCTGGTAGTCAGATGAAGGTATTGTGTTGGTGTAGTCGTTCATTTTCTACTTTTTCAACGATATATTTCCCTTTGCAATTTTTGGAGCCTAAATTAATTGGCGCTTTCTCTCGAACTGCCCCTTTAAGTTAACGGTAACCTCGGGTCGACCTGCGATTTGGGTCACAAAAACTGAGAAATTGTGTGATTCACAACCAATAAACACAACCATGTTAATGTCACCCGCGACGCGAGAACGATTCCGCAACACGTGTTCATGCGGCGTCTTCAAAATGTCGCTGTGCGTGTTGATAACAATCAAGCGGCCATCCACGGCCATCCACGGCCACGTCTGTTCATTCGACCATTTCTGCCGCATGTTGATTGGCTACACAGTGAAATGCGATGAGCGTGAATATCCGACTTCATGAAATATATGGACTCGCTGGTAGTATTGCGCATGCATTAGTATGATAATACTGGTCGCGGATTTTCATACGACACCGGATGATGCCGATCGGATTAATATCGTCGCAGCTACAATCAGGTCGCAAACCGAAAATCAGCGACCGACCGATACTTTTATACCGATGGTTGTAGCTCAGGCGTAGCTTGATCCTGAAAAGTCAGTCGCCGACTGCTCTGTGTCGTCGCAAGGTCGACCTGCGGGCGGCTTAATAAGGCTTATTAAATTTCGAGGACGAGGACGTCAAATACCTGTCCTTATATATATACATAATTACATCGGCAGTAAATTGGCTGTATAGGCAGACCCGATGAGTTGAATTCAGTGCTGGGTAAGCGCACTAATATAGAGTGACGATACCTGTGACGTTGGAGTCACGAGAAAGGAGACATTGAGCGGCAGAACTACACAGCCCATATTGAACATCGTATATTGCACTGGATTTCGCCTACAACGACTTTGTCAAACGTTGATATTAATTCAAATCATTTTGTGACTTCTTTCGGACGACCAACATCTTTCATTCCGAGATGTACTGTGACGGAGGTCAAGCCGCAGTTTTAGGCGTCAGTTTCGCATTTGCTGTGATGCTTTGTTTCGATTTCTGCACCCCATCTTCGGCTGTCGTATACTGCCCGCCGTTATGGATTCCTTGGGGCTCATCTTGCTACCGTCTCACCGGCCAGGGGGCGAGCTGGGACGAAGGCCAGGCTAGTTGCCGTGATATGGGTGCGGTGATGGCCGCTCCTCACTCAGAACAGGAGAATACATTCATGGCAACCACGACAAAGAACGCAGGACCAAGTTGGTTGTGGGTTGGTTGCAAATTCATCGATAGAGCATGGAGGTGCGAGGGCCAGGAGGTCGGGCAGGCGTACTCAAACTGGAGGCCCGGAGAACCCAGCATCAGGGATGGTTCCAGCCCTTCTAGTGATTACTGCGCCTATTTTGGTTCAACAACCCAAGGATGGAATGACGTCCCGTGCACAGAACCACCCAAAGCTATGTGCGTCCTGCGATCACCAGCACACATTCAGCACCAGGGCTTCTCTCAAGGCAACGCCCAGCAGCAGCAACTAAACTCGTGCCTCGTCGATCATGTCATCAGAGAATTCGTCACCAAGAGCGCCTCGAGATGCGCCTCGGCCTGCCTGAAGGAACCGGGATGTCGCTCCTTCAACATCAAGGGCACCAAACAAGAACAGAAACTGTGTCAGCTCAATGATGCAAATCGCGCTGATGATCCGGAGAAGTTTCAGGAGGTCAGCACTCGATGTGTTTACTACTCTGCCTAAAAATGTAACATTACAGGCGAAAAACACTTTAAATCTCCTTTCGAGCTAAATATAAAGTAGTCACTGCATGTCAAACATTGAGTCGCACAATTACATATAGCCTACATTAAGTGATTTCTGCAGAGTTCGAAGTATTGGCCTATTCGTGTTTTCTGCTGCTGTTGATTTGAATTTTCTTTGGAACATTGAGGTATGTCTTTATGTGTTTTCATTCAGCTATCTTGCCTCATCATTCTGTTCAGTCGTTAGCTTTGTTTCTACAGAAGATAAATTGGTATAGGCATAATGCTTAAAGGTTTGATCGCTTCAGTAACCTGCATCGGTGTGATGAGCTAAGATGGAATTGTGGAACAGGCTCTCTATAGTCTCCTTACATTAATTATTTGCACTGGCATGAAACTGTGGCTCGGTGGTTGAAATCAAAGATAATTACATTCGCTGGGAAAACGTCGATGAATTGTCAAAATAATGGAATTTGCGCTGAGGGGCTGTACATAATAAACGACTTTTGCTCTTCACCGATATAGGGCTATAATCACGGCATTGATAGGCGGGCACCGATCGATATATCACTGACAGAATGGAAAGTCAAGATATGGCAGTCTTTGTTCAAGTCTGGAATTGGATATGAACTCCGCTCATGCAGCCGGTGATTGAACAACGATTGACGTTAAAAAAAACGGACTCGTATCAGTCTACTACATGCGTCAAGAGGAACGTTTAAGGTGGACATTCGGCCAGACTTTGTTTAATCAATCACGTTTTACATTGTTTACTTATTAAATACCTGAAATTCTTAGACACTGGAAAACCATAAAATGTCCGCGTGCTTTTCAGTTATAGGAAGGTTTTGGAACCCTGTTTCTTTACAACTGGCATTGCAGGGGTTTGGACATTGTGGATGCACGTATTTTATGCGTCGAATTTTGAGCAAGACGTCAACAAAAGACTGGCGCCGCATAAAAATATTCAATTCACTGTTCAGGTCCCACACTTTTATAAATATTGAGTTTTGCCTGTTGCTGATTTGACTGGAATGACGGCTAGCGCTCCACAACGGCTCGATTTTTGAGGACCAATATTACTTTATACCCCGAAATTCTTTCTTATGGTAGATAAACGAAACCGGTATATATATGTTAGTGTGGACGTTCGTTTTCTACTTTTTCAACGATATTTTCCCACGATTTTTTTAGCCTAGTACATGTCCTTATAATATCGGCAACCAAGGTATAATAGGCAAAACCGATGTGTTGAGTTTATCAGTGCCGAGTAAGCAGACTGAGTGACAACATACGACATAGTCGCGAGCAGTGAGCTATTTATTTAGCGGCAGTGCCTGCCCTTTATTGCGACGTCACTTTAAACACGAATTTGGTCCGGGTTTTCTGGGGGGGGGGGGGGAGGTTGGGGGGCATGTTGCCCCCCCCCCCGATCAGCCCTTGCATGACAAAGATATTTGGCCATAGGGCTATCGCAGATTTGTACTTTGAAAAAAATATAGGTAGAATGGCAGCCATTTTGAAATTTTGAAATTGATTGATATTCTACTTATATTTTTTTCAAAGAACAAATCTTCGATGGCCCTATAGCCAAATATTTTCGTAAGACATTCTCTGACTGCGTGCCAAATGCCATATCATCAAAGGCACAATTCCCCCGAATATTTCCCCTATCTTCCCCACTACAACGAGAGAGATTGTCCGATCACTATGATGATGTCAGCATGTCGATTTAAATAAAATCTGTGTAAATTCCAAGCGTTCCACATATTGGTCAAAACCGAAAGATACATTCCTAGCCTTTCAATCAGTTCCTTCCTTTCTGCCACGACTGATGGTGAAAAGGCACGCATTCCTCGTGGCATAATTGTTAGTTTTAAAGAGAGGCGATTTTACGTAATCATGCTATGAAGCAATGCTGAGCAAATGGGGAAAAACGCGGGTTCTTAGTTCAGTTGTTTAAGTTTAGTCAAGATGAAAATACTGGGAATTCCTTAGTTGGCCCTTGACAAAAAAAAAATGCCTTGCGGAGAATTGTGTGTATGATGAATGTGTTTCGTGTAGGGATATCACCGCCAATTGGCGTGAACTTGCATTGGTCAAACGATGAGATGTTTTAAATCGGAGAAGAAACTGCAGTGGAATATGATAGTGTAAACGTCGTAGCTATAATGCTCCGATGGAAAATCTGCCTGCAGACCTTCTCACTAAGCTGCTTATGGAATACAAGTCTCCGAGGCTTTGGTATATGAATTGATATTATCCTGTCGATCAGCTCAACATACAACACAGACATTTGGAATACCGTTACCGGGATCTGATGTAACATCCTAAGCACAAAAAAGGTAAAATCTCATCTTTGTTTATTAACACCAAATCGTGCCTGAATTGAGAATTTCATCTTTTTTTTTTTAGCTGAATCGAGTAGCTAAATTAAAGATCGTGCTTAATTCACAGAGTGTATTTTCCCCAGTGTCACTTATCTTACCCCAGACTGGGACCTCGAGTCCAGAAAAATATGCAAAACAAAATCAGGCCAATTTTACTTACTCTTTAGTTAATAAACTTCTCCAAGATTTTCATAAGGAATATCCTGCACATTACAGCAACTGTTGGACCACCATCATTAAATATGAGACCCACTGATGAGGTAAATACCAGCAACATGCGAGCAACGAAGCTCATGCTGCCAAATCAGGTTAGAACATCTCCGATTAACTTAGATTTTCAAAACTTGGAAATTCACTGCTAATTTTCAACCAGTTGTGTTTGCCCAGGCCACATTTCTCGAATATTTAGGCGAATTGCAACAGGCTAAAGTGCCATTAAAAGGGGGAAGCTGCAGTATAGGCCGTATAATTCGATATTGAAAAAAAATCGATAAGGCCAACAAAAAAAAAAAAAAAAAAAAACAGTCGGTCTCTGGTCAGCGCGCGCGTCGATTTTAATCATGCCCGTCAACCTTTTTTTCCTTCAAATTGTCCGCGGTAGCTACAACAGCGCCCTCTAATGCCGCAACGTTTCTAATTTCAGGTTCAGGTTTCAGGTTTATTTATTTCCACAGTATTAATCCAACAAAGGTTAACCATAGAAAGTAATATATAAATAAATAAATAAATAAATGGATATATAAAGATGCAATTAACGAACAAGTGATACTGCAGAGGGATCCATTAAGAAGCAAAGCTTGTAAGCAATGGTCCCTATATAAAGCAAACACGTTTAACTAAGTTTAACTAACAGATGTGAACAAACACAGACAAGTACCTAAGGGCATGGGCTAAATACAATGTAGGCTTTCTACCAAGGAATGGGGAAACCGCACCAAAGCAAATGATCATGGAGGCACCTATAGCCTTGGTCAATGCTCTCGTCGTTATTACGCGGTCAATCGTCGGCATACATGTATATCCTCACGCGCTATGCACATGCATGTAAAAATACAGCGCGAACAGCGACCTCACGCGGCCACTATTTTTATATATGCAAATCAGTTGGGGACGATCGAGAGCCTTGGTTCAATCGTCCATGTGAGGTTTTGGGGGTGGTGCTCATTATGTTAATAGCCTTAGCTGACCTTAAATGTCGTTTTCTTATTGGTCGATCGTTGCGTGGAAACTTGCATAGTGAAACGTAGCACCGTACATAATCCATACACGTACACGTTGTGTGTCTCTGCACACGGCACCAATGCACAAAAACTGTGGTTCCTGTCACGTCCGCAAAAGGCGAATAGCTGCAAATAATTTGATGACGTCCGGATTTACCAAGGTGTGATTGGACACTCCACATATTAGCCCCGCCGACACTTATCTGTATTCGCATACGAGGTCGTGCGCTAGAAATCCATCGCAAAATAAAGAAAACATAAGCTGTTGCCGACGATTGACCAAGGCTCTCGATCGTCCCCAACTGATTTGCATAAAAAAATCGTGGCCGCATGAGGTCGCTGTTCGCGCTGTTTTTTTTACATGCATGTGCATAGCGCGTGAGGATATCAGTGCCGACGATTGACCGCGTACGGGACGAATAACGACGAGAGCATTGACCAAGGCTAGGAGGTACCAAGGCAAATTATGGAGGACACCAATGTATATGAGGACACAATAAACCTTGTCCGTACAATCCATGCTTAGACAAAAAAAGCAAAAAAAGCACGAAAAAAAAAAAACGCGTCGCCGCATCAATTCCGGAACTTTGGTCTGGCCATGGAGCTCTGGCCAGAGACCTACTATTTTTTTTCTTTTGGCCTAATGTCGAATTTCCTGGCCGAACTTGTGAAATTGGCATTGAAGTTCATTTCCAAGCGATCGTTTTTAGACTATCGAGTGGTTCCTGCGGTTCGCTTTCAAATTTGAGAACTCGGGTTCTTTCAATTTTTTTGTTGCAACACTTTCAATACAGACTGCTTCATTCAAACAAATGAAGAAAGATTTGATTTTCATGACTGATTTTATTTTTTCTGCGTAAATAGTTGATACAAAAAAGTAAGTGTTCCATATCTACTGTCTTTCATGACAGTGTCTATCCAAAAAATGATGCATTAAGAGACAAAAATATAAACAAAGACTATAGCTCCTATTTTGTTTGTTTAATAATAACAACTTATATACGCTTAACGAATGATTATTTCTCAACACAATGCTGTTTTCCCCATCTCAGTTGGACACCTACATCCAGAGATATTGACAGTTGTTGAAAGGGATGATGTGTCAATGTGGTCCAATTTGCATCAATGTGGATGAAGGAGATTAAACATGCCACTGCAGCAATCTCTCTGTTGGACAACTTATCTATCGTTCTTTGCCAATCAATATTTACTTGGAACCTTGAATTCACTGACTAACTTCAGACTAGGTTGTTCCAGGGTGTTTAAACAGACCACAAACAAGTCAAATTTGCACCTCACTACTTCAAGGGCGGATCCAGAACACAATTTTTTTTGGGGGGGGGGCAAAAAAGTTGGTCCCCCAAAAAGTGGGCCAATAAATTTACGGGGAGGGTTTCGCGAGGACCTGCATGTTTAGGGCCCCGAATTTGTTTGATTCTAGATGCTCTGTGGTGCCATCTGAGGCATTTCTGACCACTTCAACCATTTTTTTTGGAGGAAAAAATGGTGGTGTATACAGTGCCAGCCTTAATTATCGCCAGGTCACTTTAAAAAACATGAGGGTTTTTTTTTTGGGGGGGGGGGGGGGATGGCCCCCGTTACCCCCCCCCCCCCCGATCCGCCCTTGCACTACTTGAACTGAATGGCAATTAACACGGGCGCCGCCATTTTAATTAGTGGGTGCCACACACATTTCGGAAGTTTGAGAACACCGTTTTAGGTTTGACTAATTTTTTTTTTTAACATTGTAAACATTAAGAAATATTTCTTTAAATAAACTGGTAAACTGCTATAATGATTTATAATGGTTATAATACTAAATTAGTAATGTTGTATAAAGTATTGAAATTATACACTTTTTCTAGTTTTATTACATTTTGTTAAATTTACACATTCATTTTCGTGGTTTGTAAACAGGCAAGTTATCGGTTAAGTCTGTTACATTTTCTGCCAACCGGCATTCGACACACAAACTTCTCCTCCGCATATTTCAGTATATAAAAGAAAGAAAAAATATATATACAGTATATAAAGAAAGTGCATTTTTCCCATATTCATTAACATGCTACAAAAGAATGCCGAGAAAAGTTGAACCGTGAAACGAAAACAATGAAAATCGATCAAAGAAATTGACTGGAAAGGGTTAAAACATGCGACCTCCGAATTGCCGTTCCAGTGCCCTACCAACTGAGCTATCCAGCCCTATGTTGGCGGTACCCCAATTTGTCAATGTCTTTTCTTCAAGGGCTGTATTAACTATTATCCCACTATAACATGTAGCCAGTGATCATTCACCAGGCAAGCAATTCCCAATGGCAAAAACCATAAGCATCATGTGTTTTGTTTCGAGGTGTGCCCCCACACCCCAATGTCTGGAGTTTGCAACAGGGTCGTGTTAGCTTCTAGTATAACACAGATCAATCAGTAACACAATTTCTTCAGATGGAAACATATACTGCTTATATCTTGAATCCCAAACATACATGTAACTTCAATTATACATGATTAATTTGAAGTAAACATTACACACCATTCTCAGACGTTTAAACTAAAAGAAAAATGAAATAAATTTCAATCGAATCACATTTTTGAAATTTTGGCTAAAACCCAACAAATTAGGATGTAAAGTGTTTGTAACTAAACAAAAACCGATACCAGTTAATTTTGGTATAACATCTGATTAAATGGTAATTTAAATATTTTATAGTTTTTGAGATTTTTTGTAAACAACGCCAGCTAAAAGTTTTTAAGAAAACAGTGGTTTGATCTTATGTGGTGATATACATGTCTACGTTAGATATCAAAACAAATTTGGTTAACATTTCTGCAATCCTTTTTAACATTTCTGGGATCTTAGACTCTCTGCACTACATAAGGAGTTACATCATCTTGAAGATGTCCTGGCAGACATCGTCCCAGCTGCTTCCGAGCTCCAGGCGACGTGCCAGGGATGGATACTCCGCCTCAGCCTGACTGACGAACCTCTCCGCATTCAGAACGGCCTGGGTGATCCGTTCTCTCTCCTGCCTGCTCATCGTTGGCGACTGTGCCAAGAAGTGGTTCAGGTACAGGATGACCAGATAGGTGGCCACCAGCTTCTGGATCTTCAAGGCAACGTCTTCGCCTGTTTAAGAGCAACAGCAAACAAGGTATGCAATAAGTTACACTTGCATTAACAGAGAATCGATGGAGTTTAATCATGGAACATTTTCATCCCTTAAACATTCGTTAAAGAGCCATTTTCCCTTGAAATTACAGTTAACTAAATTTTCACGGATTAGGAGTCCGTGAAAACACCCTTAAAAAAGTCCTTTGTTTACCCCTGGAGATAGAACCAGTGTACCGTTATGTATAACCAATGATAATCCTCAGTGGCCAGAGTCAGATAGTAGGGAGAACAAATTGTGTCAAAACTTTTCCCCCGTTTTTGAATTTTTGCAAACGTTGTAAGAAAAGGCCCATGATGACTAATGTATTCTGCTCACCGAGTGAATTCACGCCAGCTTCTTTCAGCATGTTCTTGACCGGCTTCAGTCTAACTCCGACGTGCTCTTTGATGCCCATGAACAACTCCCATGATCCGTCCTGTTTTAACAAGAGTTCACAGTGAGGCGTTAGGCTGTATTCTTCAGCCAATGAGTGCACTGTAACAAAATCATTTTTTTCTGAGTGAACAGTCTCCCCCTCTGCGTAGAAGGTAGACGGGTCAGCCACGACAGCCCAGCTAATGGAACGTTGCACCGCGGGCCATCAGGATCCTCACGTGAAGCCTTAAGCCGTGGCGTAGCCGCTGACAAAACGCCCATATCCGATTGGGTCTTAGTTTGAGATTTACTGCTCTTCAGTCCGTTTCAAAACGCAAAAAAGTTGGGTTGAAATTACAGCCTGAAAAGTCGCAATGAGCTCAATCATTGTCATTAGACTTCAAATCGAGTCAACTTTTAGTCCGCATGAAATTTTCGCTGTCCGGCCGCCATATTTGTCCGTTTCTAGGGAATGAACAACGCATGCGTGACGTACTTCCACCAGTGACTCTGCTCCACGAGCAGGGTCTGTGGTGGCTGGCCCGGGTGAGCCACGAGAATGACATCAGAGCTAATCGAACGGCACGGGGCTAACCCGTGTTGACCCAGGTGAGCTAACGAACACACCCAGTAAAATCACATTACTACAGCATTGTTGTAACTTTACCTCCACAAAGAGTGAGACACTGTACTGTTGAATTGAAATTTTTTGCAATTATGGCAACCTATAAACTTACGTCGACAACTTTGCATTCACGTCACTGTTTTATACCCCAAAAAAATGAAAATAATAATAGCAATGAAAAGTAAAGATAATATCCATCAACTTACCTCATTCTGATGTTTCAGAAGTTTTATGATAGCCTCGAGACTGAAATCTCCATTATGCTTTCGGAATTCTGTTTCATAAATTACAGAACAACATCATTGAATACAAGCATACATTGTTTTGTGAAATGTGTTTCTTTGAATGTAGGTGAACCTCGTAATTCAAAATGTTATAAAACTATCATTTCCCTTTTGGACTTTGAAACTTCATGCACTCAAATAAGCCATTTGTGAGTGAAATTTGAATAAAATCTGAAATGCTGACTTAATCCAATGCTTTGCACCTTTTAAACTTTGCGCTCTCCCGACCCAAGAGACTGTTACTATATCAGATGATTCGGGGCAAGCCTTACGCTAGCAACCCCCAGCTCCGGCATGATCTGGTGTCTTTGTGCCATTCCCACCCAGTGTGAACAATGCATTGGTGCTGAGTGTCTCTTACGTAACTATGCAAGAGCTTGCCCCGAATCATGCGATTAGCAACAGTGTCTTTGGTCTGGAGAATTCAAAGTTCAAATGCGCCAAGCATTCTGAGCAAGTAAGTGTATCAGATTTCTTTTCAAATATACCTTTCAAGAACCTTTTTTTCCCAGGAGTGCCCTTTTTAACGTTGCCAAAACATTGGCAATTGTAGCACCATGAAGAGCGTCACCTATTGTCTGAAAGTGCCCATGATCATTCCCTTTGAACAGTACTCCCCCCAGAAAGATCCTACTTCCCCCAAACCTCCTACCCCCTTGTACCAGGTGACCACGCCAGATGACCGGAGAAAAAAAAAAGCTGTTACCTTTCGCCACAAACACTCAATATGCCCATATGGGTTAACTAGAAGGTAAAGCAAAGAGTAACTTACTTGACTCTGTTGTGCCAAAGCCCAGTGGTGCACTGATGGCTGTGCTTATCTCTATCTCACCCAACAAATCACTGACGATGTCCTTAGTGTGGCTAAGTGGTGGAGGCTTTGGACTGACTTTAGGCCCTATGCCTCTAGGTCTCATCTTTGGAGACATACGGCAGAGCTCTACAACCGGTTGGCTTCTGGCATCTTGAATCAGGGAAGCCTTTTGGAGACTTGGGATTTCCTCAGTTTCTTTACCGATCTGCTCCTCGTCAACATCTTTACCACGGTCCTCTGACACGGCAAAAAATGCTTTCTTCTTTTTCTTCTTCAAACTTCCCCGGACTTTTGCAGGAGCATATCCTTCATCACTTGGCTTATGACTCTCATCGGCAGCCATACATGTATATGTCTCCTCAGCATCATCACTCCCGAACGCCATTATAGTATCGAAAAACTGTGGCGGAACTTCGGCTGCATCTTTCTTCAGGTTTCTCCGCATGTCTGACGAGAGCTCCTGTCTTATTCTAACTTTGTTACTCTCCACGGGTGTTGAGCTTTCTTTATTGCTGCTTCTCGAAACCCTTGCGTGATCTGGTATTTCAGCCGTACTCTCAAGCCCGAGTAGTGCCGAGTAACTTTTTGTATTAAAATGTCTTGCACGTGGCAGAGGCGCAGCAGCAGGCTGTCCAAGCTGAGGCTCTTGAATTCCCTTTCCTAGTTGTCGGGGTGCTTTTTCTTTACCAGGAAGTGGTGGGGGAAGGGGAGGGGGCATCCTTGAACGGGCAGGTGGAGGGGGTGGTGGTGATTCATCATATAAATCACGTGGTCTAGGTCTAAAGGGAAGCCGTGGGGGTGGACGACGGGGCAGGGGAAGACGAGGACAGGGCGGGACAGGAGGGGGTGACCCAGCGGACTGACTGGTGGCTTGCATTGGCAATGCCAATGACTGTGCATGCAATGTGGTTTCTGATTGCTGTGACTGTAAGCTCCCAAACAGACCAGAGGTGACAGAGGTCTGTCCTGCTGACGCAGACACTTTAGTGGACGCAAAATCGTCAGCCATTTCTTGCCTCTGTCGTACTTGACCCAATGTCGCGGGGGTTGCTTTTCCAGACAATCCCCCTAAGCTTGATGCTCCTGCATGTGGCAGAGGGGGAGGCCGCCCAGACGGACTGGAAAACCGCTCCAAAGCCTCTTGAATTGTGCGTCTCATCATGTCCAGAGGAAGTGGGGGCTGTCCGGGCGCTATACCATCATGGGCGGGTGGTGGGGGAGGGGGTATCCCCGCAAAGAAGGCAGTTGGAGGAGGTGGTGGTGATGCAGAATATGTACTGACCTCAGCGTTACGGGAAGGCGGTGGGGATGGTGCTGCAGTGGCAGCAAAGCGACGGGGCGGGGCAGCGGTTAACCTAGCAGGAGAATTAGCGGCTTGCATTGGCCATGCCATGGACCGTGCATGCAAAATGGGTTCTGTTTGCTCTGGCTGTAAGATCCCAAGTAGCTTTGACAGATCCTTTTTTCTTGTGGACGCAAACTCGCCAGCCGTTTGTTGCTGCTGTGGGACACTTCCAAAACTAAACCCTGAAGAAACTCCTCCTGCTTCAAGGCGGATTTGTTGTGGCTTTCTGTCGGAAAATCCTACGGTTCCTTTAGAGTTTGACTTGAATGATTCAGGCATAGCTGCTTCTTCTGGGGGTTTAGAGAGCAAATCGCCCTTGGCTGGCTCTTGAGGGGCAGATTTTCTGGCTTCTCGGCATGGGGGTTGAATTGGTGCCACTCCAGCATCAGACTTGGGCTTGGGAGATCCCTTAAGCATGCTAGTGGTTGGTATTTGCTTGCGAAATGCTGGTATTGGCCTTTGACCAACCGGGGGTACCACGGGTTCGCCGAACAGACCACCAGACGAAGGGGATTCGGAAGTTTCCTCCAACAGATTGTCGCTCAGTGTTGTTTCACCATGTCCTCGAATACCAGCTCTCAGTCGGGTTTGAAGACCCCGGGGGCGTTCCTCATCAAAGCGAGAGTGAAGGGAAGGTCTCCCAAACAGACCACCAGACTGTGTTTGAAACTCTGGAATACTAGCTTCCGATGGCGGTTGACGACCTAGGGTTTGTCCCTCATCAAAGCCAGAGTGAAGGGAAGGTCCTCCAAATAGACCACCAGAAAAAGGGGCTCCAAACAGTCCACCAGAAGAAGGGGCTGGGGAAGTTCCCCCAAACCCGACTGTTGCTTGACGCTCTGGAATACCAGCTTCCGGTGGCGGTTGACGACCCAGGGACCGTCCCTCAACAAAGCCAGAGGGAAGGGAAGGTCCTCCAAACATACCACCAGAAAAAGGGGCACCAAACACTCTACCATAAGAAGGGGCTACGGAAGTTCCCCCAAACCCGGTTACTGTTTGAGGCTTTGGAACACCAGCTTCCAGTGGGGGTTGATGACCTAGGGTCAGTCCCTCATCAAAGCCAGAGCGAAGAGAAGGTCCTCCAAACAGACCTCCAGTGGGGGCTTCTCCCTGAAGTGAGACTCCTTTTGCTTTATAAAGTCTGGCAGGAGGTAGCATCGATTTAAACTTAGAGGCACGAGCCTGTCGAGGTGCTGTGGATGTAAAGAAACCAGTGCTTACAGAGCTTGAGGACAAGGCCTCAGCGACGGCGGGATCACCGGCCTGAAGTGCAGGATGAGCGGCCTGCGACGCAGGTGAAGGCGCAGAGAATGCAAACCCTGTGGCTGGTGATGGAAAACGATGTGGACTTCTTTCGGCAAGTGAGCTATCAGCAGGCTCTGCAAAGGTGATCCCATCAGTATTGCCCTGTAATTTCAATTCCTCATCTGGAATTTCACGTCGCCGATGGCGCTGTGCACTGCCCCACATAATTGCCCTCTCTTTTGGTTTTTCATACTCCTCTTCTGTCTTCTTTACCTACAAAAATGAAAATTATTCAAAAACAAACGTTAACTAAAAACGATTTGTTCCATTCTGGCTGTTTGATCTTGTCAAATGTTGCATGATGGAGAAATCGTCATATTTGTGTCATTCTATGTGGTCCATTTTTTACCTGTCATTGTTTATGACATCTATGATTTTATAATTCTGATGCACTCCTTAACGCAGTCGTCGTCCAAGAGTGATTATGAATTATAAAAAATTGCTCAAAGTCATTCTTAACCCCGACTCCCTAGCATGATTTACTAGGAACCACACCCATCCTGGCAAATTCCAACACCATATGGGAAACTGCACACACATATTCTGACTTTGATTCTAGAGGTGTGCCAACCCAATGTAAAAAACTGTCAGTTTAGGGGTACTGTACCCATCCTGACAAATTCCAACAAAACATGCCGTTGGGGTTTGATGGGTTGAGTTCTGTTAGGATTAATGATGCTTGAATGGCAATTTACAAAAAACCAAGGTAACAGGAACAGGACAAAAACTGTTTTTGGCCAAGTTGAGTTTTTATCGTTAACGTTTTTATTTCATCAGAGTGCTCATCCTCACAAAGTTTTATTCCGATCTGAGTTCTAAATAAATAAGAATGCTAATTAGACTGTGCGGCGTATCTCCAAAAAATAAAAAATGTTTCAACACAAAGGGTCGTATCCCGATACACCACTTTGCGCACTAATTCCCATAGCGCTGTGACGTAACTAAACAGCACCAGCATGGACAGTGAGAAATCATCGTTTCACGAACCATCGTATCTAACACGTGGCCACTATTACGCGCGTTGTATGAACTACAATAAAGTAAGTTTGATAGAGTGACGTGTATCTTGGGAACTGAATATCTTAAAATAAGCAAACGGATCGTGTACAATGAAGTTTCAACATTAATTTTGTAGCTGAAACAAAACCGAGTGAATTCTTACACAGAAGTTATAAGGAATGAGCCTACAAAAATATGGTCACCTTTAAATCGTTTTTTTTTCTCAAAACACCAAAAACTGCAATACGACGGTTTGTGGTGTGACTGACAAATTACTTAGCTTTTTTTTTTTCAATGAATACATAGCAGTGTAATACAATGCTAATGGGTTGATATGACACATAGGAATTAAAAGCCGAGTTTGCTCGTGATTATGCAAAGGAAAACATAGTACAAGGAGAGAATAACAAAATTTGAGCATTTTGTGTCCTTCGGGATTGGGCTTAAACATTCTCACCGACTGATCCGGAGCCAAATCAACATCTCGAGAAAGTAATCCCTCCGCCTTCTTTTCTCCAAACATCATCTTACCGCCTCTAGCCTTGCCTCTGACTCTGGTGCGTGGCGGCATCGATGCTATGTGAGGAATCAAACGAATAAAATAAATTTGCACGAGAAATTTAGAGGAATATAAGTTTCTTTTTTATAGGAGGAAGTTAAAGGTAAGGTCGACCATTTGCATCGATTAAAAAAACAACCGGCTAAATTATAGTTAGAAAGCTACTTTAATGAAAGATGACAATGACACTAAACTCCCTGTGAAATTGTTCCCTCTGTCAAGCTGTCATTTTCAAGAAAAACAACAAAAGGCTATTTCCAAAGATATGTCAAGCGACACATTTTTGGAAATTTCCGTGAATCAGCCCCCGCGGGTTCAAATTTGTAGTTGGGTTGCATTGGGCGAATCCGTGAATGGGTAACAACTGGCTGAATACGAATCGTGTCCTGAATGCCGATTTTCAGATTGAGTCACGAGAGGGCGCAATTCAACCTACGAATCGGCAACTTTGAAATTGAAATCGAGATCCAAAACATTGTGTTTATGCTTGTTCCCGTTTTCTCCAAATATACAGCATTTCATTTTTGTTCAAAGAGCTAACAGTTCATCAAGTTAGGCATCATCTTAAAAGATTTTGAGCACTTTCCCTTTAAGCTTGGGCGACTACACGTCAGAATCGAACAGAATCAATTTTCAAATTTGGAAGAATCACGAGTCCACTCTTTTGAAGAGTCAATTGCAGTAACAATTTCCATTACCCAATAATAGATCGCAGACATCTCAAAACAGCTTCTGTAAATTATCATGTTCTTGATATGGAAAGTCAGTTTTTCCAATTAAAACGAAAATAAATTAAAACAAAAACTTCCTTATTTCTGTTCTTACAAAGTAGCTGTTCATCAAGTTTCTCCTGTTCCTCCAGGAACTCCAGTAGATCATTCTCCGATACTTCTGGAAACGAAAAACAATTACATTAAAATACATTGTTGAAATGTATTTCTTCATTTGTAGCAATGTTCGAATCAAATTATGTCAATAACCAAGCATTCGTGTCTGTTCACGCCCCCAGAAATGGCAATGTTATAGCGCCCTCAATTGTTGGGGAATACGGCCCATTATAATCAACTCACCACTGTCAGAATCATAGTCGTCGTCATCTTCCCAGTCGTCAGCATCTGATTTCGCATCTACGGCACGTATCTCCATTGCTTCATAACAATCTTCCATCATGGCATATTTCTCCTCGCCAGCGTCAAATCCTCTTCTAAATCGTTCACCTTCTTCTTCAAATTCCATGCACATTTCGTCGTCCTCAGCATAAGAATCCAAAGCAGAACTGTAAGAAGGAGCTACACAAAGAAAGACAAGTACATCAACAGAAAAATGTGATCATCTAGAACAAAACCAGTTGGAAGTTGCACAGCCGTATTTATGAGATGCAGCCTGGAGCATTAATGAATATTTAGCATTAATGAGGACAAGTCACGAATGTAAACACCACATTCTGTTCATCTGATTGCATTTTTAGAAACGTGCGTCGCTAAGGAGTTCATTTGGGAAAATCAACAAAAAAATGATAAATTTTGGCATACAATTTTCTGTGGCCTGAAAATTTGGAATTTATGATTCTTGTATTTCTGTCAGATTTGCATATTATGGGCACAAGAAGCTAGTTTGTAAGATGCGTTCTACGTCACAGGTCATGCAAATATATCCATTGAGAGCTCAAATGACGTCAGCCCTGACCAGCGTCCTGTTTGCAGGGCAGGGGGTACGAGCGAATCTACTCCACTGCCAGCGTTAAACCCACCTCCAAATGCTTCACCTGCAAAAGCGCTTTCAAATAGACCGGTTGCATGGCAACCATCTTAGAGGGCAATGCATTTGTTTTGCTGGGATGTGCCTGCGTGGACCGTTGTGCATTCATTGCTAATGAATTATTAAGATGGCTGCTGCGCAAGGTCTATTCCACTGTGTACTCACCCTCGCCCATGTAATATCCTGGCGAAGTGGGACTGTAGGCTGCTGCATGAAGAAAGACAAGTAAATATACATCAAAATGAAAATGTGACGCTCTGGCAAAAAACAATTCAGAACTTGGAAGTTTCACGGCTGTATTTTGAGATACCGCCTAGTTTAAGTATCCACCGTTGTACAATAACCAACGTCTGACACATGTGAGCAATCCAAATTTTATGTGACCCTGCAGCCAGCGGAGCGGAGTCGACTTTAGAAATTCTGACATCATTTTCGATCAGAAATGTGGACTTAGCCGTTGATTGGTCAATTTGGCTGCCGTATTTTTGTAATACAGCAGCAGGTTACTGAAGACCTGATAGTAGGCATCCACTGAATGGTCAGAATTTCAATGTCAAGATGCAGTACTGTTTTGCATATTTAATCGCCGAATCAGCTCGCATATCATAGACCCTTGCTATGCAAGGGGATATTCTATAGACTTATGGGGGGGGGTAAAAGTGGGGGATATCATATCGTTTGTCCTCCCCACTTTGTTTGCCTCTGAATACAAATAGTAGCTTATATAATGATTCTATAGCTCAGAATAGCTGATTCAATGACTCCAAACTCGAAAATGATGTTTAAATGATAATTTTTTGCTAAAAAAAAAATTGGTTAAAGTGGTCAGAAATTGCCTCAAATTGCACCACAGAGCGTCTAGAACCCAAAAAAATCGGGGCTCTTAAGTGGGCCCTGAAACCCAGTGTTAGGGCTTCGCACTCGCATTAATTCTGATCAAGGTATTTCCCCCCCCCCCCCCCCCCCGCTTTTGAGAAGTGATTGACACCCTAGCAATACGACCAAAATGAAGTAGAAATTTCATTCAATATCTGAAACCAAATACTCACGACTAAAACAAAGGTAGTCGTCTAGTGCTCCTTCATCACTCATTGCAAAATCGACCAATGCTGCAAATAAAATGTGAAAATGCTTGATATTTACAATGTACTTCATTAACAGAAACCCATAAGGCTCTGGATCCCCTCCCTTGCCCCCAAAAATAATATCTGTTACACTCTGTACCATCCCGAAAAGCCAAAGCACTAAATAATTGGTTGTAGTATTCATTAGGAAATACATGTAAATACAATGTAATACACGTGTCAACAACGATCCTTCATCCAACTTTTACATTCTTTTGCTCCGATGCACTGTTTTCTACAGGGTGAGTCAAAAAAAGCGGAACCCAAACCCCAAAAATTATATTTCATTTTTAAAAACTATGTAGCACCTAACATAATTATGACTGGAAAGCCAATTTCATAAGCTATTTTTAGATGAAAAAATTACTGAAATTGGTCAATCCGTTCAAAGAATATCACCATTTAAACACAATGGCCCTAAACCTGTCTCGTCCAAAAAAATAAATGTGATTTCAAGAATCGGCATCACAATTGTCTTTAAACATCACCAGCGATAAAACCTCAGTTTAAACGTTTAAATATTCAACAAAGTCTTTTTGAAGGCCCATCTTTTAAAAAAAGTAGATTTTATAAATTATATTGTTTGCCTAACCGGGGTTGTTAATAAAGATATTGTGCACTACAGGTGGTGACAGTTGTTGAAACAAGTATTCTGTGTCATTTTCTTTGTTGTTCCAAACAGTCAAAACGCACAATAAATTGCTTTTTTGGACGAGACAGGTTTTAGGGTCGTTGCGTTTAAATGGTGATATTCTTTGAACGGATTGAGCAATTTCAGTATTTTTTCATCTAAAAGTAGCTTTATGAAATTGGCTTTCCAGTCATTATTATTTTTGGTGCTACATATTTTTTTAAATATGAAATATATTTTTGGGGGTTTGGGTTCCGCTTTTTTTGACTCACCCTGTAACAGAAAGGATTTGGATATTGGAAGTCACACAAAATACCTTCATCATGAACTGCTGCACGGGCCCGGTCTAACATGTCCTCATCACGCTTTACGTTACCATAGAAATCCTTCAGTTGCTTTGCTGTCTGTTGATGAAACAACAACATCAGAATTTGCTCTTTAACCAGTTTGCGCCGGGATGATTTTGACAAGAACAGAACGAGGCCTGGGATTACTTTTAACTCGACCTCAAGCTGGCGGGTTGAAGCCATCAAGTTTAAGGACTTACGCATTGAGAAACTTTTCCAACACGTGTCACGACTGAAATTTGGCGCAATGTAGATTCTTGCCCAACTTACACAATAAAAATGTGGTTTGAGTGGATTGAAGCCACTGCGTACAATTTCGTGAAATTGGCACGGGGTCTTACGACAGGTAGATGACTAAATATCCACGCATGAATTAACAAATACCTTTTCCAACAAGTGTTGATCCAACTCTGCGACTGGAAGGCCTTCAACTGTCTCGAGGATTTTCTCGTACAAACTCTCAGCTCTCATGACGGAGAAAGACGCCTCCATTTCCGCCTTTTCCAGTAGGTCGGCCATCATGGCCACCTTATCATCTTGAGTCTAATAAAACGAACAGAGATATCTTTTCATCAGAAGGGGTATTAACAAGAAAAACATCTGAAAAAGGAATGTGCTTTAATTTCTTTCGTTCCAAAGGATTGCTTGTAGGTCCCAAAGGGCCAGCCTAGAAACAAACAAAAAAATCAACAACAAAAAATCCTTATTTTCAAGGAGTGACTGCTTAACTATTACTGACTGCAACGTGTGAACTGGGCAGTGCTATTGTGTAGGACTACCCCGTAATGCCCATTGTGGTACAAACCCGACCCGAAACTGACCTGACCAGAAACCAACTTTGGGTCGGGTCGGGAAGGTTTTTGGTTTGAGGTTTGCGATTTCGGGTCAGGTCGGGTCCTTTAAGCCATTTTGTAAAAATCCCGAAGTAAACCGAAATAAACCGAAAAAAAAACCCCAAAACAGTTCGGAAATTCATTTGGCGCAATTTTATTGCAGAGTTACTGTGCCATACGACCGACGTCAACCCACGGCAGAAATGTGCATGTGGTTTGCGGTCTATAACGTACAATCTATAATGCGTAGGCCCTCCAGTAGGTAAAGTTACAAGTCCTCACCGTATACCGTACGGTAGGATTCTTTACTAAGAGACAACCATTTTCATGCGACGTGAAAGTTCAGGCAAATAAAAACGCACACAGTTGCCCAAGCCATATTTGTTGGGTTTTTTTCGGGTCAGTTTAGTTTCGGGGCGGTTTTTGCGCGATTTTTCCAAGGTCAGGTTTTTGGGGAGTTCAGATCGTTTTCGGTTCGGATTTGGTTCAGATCCATAATGTTTCGGCGGGCTTGGCCTGGTCAACCCGAACCAATGCACAACATTATAGCCCATAAATGTGCTAAATCCGGCCGACTGAGTAGACCAGATGAATGAACAGAATGCAAGTGATTAGCCATTCAGAATTGTTACATTATAGCCCATAAATGGGCTAAATCCGGCCGACTGAGACGACCAGATGAATGAACAGAATGCAAGTGATTAGCCAATCAGAATCAAGGGTTTTTTTGCACTCTGGGACCAGCTTTAATACTAAGCATGCCAAGTCTTGCTCTAAACGGACCATCGGCACTGGTGCATCATGGGACTTATCCTCCTGCCAGCCCAAGTAAGATAACGCGTCCACTTCCTCCTTCGACAACAGATCTGCGACGTCCACGCCAGTCTTGGGCTTGTGTTCTTCCTCCTGGCGAAAATGAATAAAAGGACTTTGTCAGCCGGGCAGTGCTATTGTATAGGATGACACTGTTGGCTCAATATGTCCCATAGTGTGGACCTACACTAAATGACGTTCTGAATCAATTCAACAGAATTTGATGCTCTCTTTACAGGGTCAGGTCTTGGACTGCCACCCTAACCTACCTTGTCTCTGACTTCCACAGCGACGAAGCTAGTGAATTGGGTGACGATGGAATATTTCTTGCTCAGGTCGATGATGTAGCTCTTCTGCTCGGCCTTCTTGGCTTCGTGCTGGGTGCGGTCGGTCGCGAGGGCGCCCTCCTCCCAATCGCGGATGACGTTGCGCGCTGTCAGCTGATGCAGTATCTGGTACGAGAATAAACGGAGGTCTGAGCATGAAAATTTGATAAGTGCAGAAATATATTTGCTTAGCGGGTTGCCAGCCATGTTATCTATACTACACAGCTGTTTCTCATGCTGCTTTTTGCTTTTGCTTTTTGCTTTTGCTTTGCTTTGCAAAAAAAAAAAAATCATGTGATGTATACACATGAAGAGGATTTTACTTTGACACATAAATTTGGCCGAGAAGTATCTCAAGCCTATTGTCTGCAATGTACTATATATTTCATTTCAATACTCTGCAATGTATTGTATATTTGTTAATACGAAAGTGCAGTGATCCTGCAGTGTCTGACTCAAGTACAGTGGTATGTGAGTTTGAACCCAATAATGGAGTAAATAGTGCTTGTGTTCTTGGGCAAGACACTTTACTACAATTGCCACTGGTCTAGGATTATCACTAAATACTTGTGGGGTGGGGAATATACTGCACTATTTTTAAACATCTTCATAATTCTGATTCTCCCAGCTGTAAGTTTGAGTGAAAGAAGACCCTGTAGTAACTTCATTTACTGTTTACAAACAATAAAAAAATGCATGCCTATCGAAGCAGTTCAGCAGCTAAATTACTCCATTCTAAAAATGAAAGATGGTAGAAATGTACATTTTAATTAGCCAAGTCCGTTACCTTTCCCTCTGTAATGCTTAGTTCATGCGTAGATACCATGGTAGACACATCTTTGCCGTCATTATTGGCTCGCAACGTGGCCTGAAAAAAAAATGGGCAAATCAAGATTTTCACACATTGGACATGGCACAAAAAATGACCTTATGTTTTAAGTATATAACGCAAATACTTTCATGGTATTTTCTGTTTACCCCACCCCCTCCCTTGCAACCACCACCGCCAAAACATATGTTTCCCTTTTTACCAAAACAGAATTCCCGGTGTACTTCTTATCATCTAAATGAAATTTTGCAAACTAATTCGCAAAAGTACATCTTCTAAATAAAAGACGTCGTCTTGTGGTATATACCTGGGTACAGTAAGGGACAAAGCCGTAAACCACCTGCCGGGAACCGCTGAACAGCGACGTGATGTGATTGGGCGCCTGGACCGGTTCCGGGGCGTCGTCGTCAAACTGGCACCAGTCGACTCTGACGGCGGACAGGACTGGTTGGGACGCCTTACTCAACTGGGCTTGGACCTGTCCATGTTCATGCAAATTTAGCAGATATGCAAATTAGTCAGGTTGGTCAAGCGGTACTTTCCTCGCCTTCCACCGCTGTGACCCGGGTTTGAATCCTGCCTGGGCCAATATGTGGATTGGGTTTTCAGTCCCTACCTGATTCCGTGAGGTTTCCCCAGAATATTCTTCTGGGCTTTTCCTCCCACCTCTAAAACTGTTATTTCTCCTCACTGTCTTCTCTCCACAGGTTTCTTCAGGCTTGCGAGCTACAGTGCCTAGGGCGCTTTTGAGGAATCCTTGGTTTCATTACCAGAAATGATGAATACTAATACTAATAAGGACATACAAGAAGAGCAATCACCGAGTTATTTTTATTTTTAATGAACTTACACCTGGCACGGTGTAGCACTGCAAATATACGCGGACTCCTTATATTTTTGTTTTCATGAACTCACACTGATCTTAATTTCACCAGTGCATAAGGTTTTTCATTCAATTATTGTGTAAGCCCAGAAGTATCAGATGGATTAAATTTGTGTCAAATCTTTCAGAGCGTATTTCTCCTCGTATAGCAGCAACATGCTTGCGTGTCAGATCATGAAAACGACAAATTGTTTTATTATGTTTCAGTGGCCGATGTGTGCCCACACATCTGGGTGTCAGTTCGTAAAACCGAAATTGGTCATTACGTGGTTTTCACGAAGTGACATCCACTAGCACGTGAGTGCCAGTTCGTGGTGTCGGTGAAGATATGTCAAGTTTCTAAGAACAGTTATATCACCGACCTTGCCTTCCCACTTGGACTTGATCTTGCTGTCGAAGAACTCAAAGGCTCCTGCACCCGCTGTGGACATGGCACGGAGAAGATACTTGTTTGCCGTAGCACTGTTGAAAAACAGAGGAAAATAAAACTAGAAGACGTTATGTGGTGTGGTTTGACCACCGTTTGACTACAGACGTTTGCACGTTGCTATTAGTGCGCAAGCTTAACTTACGTCATGAATCATCCACTGGTCAACCAATCATTGAACTTTGTCGACGCACTTTTGACAAAAATATTGGTAAAATTGTAAAACAAAAAAATTGACCCGAACCTGATGCCGAATGTGAAGACCCTTGTGTGGCGACAGTTTCGGCGGACCGCGTCCAATGTCGCGTCTTCGTTACTGACGTGCCCGTCGGAGAAGAAGAAGACGTTGCGCAGAGCGCCCGACTTGAGCATGAAGTAGGCCCGTAGGGGGCGCCAGACGTCGGTGTTGCCCATGCTGGCCGAGAGGCCCTGCAGGAAGTTGCGGGCGGATTTCAGGGTGTCGGGCGTCTTGGTCCGGCTCTGTGGGAACAGCTCTTCAAAATCTGGAAATGGGTAGAATTTTGTGGGTTTTTTTTAAAGATAAATATTAATTTGGTGCAAGTGTGTATTTAATTCAGAGATGCTGATTTGGAGGAAATTCAATGGAAAACAAAATGAGAATGACTTTTTGTGAAAGTCTCTTGGCAACAAGTAGAAGTTGAGAAGATTCAACAATCAGTAGCAAAAATTATCTTTTTACATTGCTTTAACTTATGGATTCTTGCCCAACTTACGCAATAAAATGTGGCTTTTACTAAGGGAATAAATGTGTGCTCCGGAGGTTTTTATCACTCTGTTTAATACCACTTAGAGTCTGGGTGCTGATAATTACCCGAGCCAGAGGCGAGGGTAATTATCAGCACCCAGACTCTAAGTGGTATTAAACAGAGTGATAAATACCGACGGAGTACATATTTATTCCCATTCATAAATACCTTTTCGGTAAAAAAAAATCATATAATTCGTTCAAAACATCCCGATTTTGTTCAACAAATTCACTTTATGCTTTTTGATTCATCCCTCCTGCAAAATAATGGAGTGTTCAGCTGGCGAGTAAGATGAAAACAACCCTTTTATAGAGATTGACGCGCGCGTATCATGTTCTATGCGATGTCGCGCAGAACGCACCTGGCGCGTTGCGTTTTGAATTTAGAACTATAAAATTCTAACTCCCTGGTAGTGTTGCGCATGCCTACGTGAGGATTGTGAACGTTCAACCAATGAAACGATAAGAGGCACTGGATTTTTAGGAGTCCACATTTTATTGTGACACTGGAAAAGTGTTTAAGACCAGCTAGCCATGTCTTTATCATCCGTTTAATACCGGCCACGTGACGGGCTCTCGACCAATAGGAATGGCTAAACTGTCTGAGGTATTTATGAATTGTGATTTAAATTACATGTAATACCTGTTCCAAAAACGACGATGTTGAATTTCCAATCTTTGGGCAGATGATGAAGCGTAAGAAGCACAACCTTCTGGGCCTCTTGTAGGATGCTCCCTCCCCGCATCGAATTGGACAAATCCAGCAGCAACACCACCTCTGATTGGTCGTTCTTCTCGGCCTCGAACTCGGGGTAGAAGGTCAGCATGCAAGCCTGACTGTCACTGTCCTGCGGGTGTTTCTCCACCCACATGCGGGGGACGTGGATCTCGGCTAGGCCAATCAGGAGCTGGAAGCCGTCGTCCAATCCGCGGCAGTCGTCCGCCAGACAGACCGTCGCTTTGCTGGCCGTTTGCTGTTGGGAAACCCACAAACTTGCTAAAATTTTACATTCTGTTTCAGCGGTTTAACTGTTTCTTTATCTCCTCCCTAGGCTCTCCTAGGGAACCAATCAGCAATCAGAAACAGACAAAGCAATAATGGTTAAGTGTCTTGCTTAAGGACACAAGTGTCAAGACCGGGACTCGAACCCACACTCTGCTGATCAGAAACACCAGAGCTTGAGTCCGGTGCTCTTAACCGCTCAGCCATGACACTCAACATTGATCATGGTCACATCTTCTCCAATATTTATCGTAACTTTAACATTATTACGTTACTTCCCACCTTGTGTTTGATGGGATGCGTTGGTGATTCCAAGCTGCGAATGTCATATGGCATCTCCACAGAAATGTGTACAGACAACGACCTGAATCAACAAAACCAAACACAACATTAAGTTGTGATATTGAGCTTAAAATGTTGTTTCAAAGTTTTCTAAACAAAATTAATATATATTTATTATATTTTTTACAGACGCCCTTTAATTGTATCGGGATGGCAATTTGCTGGAAGTCTTTTCATCTGGTCTATATAATGAGGCAGATTAGCCCATTCATTGGCGTTACAGGTAATCCTATATGATAGCACTGCCCGGTTCTCTTCACTGGTCTACAATCAGCTTGAGTCACAAGTAACAGTCAGTCTTACGGGGAGTCAGTCGGTCAGTCAGTCAGAGAGATGTCGCAAATGTTGTAGCTCACATATTCCCATAAAATCTTGTCGTTTTTTTATAATGGTAAACTTGCATGCTCTGTTGAGGACAGACTCAATTTTGAAGTTTGACTCTGTTTGTCTCACCTTTCGGTGTCCGTATCGACTTTTACCGTAGTGACGTCTGTCTGGGTTTCTTGCGCAAAGGCCGCGTCTTTCCTCCACGGTGCCACACTCCCAGGGAGAGCGAAGAGGATCTTATCGCCGTCGACGGACAGCTCAGCGACGTACGTGATCTTGATCACAACTGTCGTCATTGGCGGAAGATTTCCAACACTCACGGTGAAGACGTCCTTATGTAAGAGAGGTAAGCTTTAAAGTTTATTCTGAAAACTTGAAGGAAATCGACTTCTAGGGTTTTAACTCCATGAGAAAATAATGAAAAGGATTGTTTGTTAAAGTTGAACAAAGAAATTGACTGGAGAAGGGTTTGAACCTGCGACCTCCGGATTGCCGTTCCGGTGCTCTACAAACTGAGCTATCCAGCCCTATATGTTGGCGGTTCCCCATTCTGTCAATTTCTTTGTTCAAGGAAAAGTATTGTTTGCAAAATTTTCTTTTTTTTTTCTGGAGCTGTACTCTTTCACAAAAATCAAGGCCATATGTGTAGAGGTACGAAAGACGTGGCTGATATTTTTTATCTGGTCCCATTTATCAAACTGCAAGCTATTTCACCAACATGGCACTCCATACCTCAAATTGTGCATGGCTACTTCTAAAGCAAATTTTTTTATATATTTCTAATGACAGTGGATTTTTTTTAACAATAACTTCAGACTTTGGGATTTTAGCCACAAAACAATCAATAAAAGACCTCATTTTGTCAAAGTCCGGTGTCCAAGAACCTCATGTCCTCACTTACTGGCTTTTCCTCGTCCATGAGGTAGGCACCATGGCCCTTGCTGATAGCCTCTTTGTACTCCTTGTGGGCGGTTTCTTTCTCTTTCACTTCGCCCACGATGTGTTTGTCATTGATGAACGCCTCGAAGCCGCACACGGCCGCCTGCCCGTCTAACGGGAAGACGTATTTGGCCTCGATGGGGAAGTCGCTGTCGTTGGCGTAAACTTGAAGAACGACAACCTGGGGGTTTGTGAAAGGAAAGCTACTGTTGCTCATGTTGAAAATGACGAGAGAAAACGCCCTTGCATGCTCTCCCCTTCCCCGCAGGGTCCAATGGTTAAATTCTCAGAAATTTCAAAACTTTCTCACCTGAGCTGCCAAGTCCAATAGCCTGGCTCTTACGTGGACAGCCTTGAGTGGGATAGGCTGATCGTTGCTGGACAGTAGACCAGGCTGGACTTTACTGAGTGGATCCTCGATGCTCTGCACATCACTCAGATCTGAATCGGGGAGAATTAAGTTGACAGAAAAAAGAGAAACGGAAAACTGAATGTTTGGTGCTTATATACACTTAAGCCTCAAAGCGCTTCAAAATTACAGGCTTCAAAATGAATTAAGCATAAAAGCACAAATTAAGCATAAAAGTAGGACTTTTGCAGTCTTTCAGGAGTAGTTTTCGTCGATACTCGCCCATGTCCACAGCATCGTAAGCCTCATTTGGCATGTTCTGTACTCACAACACTTGTGCTCCATCCTCAACTAAGCTCTTGGAAGTATAAGAGTTGCAGTACTCCTGCACCCAAGCCCTTCATTGTGTGATTTACATATATGACAGTGTGTAACACTGTTATGAAAAATATTCCATGAGATTTCATTTATTTAGGAGTTGTTGGAAAAAAACAGTTGGAAAAATTAGGAATTTCAAGAAAAATGTAGGACCAAGGTAAAAAAAAAACTAGAAAAAAGTAGGAAAAGTAAGAATATTTGAAAGCCTGCAATTATTATCCATGTTCATCAGGCCACGAGACCGGTTTTCGTCCACAGCTTGAGAGAAGCACGATCTGGTCTCCACCCTCACAGGTACCCACTAATACTCCTGGGTGGAGAGAGGCCATTGTAGTAAAGTGTCTTGCCTAAGAACACAAGCTTACCAATGACACCCATATTGTCAACCTCCTCCTCATACCCTCACAGGTACCCACTAATACTCCTGGGTGGAGAGAGGCAATTGTAGTAAAGTGTCTTGCCTAAGAACACAAGCTTACCAATGACACCCATCTCGTCAACCTCCTCCTCGTACCCTCACAGGTACCCATTAATACTCCTGAGTGGAGAGAGGCAATTGTAGTAAAGTGTCTTGCTTAAGAACACAAGCTTACCAACGACACCCATCTTGTCAACCTCCTCCTCGCTAGCTTCACTATCACTGTCATCTTCGCTATGAACAGCGCCCTCACTGTCACCGATAGGACCAGTCGTCAGCATGGGTTTGTCGCCTGGTAGCGTGAACTCAACCACGTAGCGGATGCGCTGCTGGGCAGTGCTGTATACTGCAAACTCATCGTCCTATGGGATAAAAGTCCGTGGCAAAAACATTGAGCAACAACCCTTTGAAATTGGAAGATCAGAGTTTTTGTGGTAGAGTTCGTCTCAGCTAGACATTGAAGCGCCAAGTAAAATACAGTTATCATTTAACAATCCGATTTGAGTTAACATATATATCTTGCTTTTAAGCTAATTTAAAAGTTATTGGCAGCGCCCAGTCTAGAAATCCTTTCTTTTAACAATCACCTTGAAATCCGAGTGATTGGTGCCGTTGTTCTTAACACCGTGAACACTGTGGAAACCCTCAGGGGCTTCAGTGAAGTCTTTCTTGTAGCTTGTGGTCTGATAACACTCGCCGAGAGCAACCTGGTTGACTGCCATCAAGCGAGTGCCCCTAGCCTGACTGGCGTGGGAATACTTGGCACTGGTGCTGTGGTAAAAAAAATATGAAATAAAGTTACGTCTATTCTGAGCCATCGGGCCAGCGTTTATCTCCAGTTTCCATGGCATGAAACAAACGAGAATATCTATTCCCCAAGATGGGATGCTAGTCCATCGCAGGTTACTCCCCAGCTAATGCAAGTACCCATTTGTACTCCTGGGTGGAGAGAGGCAAGTGAACGTGAAGTGGCCTGACCAGGGACTCAACATATGGATTCGAACCCCTGACCCTATGATCAAGAGTCAGCTAATGCTGATCCCCATTTACATTTTTTTCCTGGATGGAGAGAGGCAAGTGGGGGTAAAGTGGCTTGCCCAAGGACTCAATATATAACCAGCAGCTGGATTCGAACCCCAAACCCTCTGATCGTAAGTCAACTGAAGCTGGGACCCATTTGTACTCCTAGTTGGAGAGCGGCAAGTGGGGTAAAGTGGCTTGCCCAAGGACACAATATAACCAGCAGCTTGATTCAAACTCCTGACCCTCTGATCATGAGCAGCAGACCCAAACCCTTAGGCTACACTCCCCTCCCCCCAAAACAAAAGTAAAAATGGCAATAATAAAATAATTTTAAAAACATTGCTTTAAGTGTTATTTCATTTTATTGCAAAATATTCATTTCCTCTTCATTGCAACATGAAAACATAAGAGCTGACAAAACTGGCAGAACTGGTTCCAAAGTTACCGAGGGCGGACCACACAGCAACTATTTTCAAAGACAACAGAAACCATTTCTAAACACGAAGAGAAGATACCTGAAGCTATCGGCGAAGTAGATTCCGCTTCCAAGCATGCCAGCGTCGGTTCTCTCCCCGCCAAAATCATCCACCACTACCTTGGGCAGCACAAGGCCTCTGTAAATAACAATGAGATTGTGATAATATACCTTGCCCATGGACACAGATCCACAACATCTGAATATCCAGTAGCATTATTTGGAAGTGGCCGGCCGTGTGCTTTTCTAAACCTTACCTGGACAGGATGCCAACAAAGTTGGCCGGTCGCGACGCGTGGAACAGCAGACGACTGTTGTGCAGCTTGGCATCAAAGCTCGTCAACTCTAGAGGGCGTGTCACAGCGAAGACGCGTAGAATCTCAACTGGCTTCTCACTGCCAGGAATAATTGATAAAACAATTAAGGTAAGATAAAACAATTTATGGTAAGTGTAACTTTGTGAACACAGGCCAGAAAATTTGGCACCAGAAGAATAAGCATTTATTGCACAAAACTATACAACACTTTCAATAGTTCCACTGGAAATACTAAAATATTCCAAACTCTACATAAACGTCTTATGGCAGGCATAAAAACTCTGATAACTTCACATAGCACCGGCGAGATTTCACTTTTAGTCACAATTACTTTTCCAAGATTTGGCAAGCTACCAGGTTTTCAATAGCACTTTCGTTGTACTTGGGGTTGGCACTTCGCAACCTTGTTCTCAACAGACGGTTTGACTCACCCTTGCGTGGAGACAATCAGGTTTTTCACATCATAGTACTGGGGATGGTTGTGCGGCAGACAGCTGATGTGACATCGTAGGGCTCGGTACTTGGACTCCACGCTGCTCCGCTGCGACCAGTTGGTGGTCTCGCTCACACTGACAACATCTTTAATAAGCTAAAGCAACAAAAAAGTCGAGAAAGGGGGGTGGGAGATAATTTTTGTTCAAAATGTATTCACATATATTCATGTAGGCCTAGTAAAATTTACAACTTGGAAAAAGTGTACATTGTATAACAAAGCTAAGAAAGGATTGTTACATCATCACATGATCAACGAAAGGAAATTTATTCGTTTTTTGAAAAGAAATATGAGTAAATTGGTATGAGTTATAGAACTCGAACAGCTTGATTTTTGAGGACCAAAACTTCTGTTCCCCCTGGATGGGACGCCAGTCCATCGCAGGCTACTGCCCAGTTAATGCCGGTACTCATTTTGATTCCCTGGTGGAGAGAGGCAAGTGGGGGCAAAGTGGCTTGCCCAAGGACACAACATATGTCCAGCAGCTGGATTTCTATTCCTCCCTGGATGGGAAGCTAGTCCATCGCAGGTTACTCCCCAGCTGATACCGGTACCCATTTATACTCCTGGGTGGAGAGAGGCAAGTGGAGGTGAAGTGGCTTGCCCAAGGACACAACATATGGCCAGCAGCTGGAATTCGAACCCCTGACCCCCTCATCATGAGCCACAAACCCTAACAACTAGCACAACTTGAACCCTAACTCCCTAGCATGATTTACTAGGAACCATACCCATCCTGGCAAATTCCAACACCATATGGGAAACTGCACACACATGTTTCTGACTGTGATTCTGGAGGTGTGCCAACCCAATGTAAAAGACTGTCAGTTTAGGGGTACTGTACCCATCCTGACAAATTCCAACAAAACATTGGGGTTTGATGGGTTGAGCACTGTTCGGGTTAATGCTTATGAAGACAATCACCTGGCATAGCTCTTGCTTTTTGGCAATCAGGCTCTTGGTCCTGATGTCTTTCCTCTGCTGGGTCTTGTGAGGTATCTGACTGTAGAACTCCTGGGTCAGTTCCGCAATGCTAATCTCTCGCTCGTCGTCATCAGCCCCATCGCTTCGGGAATCCAAGGCCTTTCTGATTTGTAAGAGGATACTCTCGGCTTTGGAAATCTGTCGACAGAAAAACAAAAACATGAGACAAATGAAGAAGTTTTTAGTATGGTACCACCAGCAACCTCATTTGCAATTGCATTGTTGGGAGTGTAGGAGCTAATCTTTAGCTACTAATATCTTAAACTAAGGAAAAGTTGAGAGGTATTATGTGCGTCGTGCGCAGGCGGATTAGCTACTATGTAAGTGTCGTCTGTCATAAAGGTTTTAGTATGGTACCACCAGCAACTTCATTAGCCATTGCAACTGAAATTACATAGTTGGGAGTCTAGGAGCTTATCTAGTAATTCCCTAGTACGACCGACTTGCTGGGCAATAGTACGCCCGTGTTGGTTAGGGTTCGTCTCAATTTATATCCAGGGTCAGTTCAGGACAAGTTGCGGGTCACTTTGTCCGAAAGAAGCCTCTGCATTTGTCCGGACATGTTCTGGGGAAATTTTCAATAGCAACTGCTTGACTCATCAATACTGACAACTTCATTGCGGGAAGATTGTGGAGAAGTTGTTCAGAATCTTGCAACTTAAACCTGATGCAATGTCCACAACTTGTCTAAAACTCATCCTTGGCCCTTAGCTAATTTTAGTTCCCTGACCTATTGGAACATCAACCAATGAGGGAAGCACATTTGGCTCATGAATATGAATGAAGTGTAATAACATCTCGTCCTACCTTTTCCGCGGTGAGCGTCTTGACGTCAACAGCTAAGATGTCTTCCAGCTCTCCAAGTGTCTCCTTCCACAGACTGGCCACCAAGGATGCTACTTCTCCGCTCATCTCATCGTCCTCGTGCTCCCCGATGCTCAGCTGGGTCTGGACGTAAGAGAAGAAGGAATTTGAGTGTAATGCTTCTCCTTATCATCTCGCCAATAAACCATCAAAATGAATGGTCTATGCCTATTAAAACATTCCTATGCAAACATACATTAAGTTGTCCTTTCAGTCAAAATCAATCTAGTGACTATTTTCAACAGTTAAGAGCTCCCAGCCTACATAAAGCAGGATTGACTGGCTGTGACTGTTTATGTAGCTTGATACAGCTATGCTTTGACTGTAGGTGATTGACAAGCCAGCTGCGCGCGCCCACCAGTTTCCTGCTTTTGTCTGTTGACTGAATTTGACTAGTCAAAGTGCCTGCTCACAATATGATCTGACTGCTTGTGACTAGCCTATATAAAAAGCATGGCAGGGGAAGTGGATGGAATGTTTGACTGTCCGTGACTGTTCAAACAGCAGGAGGGTTAATAGGGAATACAATCTGCAGGTTTATCACAAAAGTGAGGATTTTCTCACAAAACAAGTAGTGATGACATTTTGTTTTTTCATTTACCACTTTTTCATCTGCCTGAGAAAGAGCACATTCAGCTATTCTTATATATCCCACAGACATAAAATTACAAAGATGCGGTTGAAAATGTTGACTGATTCCAGTTGCCCAAGAGGGACATTTAGTAACTCAAAATTAAGGTACCACGTTCTAAGCCTTGTGACATCAAAACCAATGGTCGAATGATTTGGGTGACTAATACAAAAGAAAAGTAAGGAAGAATATATTGAAGGGAAAAAAAAGATCAAAATTGATACAGGTTTGCTTTCTGAATTTAATGATTTCTTCCTGTCCTTTCATCTTTGTCGTATCCCAGTAATTTTTTGACTCGCCAGCCGGGCTACTTAGGGAATAGTTTGACTAGCCGGCCGCTGTTTTGACTAGCATTTGGCTAGTGGGCTACCGCTCAAGTCGAACCCTGACTGACAGAACCATCACTCCACCTGTAATGGAAACATCCTCTCTTGCGGTAAACAGGTTTGCTCAGGGACATTACTAAAGAAGATTTCAAAAGAAGTTCAAAATAAACCAGCTTTGTGTATTGCCGAAGAAGAAAGTCCCACTCCAAACTCTCTTTAAAAATGTTGTTACACCCTTTCACTAAAGCCTTGAGACTCTCTCAGGTCGCATACCTGTCTGTATTTGGGCGAGCCGATCCAACGCGATGCCACTTTCTTGCTCCTACTCATGTTGTGTTGCTGTTGATAGAGGAAGCTGTAAAGCTCTAAGGCTTCCTCGCTGGTACTGCAGTAGCGTACCTCTCTTGTTCCCGAGTCTTCATCCTGAAAAGTTGAAGAAAAAAGAGGCAATTTTTTTTAATTCTTCAATTAAAACACCGAAATAAACATTGTCGTAAAGACATTTTCAAGAAAGATACAATCTATTTTCTATCAATGATCTTGGAAACCTTTTTCGTCCTGATTTATATGTCCATTCACTTCAATACAACTGTAGTATTCTGGTATTATACAATGACATTTTCTCAAAAATTAATTTTACATCTTCAATTTAAGTTGGCGGTCTATATTTCAGTTACTGAACTCAGTACTGCCAATGTTTTTACCATTAGAAAGCCCCTGCTCTGCAGAATATATAAATATTTCAATTCTTACTTTTTGTTTTTGTTGAAGTTGAACAGAGCAATTGACTGGAGCTGGATTTGAACCTGCAACCTCCGGATTGCCGTTCCGGTGCTCTACCAACTGAGCTATCCAGCCCTATGTTGGTGGTTCCTCATTTTGTCAAGTGTCTTTGTTTAAGGGACGCTGATCAGTTTTCCTGTGTGGTTTATTGTTAAATTCTTTTAAAAAAAAATGAATTCATGTTCATTTGGTGCTGATGCATCACATGGATGCCCATGCAACCTACCATGATGTTGTCCAGTACACCACGATGAGTAAAGACCCGGAATGTGTACGCAATCTCCGGCTCGGTGTCTTCCGAGCTCCTAGCGAGGTTGAAGACGTCATCGGGCACCACGTGCAACTCCAGTTGGTAGAAGATTCGATCTTTGCTCCTGACGTCCGTTTTCTAGAAAAAAAATCAAAACAACTTGTCAAAATGCTTGCTCTAAATGTCTCTTTCAAATATTCTCTCTGAACGTTCCAGTTTAATTTTTGGTTAAAGTGAATGAATTCTGGCAAATGTCTCAATGGCAAATGTCTCGAGGGCAAATGTCTCGAGGGCAAATGTCTCAATGAAACTTCAGATACTGATGTCATCATGAGTCTGTTCAAACTTGAAAGCTAGAATGAAGGTAATTGACCTATCGCGTTAGAATCACGTCAACGCAGCTGGTGAAATTTTGTCCAATTACATGATATACAAATGGCGCGAAATGCGCAACATCTGAAACAAACAAAACTTAGCAGTCAAAAATTCCATAGGGTTGTCAAAGGGGCGTGGCCAACTCAAAAACGGTGATAGGTCAATTATGCCATGACGTTAATGAAATAAGTTTGATTAAGGCACTTGCTTCTTATATCACGACAAATTTTTAGACCCCAATTTGTGTGAGGTGTGAACATTCATAACGCAGAAATAAGAATTAATTTTGTTCACCTGAAGAAGAACACTCTTCGCAACTTCATACTTTTCCTCTGGATAAGCGGGTGCATCAATGCTTCCCCATGGCCAGACCCTAAGTAGGAAAGAAAGTCATCTTTTAAAAAACTTGGCTCCTTGTCTTAGTAAAGTAAAACATGAAGTCCATCACGAGCCAATTAGGTCAATCAGGCATTTATCTCCGTTTTGCTTGGTATGAAACGACTGAGAATATTTCTAATCCCCCTGGATGGGATGCCAGTCCATCGCAGGTTGCTCCCAAGCTAATGCCGGTACCCATTTATATTCCCTGGTGGAAAGAGGCAAGTTGAGGTGAAGTGGCTTGCCCATGGACACAACATATGGTCAGCAGCTGGATTTGAACCCCTGACTCTCTGATATGAGTCATGAACCCTAACCACTAGGCCACACTCCCCGACATTGTCTTAGATAACTAAATAAATGAAACATGGTATTGACTTCGTAAAACTTTGTTTCATCATCATGGCTTGGCTTCGCGAACGAAGACTTATGAAGGTTGTCCACGCTGAATGCAGGCATGCTGTTTAGGTTATGCCTAAAAGAATATCTTTCTCAATTGTGTTTATCTGGCATGTCTTGAGGTAATAAAATATAAAGGATATAATGTGATAAATAGTTGTAAAAAAAATTGTCAGTTCCTCAATCAACAGCTTTAAGATTAACTGTCATCTTTTTGTTGGAGCTTATAAGGAACTGACATCAGAATTTTAAACCCTGGCACTATACTTGAAACTTGCTTGGTTAAATGAAGGTCTAAACTCACTTGAACTTGTTGATGTTGAAGGAGGACACTTTCATTTGCTTCTTTGGCTCTTGTTGTGTCTTAGTACCTATTGGCAAACAGTCAAATTCAGTACAATTATTTGAAGAGGGGGGGGGGGGGGATGGGGGTGAGGGGGTCTTGCTCCCTGTTATAAATTAAGATGAGCAAAACTATTGGTACAAGTAACCAGCGATGTGACCTATCGCAGTAGTCTGGTCCCAAAGTCGACTTAGCCAACAACATTGAAAATCCTGGTTTCAACCAGAATTTAGTCAAACGCCAGTTAACCATATCACATCCAATCTTGGGAACTTTGGCGCATAGACCCTAAAAATGCTGATCATACCTCATGCGTGTTGTATTCAATGTATGCATGCATATGTGGTAAGCTAAGAGTTTCTCGGGTATGAGAAGTTACCAAGAGTAGACTGGATTTGATTCATTGGTGGCTTATAACCCTGCTTGCCAGGAATTTAGACTCTAAGGCTGCAACCAAGACTAGTAGTGCATTAAAAATGTGCACAGAGCCCATAGAGAACGCATACTTACTTGTGATTTTACCAGAGCTGAACTGCATGCTTGTAGTCTTGCCCACCAGCAGGAAGTCATCATGATCCAGCAGCTTTCCCTCCTCCACGCATCTCTCGATGAAACTCACACTGACGATCGGTACCCCTTGCTTCTGGGCCGTACGGCCCTTGTAGGAGTCGGCGGTCTTCGGCCCATTGCTGGCAACGAGATATGTGGTCTGGGAGAAAATGTGAGCAAAAATGATTCACTAATGACCCATTTTAAGTGCGGTCGACGGCAGATCACGATAGTGCAGATCCGTTGATCATGCCAAACATATCCACTCGTCACTGTGTCAATACAGTCTGGCGCCCTGACTTACCTTCTTGGTGAGTATATAAGAGATGACTCCTCCATTGCTGGTCACCTGTTTCCTAAGAAGTTGTTTCTTTTTGAAAGGGACTTGGATTGCATCGAGATCCAGAGATATCTGGCAGTTACTGAAAATGCCCATCCTCTTCTGGAGGGGGGGGGGGGGGAGGGAGGGAAGATGAAAATTTCATCAATTATTAAAAATTTTACAGACTTTCTTTTCATGGTTTGTATTGGTCAAGTTGAAGACAAATTATAGCATATTATATGCTATAATATGCTAAAATATAGAAATTTTCGTGAAATTTCCTGATGAAATTTTGATACGCAAACGTGTGCAAACGAATCGGGAAATTTCACGAAAAACAGACATCTGAAAAAGGCAGCACTTTCTGATTAGCCTATAATTTAAGAGGGCGAGTATGCTTCTAAAGCAAAATAAACTAGGGCCTACAAGTACAAACTAAGCCTAATGTGAAAATCAAAATTTGACAAAGTTCGACATATTTTTGTACATGGTGGAAGTGTGGCCTTTATTTACGGAGGTAGTCCAGTAAATTGGCCACATTTATGGGGCTAATACATGTAGCTGGGAGCTAGACAGTAAGCCAATGTGAAAAAAAAAAAAAAATAGAAGTAACAGATGTCCACGCCCCCTCCCGGCCCCTTCACTTCAGCAGGCCCCGCATATCAGCATATACGAATTACGATCATTACAACTTACAACCAACCAAAACACACCCGGAAAAATTCAACAAAACGGCATTTACCTGTCCTTTTTATGCAGCCGCACATCCGATCACTTCAAGTTCAATTGTGGAAAAGATAGCTGTCCGATTTAGCCGGAACAGGATCGTTTCCTTGTCGTGTTTGTGTGGAACTAGAACTAGCAAGTTCAGCCTGTGTATATGGAGATCAGTGCTCATGACCATCTAATTTTAGACAGTAAATAATAACGTAAACTCTATTTTTAGACTTCACCCAATGACTTATTAAACTTGCATCAGTCCAAAGTTAAAGGGAAAATACAACATTTGCAAACATCAAAAAATAAAACTACCAAATCATTTTGAAATACCTTGCTGGACTGTTAGTGAATGACAGTGTAAAGCATCCTGTAAAATCATGGCACCTGGTATACTGTCATTTTCAAGAAAAGTGGTATTTTTGTACCAATTTCCAACGCTGATCGGCCGATCAGCATTGGAAAAAACTGGCTTTTTTTCAAATACTGGCCCCAGTTGACCATCGCACTTGTTTGCAATCGATTACACACCTATGAACGGGTACAAGCCAGCTAGACTGGCTCCCTGACCTTACAATTCCCCAATATATGTAAACTGCTCTTTTTCTTCTTAAATGGAGTCAGGGAGCCAGACTACAGGAAAATGATTGTTTTTCTTGGTTTTTATAGCATTTTCGAACCCAAAACCTCAAAAAAGTCCGTGTAACTATATTTGCTATATATTTCCAACCCCCCAACTCCATTCATTTCTGAAAATTACAGAAAAAGCAAATGATGTATATTCCCTTTAAGTGATATGACATTAAATTAGAAACATGCAGATTCCTTGAAAAGACAACATTTTTGTTGTTATTACTAATATTGTAACGATTTCACAGCATAGGAGAAAGATAAAAATAGAAATTCATTTTGAGCCAAAAATATGAGAGTTCACAGAAAACATCAGACTTGTCCAAGTTTAATTCTTACAAGTATGTTTTGAGTCGAGCGCCCTCTGTTGACTACATTGCTTCAACACGACGATTCTGGTCTGGAGCGGAGGTGTGTGTCGATTTTTTGCTGATATTTTTCCAGGTGTTTTGCAGAGTGGGCGACCACTTATCTTCATGAAAAGGTATCATTTGAATCCTGAGTTTTTTGGGATGGATTTAGAATAGAGAAAACGAGGTAGTTAATTGATATTTTGACATTTGATGGGAGCATAAATTTCGTGGACACCGCGCCATGTTGAAAACTGGCCAGGGCACGAAAAATTACGTGTACAAATTATCATTCGTGATTCAATAATAATATAGCCCAGGTTGGACTCCGTTGTGTACACGCAATAGAGTCCAGGGTAGGAATCTCTCCTGCCATAGCGAAAAATAATAAAACACATTTTTTTCATATTTTTACCTGACGGAGGAAGCTGAAATGTCGCTTACACAGTTACATATTGTGTCCAGAATTGTGCCTGCATGGCCTGCGAGCTGCGCTGGTTTTGAATGGCAAATAGGCCTAGGCCTATGTCTGCAGGTGGCGTGTTTACCAAAAATAAACTGCAATCCCACGCTTTCGTTGAACAAATTTTCAGTACGAACTCCCCGTATGAAGATTACGCACGCGCGTGCATGCACACCTAGCACGCTGCTGCGGCAGCAGCAAGCGACAGCAAACGGCACGCGGGGAGTTCGAACTGAAAATGTTTTCAATGAAAGCGTAGAACTTGTTCTGTTTTAAGTCGATCATTAAGTCTATCATTTGTGAATGACTGCTGCATGGTAAATGGCATCTGGGTTGGGATAATAGAGAGGGGAAAAGGACCATTTTGTGGAGGCCGTTTTTTTTTAGGGTTTCTTATGATCTTACTTAAATACAGTTCTGTCTCCAGCGTTAGATGTGAATTCCTGATGAGCATGTCAGCTGGAGTAACTCAAGCTAATTAAAGTCACTATTTGTTTTTCCTATTTCTCTCACTAATTGAATTCCCATGTGCAGCAGCTGTTTTTTTAATGGGTGTTGCATGGTGGTTAAGGGCATTGGATTCGTGGTCTGCGGTTAAAGCTGCAGGTTGTGGGTTCGAGTTCAGCCTGTGGCTATGGTGTGTGTGCCCATGGGCAAGGCACTTTGTCACTCATTACTTCTCCCCACCCATGAGTAAATGGGTACCTGTGAGGGCAGAGATGGTTATTGTGATTGAATTAGCTTCCTTGCGCCTAACAGGCTGCATCGAGCTGTATACTCCCCAGGGAGCTGAGATGGTATTTCGAATGTTTCATGGGCCCAATGAGCAGGGGTAATAACTATGTAGCGCCTTGAGCACCAGTCCTGGTGGATACATGTACGTGCGCTTTATAAATACCCACTTTTATTATTATTGTTATTATTATTAGCGTAGGCCTAGTGAGTATCATTGCAAATGCATACAAGGTTTTTAATTTGATTTACCAACATACATGTACATGACATATGACGAATGAAGAGGTTAGATACATGTAGTTTGATTACAATGTGGCCAATTTACTCGACTACAACTAAATCAGGCCAACTTTACTCGCTCTTTAGCCAGCTATTATTCCAAAAATTCCATTGGGCAAAATAAAAGTATATACAACGTATACATGTATGTCATGTATGTAGTACAAAATGTATATGGGTAGGCCTACACCACATTATGGGGAAGTTTGTTATTGTTAGGCAAATTAGGACCGAGTTATGGGGACTTTCTGCTGTCCCCACAGCGTTTTAGGTCCCCACAAATACCTTGCAGCGACAAGTGTTTGTGACCACAATTAGGGAACAAGACTGGATGAGTTTGTATATGGTGTAAACCGAGGACACACACGTGCAACATCATCGATGAACCGAGGACACAAACTAAATCGAGGACTCGTCAGTTGGAAAATATGTACAAAACCAATGAGAGCTGTTGCGAAAAAGTTAAAGTACAAACAAAGGAAAAGGGAAGAGGAACAAAAGAAAAAACTGGATTCACACCATAAACAAACATGTGTGTGCATGTTTATCATGTTTATGGTGTAAATCGAGGACACACATGTGCAACATCGTCACTGAATGGAGGACAGGAACCAAATCGAGGACAACCTCAATTAGAAAACGTGTACAAAACCAATGAGAGCTGTAAACAAAGGAAAAGGGAAGAGGAACAATTGAAAATCCTCGATTTACACCATAAACAAACGGGGGTGTACATATATTCCTGTGTGTACTACATGTATATGTGCCCCTCCACCCCCCCCCCCCCCCCCCCACCGGCCTTCTTTACAAAAAAAAAACTTGCTCTCTAAATGTGCTGTTGCCAAAAATATCTCAAAACTAATTTTTCAACTTAAACTGCCATGTTTTTTTGAGTACATCACAGTAAACTAGTTCAATTTTGGTAGCAACTCAAGAAAATGTTGACGTCGGCAATCTAACGAGAGTCATTGCTCCCGTAGCAACGCTTGAATCTTTCCACCTCTGTGAACATGTGTGCCTCAAGAAATAAAGTGAAATGTTGCCATGGGAATAGCTGGAATCCGGCCGAACGGCGTTATTAATACAGAGACATGCAATTTGACCACACAAAATAATTAACACACAGAGGACCTTGTGGAGCATCTGAGTCAGTTTCCATGACAACAGGATATTTGCATCAATTAAGACTCCACATCAAGATGAAGTGTCAATATATACCGGTATTGCCACAGACTTACAAAATGTAGACATTTATAAAATTTGAACGACTTGGGTGCAATCGATGTACATGTATGTAAATGAAATGATTTGTTTTCTTTATTGGAGAATATTAGCATGAGGACCCTTTTACACTTGTCAAACAGCTACATTCGTAACATGAACTGGTACAGTTTATTAATAACATAAGGCAACTGTTTATTTTTTTCTGGGATCTTTATTGTAAATTATGTATTATTTCTTGACAATATGCTTCAATATGGGATGCTTCATGTACTATGTACTTGTACAATATACAACATGTACAATATGTATGTTTACTTACTGTAAGGCCAAACAACAAAATTGTGTGTTTACCGTAACCCTGAAATTTTTGTGGCCAAATTGCCGACCTCAAACTTTTTATTGCCATTTTGCCCCCAAAAAGTACATGAACAATGTACATGGTTGAGTCTCAAGCATTGCAAAAGAACAGGCAAGAACTGGGATGAAAAAAAATGACAAAATACAATTATTTCCTTACCGACCGGTGCCTTGATTTTTTTCAGGCTGTTACCGTAAACACCCCATTTATTTTGTTTGGCCTAAATTGGTTAGATGAGGTTGTATTTTCTGTAAAAGGCCACATGACCTCTTCTACATGTAATTTAATTCCTAATTCAGTTTGACAAGTCCAGACCCTGGTAAAATGGCAGGACAGGTTTAAAGGTGCAAATGTAACAAATTTGCTTTTGCTGTAATTTTAAGAAATTGATGATTTTTTTTTTTGGGGGGGGAAAGTATTTTATAGCAAATATTGTTACAGTACACTGACTTGTTTGAAGTTTTGTGTTCGTAGATGCTGGAAAAAAAACAAAATTGTCCTGTAGGCTGGTTCCCTGACCCGGGGCATAAATCTCCGGGGTGGGGTGGGTGGGGGGGGGGGGGGGGGGGATGGAGTATATATCCCCCCCCCCCACACACTTTTTGACCATGGGGGGCATGGGCTATTGAATCATAATCGCACATGAGAAACAACAAAATGCGCATTGCGAACTATTTTTTTCTAAAGAACCAAACAATTTTCATGTAGCACTGGAAAATGGAGAAAAAAGTACAAAAGCTTAAAATGCGCCATTTTGATATAAGCGCAAGTATATGAACAGCGCCCCCTAGTGTAAGGTGGTGTCTAGTGTAATGTGTTGTTATGTGGGCCGATTCTGATGCACAAAAATGGCCGGGCGCGCATACAGTAGATCTACATGTACATGGTAGAAATGACCATCATTGGCCGGCTCTATTTTTGCTCGGCGTATCGCGTAACATATCGTTACAGAGCACGTGACCACAGACTTTTATCTCAATTCACAATGTAAAAAAACCACTAGATGCCGTGTCTAGGTTATATAACAGATGACGAGACCCGATATAGAAAGCGCCCGCTGAATGGTCAGATTGTCATGGCAAAGACACAGTCATTTTTGCGTAATTAATCATCGAATCAGCTCACATATCATAGACTCTTGCTACGCAATTCATTGTACTGTACACCGGTAGACTAATTTTTCGGGGGGAACTCGAAAATATCGCAGGGAAATGCAACTTTACTGTTAGGCCCTAATCATTTCATCTTGTTTTACACAAGGCATAAAAGTGACAAAATTTGACTCAAAAATTTCAGTAGGCAGTAGGAAAAGATTGTACATGAACAACCAATCGAGAAAAATACTGTTTGTATGAGAAAAGCAATCACTTCCCATTTTTAGTTATATTTTGTATCCGTTTCTCACTTTACCGAGGGAAAAAAACCCAAACCGAACAATTGTTGAGATTCAGTTCACAGATGCATTCAACCATTTGTTATTTTACCCCAAAAACCCTGCCAAAAACGAACAATTGTTCAGATTCAAGTCACCGATGCATTGTAGTCAACAATGGTGGTTGTGGGCGTTTCCTAAAAAATAGTTCACCAAGTTCATGAATTGGAAAGAAAGGGGCTAATGTATAAGTACAATGTACACATGTAGATCTGTCATGCACAGGTACAGGTGCAATGTAGCATGGCCTTTAAATTTACAGTGAGGGTTGTGTCCTTACGGTTGGGTTGTGTGGAGCCCAATAGCCTCTTTCCATGATAAATGTGACTATTAATTCTATGTACAATGTATGCTAGACATGCTTTGTACTGGTACAAAAGTACCGGTATTATGCATTTGTACAGGTATTGCACATGAACTTTTTATGGACCCTAAGTTCAGACTGCTTTGGTGTGCAAAATACAGACATTTTGTTCAGACCTTTCAAAGCTGATCAACCAACCAGATTTTGCCACCCCCCCCCCCCCCCAGGGATGTTCCAGATTGTTCCTGCAGGGCCATGGCCAGTCTGGTGGAAGGGGAAGGTCATGTTTACAACAAAGTGGACCTGTTTGTGTCTAACCATGGAGGAATTCCTCCATGG